AGCCGTTGCTGTAAGCCATTCTGCTCAAATGATTGCTTAGAGAAGATTCTTTTCGCTTTACTAAGCACTCCGATTAAAAAGCCCTTTTCGTCCATACTATAGATATCTTCCTGCTGTATACCGTATTCTTGTATTTTGCGGGTTAAAAGCTCAAAGTACAATGCGTATTTCCATGCTGAATCGGCCCTTTTTCGAGATGAATCGATTCCTGTTGTATAGCGAGAAATAAGGTCGTTGCTGTATCGCTTCAAGAAACGGCTTGGCCACTGTTTTCCGGGTCGATTTCCGCTTATTTCGTGAGCGAGATTGCGCAACATCTCGTGCGATATATAAAGGCCTTTCTCGCTTAATCGATTGATATTAGAAATGAGCACTTTCGATTGACGATCATCGAGAAGTCGCTGTTCTTGATATTGCTCATCTTTTGAATGTTGGACACCGCGAAACCGTCTGGTTAGAGTTGTTCGATTAACACCGTACTTTTTCGCTATGGAAGAGAAATTAGGTCGTTCTTCAATCGTCAAGGATTCTAATTCTGCAATCGCTTCATCAATTGGAGCCATATTGGTTGAGATATGGCTCTTTGAAGATGTTGGAAATGTCGGTGAAATTGTTCGTCAGGTGGGGCTGGTCGTCAGGTGATCAAATACGGTAAGCCGCTGAGCACTATTTATTTTCAATCATTAACAAATGATGTCTACGACGAATATCCTACCTCATTCGAAAAAGACCATCAATCCGCGCATTCAGTCATGGCTCCGTCGACTGTCACGGACTGTGATCAGCCTCCGAAGACCTTCCTTCGTGATACCCTATGACCTAACTACCCGATCGGGACTAGCTTCACAACCTAGCTTAGTTTCTTCGTTGAATGCATCCCCTACATTCTCGTGATTCCTTATCGCCTGCGTAGCCGTTCGTCACATCGACCAAGAGTTCTCGGTCAATGTGCGCACTTTTTCTTAGTTTATGGAGTCTTGTTCGTAGATATACCCCTGGACCATGCGTATTAACGTTCGCAGCCTGCGCGTGTGATACAGATATTGCATATTAGGCCAAAGCACGTTCGGAGCCGTATGAAGGATATAGTTTCTCCGCGCGACGTCAGATATAATCGTATACCTAGTTCAACAAATCAGCATACAGAACACTCTTGAAGGGGGGTTTTCAAAACTTACACCTACCACCGACACCCAGAACCTCCCCCAGACATCTCATACCGATCCCGACGAAGGCTACAGGTGGGGCGAGCAATGAATAATACCGTGATGCCTCTCCCAACGGGAAAGTCCCACTGCGATATAGCAGAGGTGGATCTAATGTAGTTCAGTCGAGTCCACTCCAGGAGTCCGGCTACATCTCCGAAATTAGCCCTCATGTTGATCCGAGTTGACGAACTACGATCACTGTGAAGCAGGTAGATCGTCCAATGGTTGTCGCTGGTGTTCGGGCCGGCTGCACCACTCGTGTGTACCACTACGCGCACACCCGTGATTGGCGTGGAGTCTGCTTCAACGTCTTGCTGATACAATCGATATGACATGGTGGATAGATAATCCTACAGGATAATGAGCTTTAGGGCCTAGGTTTATAGAGTCGTTAGAGCTAGATCAGATATCGGCATTTTCCAGCAACTGTCAGTGAGCGAGTCAAGGAGTATGATCCAGAGTCTTGTGTGTTTATCAGGCAAGGCTGCGTATTAATTATGATAATAGTTCCAGTCCAACTCCCTCACCCTCTTTGTCTGTGTTATTCTATACCCTTACCTATGAAGTCTTGAGGTTACAAAGCCAGGACATTTCCTTTGTTCACCGTTGCAGTAGAGCATGGCATATTCCGAAGACATCCAGCTATTCTCGGTGGTTGGACCTTGTCCAGGTTTGGTAGTGGAATAAATCGTTGGTATACGTGGAAACGCATTACCAAGATCTCGGGTTGAAGCAGTAGGATGAGACTTAGGGCCAACGAAAAGCATCTAGAATTAGACCCCGGGTTTCAATCTAGTGGGTCTTTATAGTTCGGATATCTCATTTTTATTGTTTCTATTCTATGAACGCGGTCGGGGCTATACCGTAATGGAGTTTATAGACATGCTTATAGAGATCTCAACGTAGATAGATCTATCCGAATACGGCGTAGACGGATGTCTGAGAAATAGAAACTTTGTCCAGTCTAGAAGCGCCTATGACGAATAGTAGGTTTAATAGTAGATGATGGAAGACACTGGAGTTTTGAAGAACATATGCCAAATATTGGTTCGCTGTTATGTTTCCGTCCGTAGAATTCGTTCTAGCTAATAGGATGTCTGCAACGCCGTGTTTATACCGTCATGGTCTCATCACCACATGGTAGAGTTCTTTACTTAAGTCCATGGCCTCGTCCCCTCATCCTCTCGTTACCTTCTCTAACTCTCACCCACAAACCGTTGATGATCACGGTTCTCCCGCCCCCCAAAGCTATCCCTTTATCGAGAATACACAATCAAACCATGGATTCTGCCCACCCTCTTCAGAATCATACTGCGATTCAGCACCCGCCTCAGTGCCGCAATTGTGGTAATGCTACCACCTGGGGAACCTGCCGCCCGGACAATATGAACGGCAATGCAAATCGCCCACGCTACATCTGCTCCTGTGGATTGTTCGCTTGCTTCGGGGATATGCGCGGTGTCCTGGTGGAAAACCCTCCCTGCGACTGCAATGACAGCATGGAGTTCAGCAGACGTATCGTAGCAGGTCCAAATGTGCAAATTCCCCGATCGATTTTCTATCGATGCGCTACCGGGCGTTGTGACTTTTACAGCTACATGAAAGACCAGGATGGCAATATTATGGTTTACGATGGCCCTATTGATCCTCTTATCATGGCCGATAGTGGGCACTAAGAGCCTCACAGGGTATGTATAGTCAGTTGGCGTGTTCAATGCTCATACACGATAGCTCAAGTGCCTAATGCTTTGAATTAGTTAAAGGATGCGAAATCGACATCCAGAACGCAGAGTTTACATGAACTTCAGGCAATGGCTTGGTTATTCAGATCTCAGCGAATTTGACGAATCCATCTCAGAGCTTGCTTGCTTCAATAATCCGCCATGTTTCGCCGAATGCTTTAATTTCCCTACTTATCAGTCTAAGAGGCCTAATATATTCGATTTTTCTCAGTTATGGCGAGGATAGCGAGTATGAGGGACCAAATAAACAATGCCCAACAGGAGTCACTACACCGGAGTAGAAACTTTCCATCTCAAAATAATCGGATTACCTTTTTCAATTACCCTAGTATATGTATATCCTCCGATCCTCTGACGGATAAGCCTTCAGCACGCGGCGTGGAAAAAAGGTCAAGAGGCGTGGATAAACTATAAACCGTGCAGTCGGGGCGCGTAGATCGTATAGTTACTATTCCTGATGTATTCACATGCACACAGATTGATAACTCCAGGTGGAAGTCCACAACAAAGAAGAGCGATGAGTCAGACACGAGACCAGCTCCATGCATCACGAGGATGGGGTTCCTGAAACCCAAACCAAAGAAGCAGGAAGACCAAGAGTCCAAAAAGACGAGAATAACCGACGGCGGCAGAAACCAGAGAGGAAAAAGCCTCGGTTGAACGCAGACCATTTCTTGGCCCGGCTTCTCCCGTGGTTAGTCATTCTGGACTGTAACTATGTACTTCCGCCTCCGCGGGCTGCAGACGCCCCTCCGGAGTAGAGAGGACTAGAACTAGTACTCCGTACTAGTACTGCGAGTAGAGCGCATCACAAGCCTTGGCTAGCAGACACGCCGTCGCTGCCTGATGACGACGGAGCGCCTCCAAGAATTGGGCAAAGGCGTGGGACTGAGCATGTGAAGAAGGTCCCTTGGTAGCGGCAGAGTCGATGAGGTCACGCCCGTCGAGGGAACCAGTGGAATGCTGCCTCGGAAGTTCTGCAGTTATATAGTCGGTCGAGGTATAGAGATGGGGGAGGAAAATGCGGAGAAGGACAGGCAGACAGTATACGATAGTCTATAGATTACCAGTCCGGCCGTAGAGCTAAGGCACCGTAATTGCGAGGGATTAACGCGCGGGGTAAAATGTTCAACCCAGTCCTTACAGCTTTACTACTCTCGATCGTACATCTGGAGAATTCCTCCAGATCTCCGTAGGGCTCGGTTGTTGCGTCGCAAACGGCGGTGCTGCTTCCGCTCGTCCAGCAGCCTCCGCTTCCCCGTCATCGCTGATGCCCCTAATGATCCGTAAAAGTCAAAACCCGCCACTTGGACCGAGCCGTTCATTCGATGATCCTCGTTCCCGAGAATTAATTTTATTCCATTTTCATTTCCTTAATTCTGGCTGCCCTGGGGCCGGCTGACCTGAGCCCTCCTCCCTCTGCCGATTTAAATAGCCTGGAGTCGAGCCGAGGGACATATAGCTCTTATACTTCCGTATCTCCCCGGACTTCTGGAAAGCCTGTGAAGGTCCGATATCGTCCTATCTCACACTGAGCTGCCTTCTAATTTAGAAAAGACCTCTTCCGGGCTCTTTTGAAGTCTTTTTTGTCCGGCGTCTTTCTCTCTTTTCGATCTATTCCCTGTCTTGTCCCTCGCTTTGTACCGGTCCGCCGTTGCACGTGCCACCGCACCAATAGCTTCATATCGTCATCACACAGCTTCTGCTGCCAATTGACTCGTATCTTTTCCCTGGAATAATCACAATACCACCATCATGTCTGCAAAAGGAGGCAATGGCAAGAAGACCACTTCGCCGGCTGTAAATTTGATCGGTAGGTCCTATCTCGCCGGAATGACAGTCTGCGCACGTTATTGACAGGCGCAAACAGCTGGTGGCGGTGCTGGCATGATGGAGGCGCTCGTGTGCCATCCCCTAGATACCATTAAGGTCCGAATGCAGCTGTCGCGACGCGCTCGAGCTCCGGGAGTAAGTTGCCTCGCATGCATGGCGTCCTAGAATGCGTTCCGGCTAACACCCAATCTCGATAGATGAAACCCCGGGGCTTCGTCACCACCGGCGTCGAAATCGTGAGAAAGGAAACCGCATTGGGTCTGTACAAGGGTCTGGGAGCCGTTCTGGGAGGTATCATTCCGAAGATGGCCATTCGGTTCACTTCCTACGAGCAATATAAGCAGCTTCTGTCAGACAAGGAGACGGGCGCAGTCACAAGCAAAGCCACCTTCCTTGGTAGGTCACTCTTCGCCATGCACATACCTCTTGTCCAGCCACGCTAATCAAAATCCCTCCCTGAACAGCTGGTCTTGCTGCCGGTGTGACGGAAGCCGTGGCCGTGGTGAACCCCATGGAAGTCGTGAAGATTCGTCTGCAAGCGCAACATCACAGTTTGGCCGATCCCCTCGACACGCCCAAGTACCGCAGCGCCCCGCATGCCCTGTTCACCGTCATCAAGGAAGAAGGATTCAGCACTCTATACCGTGGCGTCTCCCTAACCGCGCTGCGACAAGGAACCAACCAGGCGGCCAACTTCACCGCATACACCGAGCTGAAGGCGGCGCTGCAACGGTACCAGCCCGAATACAGCAACTCCCAGCTCCCGTCGTACCAGACGACCCTGATCGGACTGATCTCCGGTGCGGTCGGGCCCTTCTCGAACGCCCCCATTGACACGATCAAGACGAGGCTGCAGAAGACGCGGGCCGAGCCCGGTCAGTCCGCCGTCTCGCGCATCATGGTCATCGGCAAGGACATGTTCAAGCAAGAAGGTGCGCGCGCGTTCTACAAGGGTATCACGCCGCGTGTGATGAGAGTCGCGCCCGGGCAGGCGGTCACCTTCACCGTGTACGAGTACCTGAAGGGGAAACTGGAGGCGTCGAATTGGAGCCTGGTGGGCGGCAAATATGAGGAATAGATCTGTCCGAGTTCATCTCATCATCCGTGAACGACGAGACTAGGGCCGCTGCGTGTTCTCTCGAAAGCATTTGATACCATGAGCATGGTGGCGTTTCCGCTTGGATTGCGACTTGCGATCTCTGCATTGCTAGTACATATTGTTTGATCATTTTGGGGGCCTTTTTTCATCTTCAAAGGCCAAGTGGACGAAATCTATTGGCGAGTGGATTGTAAATATCCCTTTTCTTTTTGTCATAGTTTTTGAATACCATACTTCATATGTCTAGAGAAGAAGATTGAAACTGAGCACAAATCCACATTCCCGACGAAGACAAAAGTGTGTACACCGTAAACTGTGGCCTGAGGCGACTCCTGCAAGCCCCGCTAAAGCACACCGCTTCCCGTCGTCCCCTCCGCAGTTCCCAACCAAGTCAACCACCACTTGAACAAGTCACCACCGTCAAGGCACCCGGCTTCCCGCAGGTGCATACTTCAAGATGCAGTCAGGAATCTCCGGTATGTTTATATGATGGCTTTTTCTGCAGGAACCTCCCACACTGACTGATTACCCTTTCCCCTCTCTTCTCCTGACCCCGCCATTCCCGACCCTCATATCCATACCCATACCCATACCTACACCCAATACTCCAACCTCGATAATAAACACAATCACCCCTATCCTATACTGACAAAATAATAAAACACAGTCTCCCCGGAGCTCCAAAATGCTTTCAACCGCTTCGCCTCCGACACATCCCTCTTCTGCCTCCCCGTGACAATCACCAACGAGAGCCTTGCCCCTCTCTCCCCTATCCCGTTCTCCGCCCCGAACGCCTTCTACCCATCCCTCTCTCAATTGAACTCGGTCCTGGAACCCAAAACCCCCATCTACCTCCTCCTTCGCCAACCCGAAGCCGGATCCAGCACCTCCTCCCTCATCGCCCTCACCTACATCCCGTCCAACGCGGGCGTGCGAGCCAAGACCCTCTTCGCCTCGACACGAGCAACTCTAGCCCGAGAACTCGGCACGGAGAAGTTCGCATCGACGATCTTCGCCACAGAGGAAGAGGAGGTCGTGGGCGAGAGTGCCTGGAAGGAGCGAGATGCGGAGAAGAACGGATCGGGTGGATCCGGGGGCTTTCAGCGCGAGGACCTGATGGGGGAGAAGGAGCGGGAGTTGGAGGCCGTGCGGAGAGCGGAAGAGGAGGCCCGGAATGGGACTCCGAGTAGGGATATTGGTATCGGAGGTTCATTTGCGCGGGGCAGTGGTGGGAACAGTCCGTTTGGGTCGGGGAATCGGGCGCTGCAGATGCCAGTGGATGAGGATGCTAAGGAGGCTTTGAGGTCGCTGCAGCAGGGTGGGCTAGTTCAATTGGTAAGTTTTTCTGAAGATATTCTGGAAGAATATTTGATTAAGATGGCTAACTTCTATGAACTATCCCCCGCACAGGTCATTGATATCCCTAAGGAGACCCTCCGACTGGGTGGCGCGGAGTCTAGCATTGACCCCAACGCTATCCAGGAGCAGATCTCGACCTCGTCGCCACGCTATGCATTCTACCACTATCCCGACTCTGAAGCAGTGGTCTTCATCTATACCTGCCCGTCCGGATCGTCGATCAAGGAGCGCATGCTGTACGCCAGTTCTCGATTGTACGCCTTGCAAGTCGCCGAGGACCAGGGCCTGAAGATTTCCAAGAAGGTACGGAATTTCCATGATCGGGAGCAGCAGAGATTTGATTGCAGAGTTTTCGCATATTAACGGAGAATCATTGTAGATCGAAGCGTCTTCGGCGGATGAAGTTTCGGGAGAACGGTTGCACGAGGAGGTCAACCCCTCGCAGAATAACGGGCCTCAGCGAGGATTCGCGAGACCGAAACGACCCGGCCGGTAAATCCGTGACGCCTTCCGGATTTCCCAGCGACAGCACACAACACCTTTCTTCTTCTGCATGATACATAGCTCTTCTTTGTGTAGTTTCGCTTCCCCCATTCCAAGACTTCCGATCAGACATCAGACATAAGACATAAGACATCAGACCAGGATCGTAGAAACCGCAATGCAAGCCAGTCGTTCTAGGCTCCCGAAATCCCCATTCACAGAGAAACAACCAGCCGCAGACAACCCCACCAACAAATCCAAGGCCAAGGCCAAAGAAGGTCAAGGTCACTGATTCCGAAAACTCTTTTTCTGGTAAAACAAATCCGTCCTCGAACTACCCAAATTGATAATCTTCGGACACCCATCCCGATCCTTCTCGAGGCGTGTACACTCAAAGCAATAGAACGCATCACTGATGCCCTCGCCGCCGCACACGATACATTTATTCTGGTAGTTGCCGAACGAGCACTCGTCGCAGATGCGGACTAGGGTCGTGGGGCGCACGTAGGAGTCGCAGACGGGACATTTACCGTCACATTTGTCACACAGGCGGCCGATTGAGATACCGGGCTGCTTGCGGCACATGACGAGATCAGGGTGATGGCGGGACATGGTTGCTTAGATATTGATTGGGGACGAGGGACGAGGAACGGTTGGGTTTGGTTTTGGGGAGGTGGTGGCGCGCGACAAACACGGAGGGAGGGAGAGCTCGAGTCTTGATCTCGTCGAAGGGGGACTGCGCGATGTCTTATTTTGATAAAAGAGGGACGCAATGTAATCAAGAAAGAAAGGGTGGTGGTATTTGTAAGCGTTGTAGGTGTAACTAACTAGTAATTGACAAAGTGAAAGAGATGGAAGGACACCGCCGAAGAGAAGAAGATTCCACGGGCTTTGGGCACCAGATCGGGAAATGGTCCGTGCGGGGATCGTTCGAAGGTGCCGCCGTTCAGATGATGGATTGAATTCAGCTGCACCTTGACAATTCCTTCGAGGCTGATGAGTGAACGAGAATGAGTGAATGATTGCTTCTGACCAGGGGGAGTTTAATTGATTTTTCATTGACATTTGTGTTCAATCTTGATCTTGTCTTCGTTTATATCTGTGTTTTCTTTTCTTCGTCTTGAATCTCCTACCTACGGTAGGTAAACGATACGATATGGCGGAAAGGTGAGTCCAGTACCAACACCAGCACCTCTCTGAATGAAGTTCCTGACTGAACATTTCCCCCTACTTGCTTGCCTACCAGATCCCTCGCCTCCGCTGTCGCATTGCCCGAACAGGAAAACGTGATCACATCCCCAGACGTCGGGTTCAAGCGGCGCCAATCGTCCATCTCGAACCCAGACGCAGAGAACAAGCGACGCCGACTCAGCAGCGCCACACAAGATGATCACCACGATCGCCGGTCCTCCATCACAGACCGCAATCAACACTCCCCGGACGCAGGAGGAGGGGCCGAACGGAGAGCGGATCGGAAACCCACCCGGCCGGCGGGCGGACGCGACGAAGAACGGAAGCGCGGACAGAGACTATTCGGTGGCCTGCTAGGGACGCTATCGCAGAGCTCGACCTCAGCAGCGCAGAGACGTCGAGCGGACATCGAACGGAGACAGAAGGATAAACTGAAGTTACAGGATGAGGAGTACGACGAGCTGAAGAAGAAGAGGCGTGGGGAGCGGGCGGAGATCCGGAAGAAGGAGCAGAGACTGTATGATGAGGAATCGGTGAGTTTGGCTAATATGTGTTGCGCAAGGGCGAGTGATGATGCTGATGGTGAAAATGTAGATGCGAACGCGCCACGCAAATCTGTTGGCTATGGCTCATTTCTTGAAGACGAGGGCTGAGCCGGTATTGGTATGTTTGGTTTTCCGTGGTCTCCGCGTCCGCGTGCATGGGCGATATCGAGCTAATGTGTTTACAGTATTACAAGCCCTGGCAGCTTCGTCCGGACGACCATGCGATCATACGAGACCAGATTGAGGATGCGGAGGCTACGATCTCTCGCGAAGTGGCAGAGTTCGAGGCGCGTTACCCACCTCAGCAGGAGGAAAGATCTCAGGAGCAGACAGAGCAGCAAGAACAGCCGGAGCCCACACAAGAAGCGAATGCGGAACCAGCCGCGGCGCCCGAGAAAGAGACAGAAGCAGAGACTGATACGAAAGAGTCCAAGGAAACAGCGCATGAAGCTTCACACCCCACAGACGCTGAAGCGCATCATGAAAAGATTACTGAGAACGCACCGACAGACGTTATGCCCCCTAATGATAACAATGTCTCCGCCGGCAACGATCATTCAGACGTGCACCGAGGCCATGAGGACGACGGCGGCGAAGTGGTTGAGGACCAGGAGGATACTGTAATTTATTAACTGCATGGCGGTTTCTTTTTCTATGTCTCCGAGTTCCTTTCTATTAATTCTTTAATCCCAGGCTGTCATTGGCAAATCCCTTACCTCGAAAATGGACGTGCGTGCATGAATGGAGTATAGGGATGACATATCACACTTCCCTTGAGGAGTAACTACTGAGGAATATCCGGAGAAGCCGAGGCACGTCGGCAGAACCCAAAAAGAACCCAGCAAAAGACCGCAGACGACACTACACTACAAATCAAATAGAAACAAGAACGAACATCCAAAACCCGGTTACACACCTTCAGCACCCATGGAATCCAATCCCACTAGTGCCCAATCTCGTAGCTTCGTAGCCTCGTTTTTCTCCATGGGTTCTGTTTCCCCATTTCTGCGGGTTCTTCACGTGATGGACAGCTGGCGGGGAAAGAGGAGCTCTATAAATAAAATGAATGTCGGTATGCAACTTTCTTGGGCTTTCTTCCGTAGAGACTATTTCTCGGGCTAGAGATCGGGGGGCTCTATCTTTGTTTTCAGTTATCCATCCTCTCGTTGTCGACTTACTGGATAGGTATTGCATCGCAGTCATGTCCGTCGATAAGATCTCTGTATTCGACGATCCGCGGGTCGAGCGACGTTTTGCGAATCTAAATGGTAAAAATTACGGTATGTAGGGAGGGAAGGAAACGTTCCAGTTCTTGCGGAACCACCGACATGACGAAATTGTGTTCTTGACATTCGTGTTACCTACCGAGTAGTTGAACTGATTATATATTATCTCTGCAGGCTATCTCTACAGCGAGCCCGAGTCGGGCAAATACAGAGCGACCATTTTTCTTGTGCGTGGGCTCCCACAGGGTTCCTCAAATAGAGTCGGCCTATTGAAGACAGAACTATTTAAACTCATCCTTCCAGATTCATGGCTTCCCCGACTTGTCGATGGGATGGCGGTACCAGATCCCCATGTTAAGGCGGATGGGCCTGCGGGTCGTCGCGCCGGATTGTTTGGGATACGGACGAACGGTAAGATTCGCGACCCTTTTGAATTGCAAATCGCTAAGAATCTGGAATAGGACGCCCCAGACAACATTGCCTTATATTCACATAAGAGCTGCGCCGACGACATCAAAGAACTCGCCTCTCAACTCGGAGCATCGCAGATCATTCTCGGCGGGCATGATTGGTACGTCTTTCTTGTCGCAATCTTGATCCCCAAAATCAAGGTTCTAAAATCCTCAACACTAAACACCGAAAACCAACCCTAACACCCAAATCCAAACAGGGGCGCCGCTCTCGCCTACCGAGTCGCGCTATGGCATCCCGATCTCATCTCCCATCTATTCACCGTGTGCGTGCCATACGCGCCGCCGCAAAAGAAATTCTTCCCGCTCGAGGAGATGGTGAAGAAAGTGGCGCCGCACTTCTCGTACCAGTTGCAGTTCAGCAGTGGGGAGCTAGAGGAGCCGACGCGGTCGAAGGAGGGGATCAAGAAGTTCTTGTCGGCGTTGTATGGCGGGCGCACGCCGGAGAAGGAGTTCGTGTGGGCTGCGGAGCTGGGGATTTCGGTGGAGCGGATGGAGAGGGTTTTGCCGTCGAGGTTGTTGACGGATGAGGTTTGTGTTTTCTTTTCTTCCCTTTGCTGTTTGAGGCCTGTGTCTCGGTACAGGATCATTGACAATGGGGGTGATATACTGATGATATTGAAATTTAGGAACTCGAATACTACGCCACTGAATTCTCACGCCACGGGCTACACGGTCCATGTACGTCCCTACCCACTCTTTTTATCTCTCCCACCCATAAATTAACCACTAACACAACACCAAAAAGTCAACTGGTACCGCACACGCGAAATCAACTACAAAGAAGAACTCTCGATCCTCGACCGACGCATCACCGCGCCCGTGCTCTTCATCCAGGCGCTCCGAGACGCAGCACTCCCGTCGAATCTAGGCCGCGGCATGACGAAGACGATCCCGCACTTGACGTTCAAGCAGGTCAACACGTCGCATTGGGCGCTGTGGGAGCAACCCGCGGAAGTGAATGAGATGATTGCGTGGTGGTTGGAGGAGGTGGTGTTTACGGATCCGAGGGTGGTGAAGTTGTGATTCGTTTTTCAGCTGGGCTGATTGTTGGATTGGATTGTACTGTACTGTTATACTGTACTGCATTGTGAGTGAGGTACCTAGGGCAGGGTAGGCAGTGAGGAACTATGCCGTGATATGGTCTGCTGAGACGAGCGGGCTCGTTTTAGAGGCTTTGCCGGGCGAGAATCGGGGTGGTTATTACATAAGGGGGTACAATGGTGTGAATTATATACTTGAGAACAGTGAGATCAGATCAAACTAATCAAATGGACGATATGGATGATATAGCATATACTAACATGGTATACATTAAGATAGTACAAATCAACCCTAAAGTATGTACAATACAAAAAATACAGATACAACATCAATATATAGAGAATCCAGAATCACCAGATCAAAACTCCAACACCTTCGTCTCAATATAACACCCAGCCTCCTGCAACCGATCCGCATATTCCTGCCCCAACGTAGCCGGAGTAACAATCCCCCCTCTTGACACCTTCCTCACCTTCTCCTCGTTCTCCAAAAGAACCATCGCGCCCTGAGCCATCAACAAACCCGTCAACGCATACAACGAGCCCTGAAACTTCAACGTGCCCAGCGCCCTCTTCGGCTCATTCGTATGCTGATCCGCCGTCGCCACAGCACGATACTGAACGCGATCGGCAGTCGAATCCTCCAAACGGGGCCCGCTACCAGGCGAATAGATGAACTGCTTCACGAGCGTACGCACAGGCGGCAAGACGAGGAGGGTGGCGCCAATAAGGAACGCAAAGTGCAGAGCCACGCCGACCAGGACGTTTCGGACGCGCACGAACTGGCGGAAATGGAACCTCGGTCCGTAGAATTCCGGCATCAGGGTGCTGCTGCGGTGCACGATGATAATGTCAGCGATGGCGGTAGGCGAGGTGGTCAGGACGCCCATGTCGGGGATGCAGCGGACGCCGAAGAGCTTTTGGGTGATGGACTCGCGGGGATGAGTCTTTGGGGGCGGGGACGCGGCCAGCGCGAACGGGTGTGTTGATTTGGAGAGGTCAGAGAAGGGAACTGCGTCGAAGAGGGTGAGGATGGTGCTGAGGGTTCCGCCGCTTGCGCCGGAGCTCCTTTATTGGGAGTGGTTAGTTAGATAAGTAGTGAATTCACGGGGATGCGAGGTTGTCTTGTTGGTTGGCTTACTTGAGGTCGTCGATTGAACAGGTGATGTCCTTGGTGTCGCAGGATAGCTCTTCGCGAACTCGTTTGACAAGCGACCAGGAGAGCATATCGGCGGGGACACTTTCAACACCCATGAATGGGATGATCTGGCGTCGGATTAGTATACTAATCGAAGGAACAATTGGATTATATGTACTCACAATGGCCCCGTTTGCCTTGGCTATTTCATGGTATCTGTCGACCACGCTCTTAATGAATGGCGGTTCTCCAGTTCTAAAAATTCGGTCAGAGATACCCTGTATAGAGCTCCAGAATGAAGGGATCGTACGCATCGATATAATGCGTCCCGTTACTCGCACATGCCTCAACCACCGGGATCGAATACAAGTAGTACGGACCGACGCAATTGATGATGATCTTCGTCCTTTGCGCCAGACTATGAAGCTCCTCGCGATTCAGCTGAACAGCTAAGACCTCTACGACAGTGTTAACAATGGCATTTCACCTCAGCTACTGCACGGTCCAAATGGAGCAATACCTGGCGGGGTGCGATCCGGATTCAACGTCTTGATCCCCTGCGCTACGCTCTCAATCTTCTCGACCGAACGCCCGGCAAGCGCCCATTTCAGATTGGTGGGCAGATTCTTGACAATGTGTTCCGCACAAAGCTTGCCTGTGTAACCTGTCGGACCGAGAACGGCTAGGTCGAATTCCCGGCTGGATTGCATGTCGGGATTGGAGAGGATTTGGGGAGTTGAGGATGGACGGTGATACGATGGTATAATAGATAGAATCACGGCTGGAAGGGGATGTATACAGTATAAGGTAGATAGAAAGACATATAGCGGTTGGAAAGGAAAGAACCAGTATAGATAGGGACAGGGGTCCGGGGGAATTCTAGACTGTCTCAGGAGCGGCCTCAGGCTAGCCCCAACTTGATGATATCATCAAGATCAAGTCATGTGACTACTCAAACTCTCTCTCGTATATGTTTGCCAACAAGGTTCATAGCATGAGAATACTCGGTAGGAATAAGAATCAGATGGATCAAGCAAAGACAAATAGTCACCGGACATCGGCAGTCTATGGTTCATAGTAGTTATTAGTAGTAATGTGGTGATGACGTTGAAGGGCGGGAGAAGAAATTGGAATATTAGCAGCGTCAAAAATGCAAAATCGATAAACTAGACTAAGGATCAATATCGACTTAACACGTTAGTTTATTAAGCTAATGAATAATAAGAGGGCCATGCCGCAATCTACGTAGTCAAACAGTTCAGTTCCTGGGCCTGACATCACATCGTCGAGGCGGCGTGAGCCCCACGTGACCGCCGCCAAGAGTTCGAGCCCTAAGCGAGCCCACAACGACTCCCGCCTACCTAGAAAGCCTCAGTCTCGATTTCGACTTACCGCACTGTTACCATCTTCGACTCAACAGCCTCACAGCCAAGATGACGAAGCGCACCAAGAGTGAGTACTATCGCCTGGCAGACTCATATCAACCCCGAGGAAATTAATCACTGACTGAAAATTCCAGAGGTCGGCATCACCGGTAAATATGGTACTAGGTACGGTTTTCTCTTCGCCCTGCATTCTAGGAATCCGACTTGAATTCGATGGCGCTCCTCGCCCGAGCGCGATCTCCCCCAAATGAAGCGAACTCGGATTCAAGACTTCGCCCTCGATCAGACGAAATAGACCGGTTGTATTAACGACGTGATTGAACAGATACGGTGCCTCCCTGCGTAAGCAGGTGAAGAAGATGGAAGTGTCGCAGCACGCCCGCTACATCTGTACCTTCTGCGGAAAGAACACCGTCAAGCGCAAGTCTGTCGGTATCTGGGAGTGCAAGGGCTGCAACAAGTGTGTTGCCGGTGGTGCCTACACCGTCTCGTAAGTCGAGCGCCTGTCCTGAGAAAGATTTTCCTCGTCCTCGCCACCCTCCAATCCTGGAATTTGGCTAGACTGGGCCCCTGTACAAGGGGAGCTGATTCAGGTAACACAAATACTGACCGATGCGATCGTGCTACAGTACCCCCGCCGCCGCTGCCACCCGCTCCACCATCCGTCGTCTCAGAGAAATCGCGGAGGTTTAAGTGTGATGATGGGATTTTCTTTACGTTTGAATTAAAAAAAAAATAGCGAAATTCAATACCTGAAGAGCTTAAATGAGTGAACTCCTTCTACGATCTTACTACTTTCCCCCGATGTCCACGCCGTATCCAGGTAGACTTCAATCCCACCGGTGATTTCGGATATTTCCAATCTCTCTAAGAGCGCCTCGTAGCAGATATCTCGCGTCTGCAGTCTGTCCGTCTAGTGTGTGATGCGCCGTGATCCCTATCGCTTTTGATAAAATTACTGGAAAGCCGGGATTAGTCTATCAGGAACGGGTTATACATTTATCGGATAAACCTTTCGATCATTTCTCATCAATTTAGAATCCGCAAATCATCATGTCTCATCTGAAGAAGTCAAAATGGCGACAGATCAGCAACTGCATCGCGGACACTGCCGCCTGTGCAAATAAGAGCGACAGAGCGACAAGGAAAGACGAGGGGTCTTCTGACGTTGCAAAATTGCAGCCATGTGGATGGATGAACTTGTGTTTCTGCCAGGGAGCTGTTGTATGGTTGAAATATTTTTTTATTTGATCTTTGACGCGCGTCTGACTTAGAACGACAGCACATGTAGGTACGGGAGGTTGCGGTGCTTTCGTCCGGGTCTCTTGTGCCGGACTCCCTAGTCAGCCGGTGAAACCTCGTTTTACTCTACAGCGCAGAACTCGGCGCAGCGAAGTCAACCTGAGTTGGCAGGTATATGCCGATGGTCAAGATTTGAGATTCAACTACTACATAGAATAAATTCAAGGCCGATTTAACGTGTTCTCCGGAAGGATCATAAGCCCATATTGGGTATTTAATTCGTAGTAGCTACTCAATAGGATGCGTAGCCACCGATAGAGTAGACCAACAGGGACCGCCGAGTAGCCTGGGACACCTGAACGCATGAACGCCTGAACGCTTGAACACCTGAGGCCATCAGGAGGGCGGCTGCGCAGTGAGCACCCGGATTTCCCAGCCGTTGATTGGCCCTCGAGGTAGGCCGGTCACGTTGCGGGCCAGACCCCTTTGCGTTAGACCGGATTGCAGGTCCACCTTCAAAAGGCCGGCTGCTTTCTCCCCACATCACTTCGTCTTGCTTCCTCTCTCCCTTTCCCTTCTTCCCACGTCTCTGTCTTCCCATCCCTTTTGGCCAGCTGCTCTTCATGCCTTCTCTTAGCTTCCCTGCAGACAATCCTGGCACATCCCCAACTGTTAATGTCCGACACTTGTATTGTGTGTTTAGGAGACCTTGGCGAAAGCGCCAGCGATCCTCTTGCCGTCACCGCCGAGGCCGCGCCAAGACCTGATCCCCGAGTAGATGGCAAGCCCAATGACCCTTCTACCGAGGCGGACGGCGTGGACGGCAATGAGGATGCTGGCCAGATCGCCCAGTTACTCCCTTGCGGCCATATCCTGCACAATAATTGCCTGAAACCATGGGTCGAAAGGGCCAACAGTTGTCCCATTTGCCGCCGCAGCTTCAACATGGTGGAGCTGAGGGAGCGGCTCGGAGGTATGACTTTCCCCTTATGATTTTCTTTACCACAACTTCTGCATAATACGTGCATTGATAGATGATGGACATTCGCTAACGATGAGGTCTTCCCCCTGCAGGTCCCGTATCGTCATCTTACTCCGTGCAAGACAGAACGCAAGTGGCGGACGTTGATCCCTCCATGGTAATAGAATATATAGATGATGATCTGGCTGAGTTCCCACCGTGTCTTATATGTGGGGACGCAGATAATGATGAACTCCTGCTTCTCTGCGATGCGTGCGATGCCCCGTCTCACACCTACTGTGTCGGGCTCGATACCGTGCCGTCCGGGCCTTGGTATTGCTCGCGCTGCCTCATCCAACGCACGTCGGGTTCCTCCTCCGAGATGGCCGAGCGATCCCTCCGGACTCCGGACCGCCGCGGTCGCCGCACGAGGGCACAGCAGCGCAGACTGCAGAGTAGGAATCAGATGAACTCTCTTCACTGGGCACGGGTATGGCAGTCCGTCTGGGATCATCTCAACCTTGACTTGGATTTTCCTTTTGATGATGACAGGGCTGTAGAGCGTGCTCGTCAGCAACAACGACGCGAGGAGGCAAACCAGCGAGAGTTTCGAGTCTGGCAGCGTCGTTTCGAGGTTGCCGAGCAGCAGGGTGGTAACAATCGATTCCGAGACACGGCTGCTCTCCTCGACCTCGAAGTTGCTCGGCCGTCACGGCCTCGTGTCCCACGAGAACCTACTCCAGAGCCCGAGTCTCTTGAAGAAATGCGAGCATGGAACGCTTTCGAGAGGGCTCGAGAGATTGAAAACAACCCCCATGCCGCGAGAAAGAGAAAGGAACCCACTTTGTCGCCATCACCGGAGCCTACTGAGCCCGAAAGAAAGCTGAAGCGTCCACGAACCCGCAGAGCTCAGGATCTGGCGGCTCTGGCTACGCAGAATGGAGAATCCTCTCGAACTGCTAGCGCCCAAGCCTCTGCTCGTATCAATGCCGAGGGGTCGAGCGAGCCAAGCTTCCTTTCATCCCTTCTTAAGGAAGTAGAGGATTCCTCAACTCCTCGTGGCGCTAATTCGCAAGGCCCCTCGGCCCAAGTTTCGGTAGCACCAACCGACCATCCATCCCCTGGGCCCTCATCCCCATCAATATCGCCTGCTCCCTCCAATCACTCTTCTCCCCAACTATCATCTTCAACACCGCCCCCGCACCTTCGGAGCAGGCCGATTTCTCCAATCCAACTCGCGTCCCCCACGGACCGGTCGTCTCCACCGTTCTCACCAGACGTGTCACCGGTCGGCGCTGTCAATGGCACTCGGGAAGATACGCCACCGCAACTTGCTGTCGAGCGGCCTCAGCGTCGTGTGCCAAGAGCATGGTTGCAATCAGTGGGTGCACGGTCTAACGAGAGCTCTCCAACCCGGACCAAACCATCCTCGGCCGTCAAGTCCGACATCCAAAGAATAGTCGGGGCCGCACTGAAACCATACTATCGTTCCAAAATCATTTCGAAGGATGAGTTCACTGATATCAATCGAAATATATCTCGGATGCTATATGAGCGCGTTGGGGGCATTGGAACCCTCGAGGCGGGCACGAAGGCAAATTTGGAAAGCTCGGCGCGGGACGAAGTGGCGGGGGCCGTGGATTCCCTCAAACAGAAGCAGAGGAGCATCAACGGTCATGAGGATAGTGCTTGATATTTGAATTTGATACGGCATGTGCCGGCGTTTACGCAGCGATTTATCTTGATCCCATTAAGGGAAATGCATCGTCTTGGGCGTTTATCTATGACCTGCTGGAAGGGACAACACACGGAGATACCTGCTTTTTATTTTTATTGTGAAGAAATTTTTTTTTTCTGGAGTCTAGGGTGGCTGGATTGGGAATTGGCATGAAGCGCATACCGACTTTTGTAGCTGTATTTTCTGGATATTTTATGGTTGGGAAGATATTCCTGAATAATATATTTCACGGGCCCGTCTTGATGACGGGCTTATAAGCAATGATTTATCTTATTTCTGTCTCTCCCATGAGAAAGATCTGCTTTTTAATATTAAGGGCCTGGATTTTAAAAGAGACGAAGACCTTTTCTCTATACCTAAAGAAGAAAGAGTGTAGGCCTTGGGGGCCAGGCCTGTGTAACCACCCCCGCCTTTTCCTCTCCGCGCTTTTCGTTTCCACCTTCACACAGTTCTCTCCAGTGACATGTACAAGATGATCGACCAGATTGAAACCTTCAGTGCACAATCCTGAGCTGATCTGCTGTTTCTTGCCTAATTTTTCTACGTATGCATTATTCCGAGCCGATAGCCGAATGTTCAGGTCTTATTCTGCCCACTGACTGCATTAGCTGAGTTTTATACAGAGTTTTGACCACATCTCTGTTCGACATGTGCTTGCATACACCGTATGCGATATCTACAACCAAGAAGAACTAGTCGATTGCGGCATTAGTCTACACCAGAAGATCCCTGGTGCCTGATGATTGTGTCATAGGGTTATCATATTATTAATGGCGGTGGCGAAAACTGATGGAAATGAGAATCCTAATGAATTTGAACATGGCATGCGGACTGACTAATCGGCTTCACAAAGGAGCGATGACTGATCGGCATAAAGCGAGAGACTTCAGGATAGGACTGTCCGCGCTGTGTTCGTTTGATATCTCCGAGATTGATAGCATGGGGTGACCTTTGAATAAAAACTTAAGGGGTCGGACTCGGAGACAGACACCCGAACTGCGAACATACCAAAAACAACAGACAATGCACGCTGACGAATCGACCGGATCCTTTGTCGGACAGTCCATCCTGACTCGGTCTCGGGAATAGTGCTATGAGCATTTACCGATACCCGCAGAATGATCAAGAAATGTCAAGATAGAGGGAGGCTAAGGCGTCGGCCAGAGTGGGCTCCCGACCCTCCTGACCCAATAGCTTATGCGAATCCGGACATGGTCGGCCTTCGGACCGCTGCAAAGCGCGAGCAGCGTTTTCTCGAATCCACGTTTCCAACTTCCACCCCCTTCTAACAGTTGGATTCGAAAGCTTTGACTCATGTGTGTGCCTGGCCTCCAATCATAATGACACCAACATACTAGGGATATGGCCTATGGGCCGATTACCCGGCAGAGGGCCATACTAAGGCAGTTTTAGCATGTCAGATCTTCGCTCTCGGGGTTAACGGTTTGCGACTGACGCTTTCAGGCCTGGAAATGATCCAATCTTCACATGGATCGGACTGATCATTGATCCGTTCGTACGCTTCTGGGCCCATCACCTTTTCACTTTTTTCCCCCCCCCTTAGCACGAATCAGTATGTCGGGGTCCGTATCGGTGCCGGGGAATTCGGACTTAAGATTTTTATGATGGTGGAGCACGTTCGCGCGCTGGACACTCCGGTGTGGCAGCTTCAAACCGAGATACTAATTTTGATTTACTAATTGATAGATCTTTGGGTTTATTTTTTTTGTTATTGGAGGCCCACTCCTTGATACTGTGCAATGACTTATAATCTCCGGAAGGTCCCATATTTTGGCCATAGGTTTCACAACATTCCGCACTATATAGGTCCAAGTTTCCTAACAATTCACCCTTACTTGAATTTCTCGATAGTCAGAAAATTATCTCCATTCACCTGAAGCGAAAGAGGACGTTACATAAGGAGGAAAAGTCTTGAACCCGCCGAAACTGACTCTGGGCCATGGTTGCCGAAAACCAGAACAGCGCAATAATGAACGACAACAACGGCATGGCTTCACATTTTGATCAAACGAACGAACTTCCAGTATCGTCGGACGTTACTTTGAACTCTGAAACACATTCAATAGCGGGGGATCCAGAGAAGGAGCTTGAGGGCTCCCACGAAAAAGACTTGGAGAATGATGGAGCACTTGCTCAAATACCTGGCGGCGAGAAGCCAGGCGCGCCTCCCCAGAAAGACCCGAACTTGGTGGAATTCGATGGACCCGACGACCCCGAGAACCCGCAGAATATGCCATACTGGAAGAAATGGGTGTTGACGATGACCTTGTCTTCGATGACTATGTGGATCACCTTTGCAAGCAGTGTCTTTTCGACCGCTACTGTGGTGACGGCCAAGGAATTCGACGTTTCGACCGAAGTTATGACATTAGGAACCAGTTTGGTTGTCTTTGGATTCGCCCTGGGACCCTTGATGTGGTCGCCTTTTTCTGAATTGTACGGACGCAGACTGCCATTGTTCTTCGGCTACGCCGTGTTCGCGATTTTCCAAATCCCAGTTGCAGTCGCGCAGAACCTTCAAACCATCATGATTTGTCGCTTCTTGATGGGTGTGTTTGGCTGCTCCCCTCTGGCGGTTGTTGGTGGTGCTATGGCCGACTTCTGGAACCCTATCGACCGTGCTGTGGCTATTGCAATGTTCTCGGCTGCAACTTTTGTTGGACCTGTCCTTGGTATGTGTTCCCACCCTGGTGATGTTCTTTTTCGCCCTTGGAATTGCCCTTCTAACACACGCGCGTAGGTCCCATCGTCGGTGGTTTCATCACAGACTCGCATCTTGGCTGGCGCTGGACGGCGTGGATCACTTTGATCGCCTCAGCAACCTTTGGCCTGATCGCCCTTATTATCATCCCCGAGACGTACGCACCCGTTATTCTGCAAAAGCGCGCTGCCCGCCTCCGCCGAGAGACTGGTAACTGGGCGCTGCACTCAGCTCTGGACGAAAGCCGCCCTACTGCATCGGAAATCGTCACCAAGTATCTGGTGCGCCCGATTCAAATGCTGTTCTTGGAACCCATTCTCCTCTTGATCACCATATACCTCGCCTTGATCTACGGCATCCTGTACCTGTTCTTCGAGGCCTATCCCGTCTCCTTCCAGGAGGTTCGCGGATGGACCAATGGCGGTGTTGCCGGACTTCCCTTCCTCGGAATCATGATCGGAGTGCTCTGCGGAGTGGCCCTGATCATCTGGCAGACGAAGACTCGGTTCGCGCGCAAATTGGCGAAGCACGGTCGTGTTGTTCCCGAGGAGCGTCTCGTCCCCATGATGATCGCGTCGGTTCTGCTGCCTGCCGGTCTCTTCTGGTTCGGCTGGACCTCTGACCGCAACATCTCCTGGGTCCCTCAGGTCATTGCCGGCATCCCCATCGGCATGGGCATCCTGGTTATCTTCATGCAGGGTCTCAACTACATCATCGATGTCTATCTCATGTTTGCCAACTCCGCCATCGCTGCGAACACTCTCGTTCGGAGCAGCCTCGGAGGTGCTTTCCCGCTCTTCTCCGTGCAGATGTACCATAAGCTGGGTGTCAACTGGGCCTCCAGTCTGCTTGGCTTCATCACCGTCGCAATGATTCCTATCCCGGTGATCTTCTTCATCTATGGAAAGAAGATCCGGGCGATGAGCAAGTTCTCTCCTAAGCTGTGAAAGCCGGGTGGATGTTTACTTCTTAATGTTTTCTGTTGTGCAACGAGTTATGCATGAAAAAGCGGGCATTTGCAGGGCGTTCCTGAATAGTTACTCATTTATAGACCATAATAGTTAACTTTTAATCATCACTCCATTTCACCATATTCTAATTAGCAGATGGCTGTTTTAGTCGCCTTTCCGTAGCCATTAGGTGCCCGTGCGCATGCCTGAGGCCACGGGCTTTCACCCCTTGCTTCCTCGACATCGCTGCTTCAGCCGAGTCTGCTGTTCCACGGGTATAGTGGGGTCGTGGGGATGAGGAGCGTAATGAGTGTTATGGCGGGAGTCTAGAGACGCTTTATAGGATTTCAGGTCCTGTAAGGCTTTGTATGCGCCAGCGCAGAATCTGGCGATTCGTGGCGACCATGTATCAATGTGAAGGGGGGTAATGTTGGTGAACATCTCGACAGGATGCATCTGATAATCTTCAGTCTTATGGGGGAAGTGTGGCAGGTCTTTCATCGGACTCATTCGCAGTTAGGCCCAGTATTTTCCGATGGCAGGCATCATTCCACGGATGAGGACTATCCAATCGAATCGTGGGTGAAGTTGCTGCATACATTCTGGCGGTTGGAAAGACGCCGAGACCACATCGTTCATGTTTCTGACTCGAAGCGAACCGAAGGCAAAACTGACAAGGAGCATGGCGCCAACAAAGATCTCACAGCAGTTGGGATTTGACAGGTTGGATAGTGCTTTCCGGAACCCCCTTAGTCCAATCTGATGGTGCGCAAATATAACCTCTAGATGGGCGGCGTTAATGCTGAGCTCCGACGGCGAAGTGGAATTTGTTCCAGGGGGTGGTCGGTGATTATGAGAGACGTAGGAGGTGTCGGCGTCTTGAGATGTCGTATGTATGGTATGCTCTTGATCGGCGGATTTGTCTGGGTAGAAGTAATCTAGCCCAGCCAACGCAAGCGACAAGCGCATTAAGATCTCATTTTTGTTCGCATAATCAGGAAACACAGTCTCCTAAGCCCGCCGCTTATTCGGATTAAGCGACATTCGTTTGATAGTATTGGTGACTTTCCTCTGCCACTTCTTGACTTTCCATTTCCGTCTTAGTGCTCAGTCCTTGCCGCTTTTTGCTCACTGAGTAGGACTGAGCACGCCCCTGAGTATTACATAATCACCACGCTCGCTCAGGAATTGCTATAGCAAGTACTTGAGCGGGTGCGAGAAATCGTAGAGTAGAAATAAGAAAGAAAGTTGAAATTTTTCAGGAAAGCGGATTACTGTAAGATATTTGAAGGTCATGCGAATCATTCGGTTTATTAATTAGCCTTAGCGGACTCTATACCTAGAACGGCTCACGCGAGCTTATCGTTCGATAAGCTCGCGTGAGCTGTATCCACGGAGGTAACAGACTAGGGAATTTGTCGCAGATTCCAAACCAATCATGCATGGGAGTTATAGATAATTGTATAAATACTTCTTCATCGGTGAGAATGTAGCTGATAAATCCCGTGAACCCTTTCACATGGTCTTCTCTGCAACTGCTTCCACCGACAAGTCGTGATTGTTGACAAGCACGCCGTATCGAATAGGACATGTGGAGAACGGAACGGATTGAGTCGAGCCTTCCTTGGAGTCTTCTCTGATACTGAAGCAGACTATCGATAACGACAGAACATTCGTGATTGAAATTCGAACTCGATTGACAGGTGATGTCGCATCCCTTCTTCAAAAAGCGAAGAGAGTTTGTGGAACTTCAGCCTTTGTCACTCGTGCAATGACGGTGCTCTTTGCCTAGATCTTCGACCAGCGCAGAAGCACCGCAGCAGCAATGACTGGCAACACACTTACCAACTCTCCTAGCCCCGCAAATTCTGGAGGAATTCTCGCATTGACAAAAGCACCCGCAGCGAGAAGGACTGCAAAGGTGTTATATACGAAACTCCATGCAAAATTGAACTTGATGCGGTTGACGGACTTCCGACTGGCGTTCATCATAGTGGAAATACTAGCCAGAGAAGGCCGCATGAGAACCACATCCGCGGCGGATTGCGCGACATCCGTGCCTTCGTTCATGTGGACGCCGATCGTAGCCTGCGCGAGAGCAACGGCATCGTTCGTGCCGTCACCGCAGAAAACAACAACCGGTTCCTTGCGATCTGTGCCAGTACCGAGGAGCTTCTGGATGTAGTCCTTCTTGTCAGCGGGTGAGCTTCGAGAACGCACATTATCGCCAGGAATACCAAGCTTGGACGCTAGAATCTGAACAGCTCCGTCATCGTCGCCAGAAACCACATGTACCGAGATGCCACGCCTCTGCAGGGTCTCAATCGTCCCTGTAGCGTCAGGTCGAAGCTCATCTTCAAGGCCATAGACCGCATTTAACGCATCGTCGATTGTAAAGCAGAAGACAGTGTATCCTTGAGAAAGCATTGGTTGGACAAGTTTATGTTCCGATAAATTCAGCCAGCGAGAATTGCCTGCTCGAAGTCTCCGGCCACCCAAGATAGTTTCAACACCTTTACCAGTAAGGCTCTTGGGCTCAGGAACAGTCGAAGCCATAGTTCCAGCATCCTTTAGGTGGGCAGCCACAGAAACCGAGACTGGGTGTCGACTGTTTTCGATGAGGCCTAGAAGAAGCGGGAGTTGGTCCACGTCGGCGCAGACCTTCGCGACGACAGAAAGCTTTCCCTGAGTCAAGGTCCCAGTCTTATCAAACACGACGTGCGACGTCTTATAAGCCAATTCAATAGCATCTGCTGACTTGAAGATGATACCTCTTTCCGCTGCGACTCCGCTGGCAATTACAATGACCATAGGAACAGCCAATCCAATAGCGCAGGGGCAAGAGACAATGAGGACAGTAATAGCGTAGGTGATGGCCTGAATTGTAGCCTCAGATCCATCGTATCCACGAATAGTCATGCCCACTGCGACCCAAATGACAAACGTGATGATCGTTAATGCCACAACAACCGGTACGAAATAGGATGCGACCCGGTCCGCTAGATCCTGCATCTTGGGTTTCGACAGTTTGGCCTCATCGACCATCGCAGCAATATCATTGATAGTGTTATCGCTAGCTAAACGGTTCAGTCGAACAGTCATAACTCCAGGTCCATTGATAGACCCAGCAATCACCACAGACTTGGGATATTTTTCCACCGGTCTAGATTCACCAGTGAGCATAGACTCGTCAACCTCGGACGACCCATTGATGACAGTGCCGTCGGTCGGGATTTTGGTGTCAGGGAGAACTTTAAAGGTGTCGCCGTATTGAAGAAGCCGGGCGTCGATCTCACGTTCCGTTCCGCTCTCTTTGTCGACAAGGATAGCTCTCGATGCCTGAAGTGACCGGATAGAAATGGATTCAACAGCTTTCTGACGAGCGAGAGCGGCAACCCATCGACCAACCATGATCAAAGTGACCAAGAGAGTGCTCGTTTCAAAGAATTGACCGGTTGAAAGGGGGTTTTCTGCAATGAGGTACCCAAAGGAGACAACCGAGAAGATGTAGGCAGCACTGGTGCTCAAGACGATCAAAAGATCCATTTCTATAACCTTGGAGAAAATGAAAGCTTTCAGGGCCTTGGGATAGAAAGGTCCTGCTATGACAACTTGAACAATCGTGGCCAAGGCGAGGGAAGCCGAGGAATATGCCACCTCCCTCTCAGGAAGCGGAGCCCATGCCATGACCAGGACCGGGATCGTCAAGACAGCGGAGAAAAAGGTCATATACCCGACATGGCGAACATGCTTACTGCCAGCCTCCAGGGAAGGGTCACCGCGTGGAGGAGCAAGTCCAATTGGCTGACCCCAAATCTTCTCGGTGAGGTCTCGAGCTCCCAGAATCTTCGGATCAAAAGCCACTCGCACGGTCTGCTTGTCCACGGGTACCATGTCAATTACTCCGTCCGGCCACTTCTGACTAATGAATTTTGAGGGTTCACCGGGGACAATAAGATTTAGGCTAGATCCCTGGTTCTGGACTCTTTCGTACTTAAATTCAGTCGTTCGCTCTAGATGTTTTATGACTCCTTCCACCGAGCCAAGGCGGAGATCGACGTTGAACTCGGCTCGTGAGAGAACCAGACTAGTTTTCAGGTCTTTGACAGTGGGGACGCTAACGAGGATTCGGTTGAGCTTTGTCTCGCAACCAGTACAAGTCATGCCAGAAATACTGAGAACGACATGTTCCTTGCCGTTACCCTGATTCTCTATATCGGTGATGGCCTTAATCGGGGATTTCTCAATCCCAAAACCAGAATTGAGTGGAGTAGAGGAGCAGCAAGCATCGGCGCAAGAGCCTTGAGGGCTGATCGGCTGCCTTTCTGTGCAGCAAGAGTCTGCGCAACTAGTTTTGGGGGTCTTGAAGATATCCTGTTTCGGTGGTTTGCAGCAAGATCCAGAGGCGGCACCAGAGGGCTCCTTAGTGATCGCGTTCTTAGCTGTTCCGCAACAAGATCCTGCAGAATCACTAGTGGGAGGCTCAACGACGGGCTTGAGCTTCGAAAAGCACGAATCCGCATAAATGCTTTTCGTGTCATTGTCTTTGACACACTCGTCTCCGAGACAGCAAGATCCAGTGCAGTCAAGCTTGGGAGAGGATTCCTCGGCAGAAGAAGTCTCCGAGCAGCAAGAAACAAGGCGTCCAGGTTGCGCAGCAGGCTGTTTCGCGGACTTTTCGAAGGAGAAGCAAGACTTAGCACAGTTATCCTCGACGGATGGAGCCGTGACCGGCGTGTCTTGAGAGCAGCAAGCATACGAGCACTTTTTGTTCGCTGGGGCTTCTTTGTTAGACTTTTTTTCCGTGCAGCAAGCGTCGGCACAGTTGCCCTTTAGGGGTCGTTCCCTGACAGGTGTGCCCTCAGAGGAGCACGACTTAGAGCACTTGCTTTTGACGGGAGGCTCTCTGGCGTGCTTGTCCTTCGAAGGAAAAGAGACGCAAGCATCCGCGAATGGCTTCTTGGCTGACCTGGCGCTTTCACCAGAGGCCCTCCGTAGGCGAGGATGGTTCTGCGCGGCCTGATCCTTGATGACAGAGCCGTTGCTGCTGCAGGAACCCAGCGAAGTGCGAAGAAGGGAACGAGCGGATGATTTCCTCGAGCAGTGCTTCCCGTCCAGTGAGCGGCGCTCGCGAATTTCACAGCAGGTTTCCTGGCCAAGAGCAATGAGCGCACGGCAGATACATCCCAGGGCTTGCAAAGTAGCGCCATAGCGGTCGAGGGCGGAGAGACTATGTTGACTGCATGCCTTGCGGTCGATAGCCCCTCCACAAACTGAGGGGAGTTAGCAACAATGAAAGCACTTCCCAAAAAGCGGCTGCTCACTGGTTTGCTGACCGTTTGGGCCGGGAGGAGCCGCAGCACCTATCTCGCATTCCCGCATAGCCAAGCGGTCAAGGCAAGACATGTCGCAGCATGGGCCGACTTTGCCACGGCAGCAGTCAGGCGCGTCTGTATCATTCTCGGTTTTGTTGTCCGAGCATTTGCCAGGAGAGCAGGAACTATCCGATTTCTCCTGGATAGGCTCTCTATGAGCGGGGGTCGTGGTGTCGGGAGGACAAAACGTACAACTGTTCGTCTCCGCAGTTGAAGTCACGATTGGGGTTACATCAGGTTCAGGGGCTGGAGCCGGTGAGCCGCAACAGTCAAATCCCATTTTTGAGGTGATTTTTAGCTCGCAGTTCAATTTGTGTATGGTTGAGGTGTAGATGGAGAGGTTTCTGGGGATCGTGGGGTGGGCTATTTTTCGAGATCAGGTTACAGGTCGAATGGCACCTTCGTAGGGGTCATCCGCCGCGCTAGTAGATCAAATGAAAGGCTGGTGGGGCCGGCTTGCGACCTTTTTTAAGTGGCACCTGACCTGCGTACTCTTTTGGAGATACAGCAGTAACTAACTAACTAAATGTGAGCACGGCTTATTCAGCTTTTTACGTGTTTGTATCTCTACCATTCTATCCCGGAACCGACCTGCAATTACCGGGAGAACGGAAAATTAGGTCATGTGATTAGAATTCGATGTTGGAACACAGGGACGTACCCTTCCGCCTGCCCCGGGGTTCGACCTCGCTTAGTCATCACTTAGTAAGCTAGATGGTTACGTTAACTTTATCTTAGTGGTGTACACAGCTCGCGCGAACTTTTGGAAACACCCGCGCGAGCTGACCCCACCTTTTAAGCGAACAACTCACGCTAGATTCAGCTTATTAAGCAGAACAACTCACATAAGGTTATAAATTTACACTGTATTTGAATTTCATATTAGTATAATCAGTTGGCAAGTGGTTATCAAGTGGTTGACTCACATTGTTGGCAATCTGCGCCATGGTGGGCGCCAAATTCAACTGCTTATGAACTGGTTTGATTTCTGGAACAAAAAGAAGAAAAAAAGAAGTGGAGGGAGGGGGTAGCGAAGCGGGATAGTAAGAAAGGTAAGGTTCTGAAAGAGGTCGCGTGAGTTGAAAGTTAAATTTTCTGGTGTTGGGGTCACGTGATCAGCCAGTGACTTTTTCAACTCAACGGAGGTCAGGAAACATCCTTACCGAGCTGCAACCTGGTGTGGTGTCTGTATTGATTCCCGCCACACCGGCCACCCAATACACAAGACATCCATCGCTTCCACATTCGAAAGAGCATTTCGAGTAGGTGATCACAAAGGGCTTCCAGCATAACTGGACTGATGCTTCGTGGTCTACCACCTTTATTGGGCGGTGCTTTGACGCTACCAAATGTCCGAATATTGGAAGAGGTTCTTAGGATGGTACGCTTATTGCAGCCCGCAGCCATTGCCATATGCGATATAGATAGATCCCCACTGCGGAGCATGTCGTGTATAAGCTTATGCTTTGAAGGGGCTAGGCTGGGTGTGACGAACTGACCAAGAACCACTATATAGAGCGATGCGCGTACCAAGTCGTTGACTTGGTATTCTGGTCTTTTTAGTAGCTCAGTCGGTAACCGTCCTACAGACCTACTGAACGGTCGTGGCGGGTAGAAGCGCACCTACCCACTGCCAAGCCCGTGACATTTACTCACTGAGTCGGACTCTGAGCGCCCTCATAAAAGCGGCGGCAGCCAAGATAGGAAAGCCCCACCCGGCAGAGGAAAAACACTACGTAGAGGTACGAGAGTAGACGGAGGTCCACCATGTTTAAGGGTAGATTCTCCCTTGGCCAGTCAGATGTCGGCGCGGCGCAAATGCCGGCAAGGAAGTCCAAAGCGCGGGGGGAGACTGTTTCGGACTGTTCATCCTGAGATGACTCGACAGACCTCCTGCTGTCGCCCACTGAAGACCTAACCCGGAGGATTCCATCCGGTCCCTGCTGGCGCGGAGAATCGGCCGCACAGGGGTAGTGGTTCCGGGATACACGCAAGGCTCCTAAAGACCCTTGATGAACAGGCTCCACAAATTGGTTTCAGTTCGTCACACTAACTCAATTAACCTACACAGAACACATTTCATCGTACAGCGGCAATCCTCTCACCTTGACCCGTCGGGTTTTACAGGTATGGCAGCCATTGCGCGACTTACGATGTCTCACGCGGTGTCTTTGGCGTTCTAGCCTGGTGGTCTCTTCTGGTGAAGCCATTTTGCTGGTTCAGAGCAAGGATGGACACCAAAGCTATGCGCTTGGCGAGGTGGTGGATGGACAGGAAGGGAGATGGAGGGTGTGTTCTACAATGATGAACGAACAAGGAGATAAAAAGGGAATTTAAGAGGAAGGAGGACGCCAAGATGAACCCAACCAGAAGGATAAAAATATCAGACTATTAAGACTAGTAGAGGAAACGAGGTTGAGGCTAGATGGGATGATGACCCACGGCCCTTTAAATTAACTAGGTGTTTGCCGTAGGTGGATCATCGGTCGCAGAAAGTTTTCGGAGTCGGAATCTTATCGGGCGTGACCTCCACCTTTGATCTCATTCAGCACTTTCCCAGGATACACCAGCAGCAGAAAGACCGCCTGCAGAGCCATGAGGATCGCATCTAAGACATACAACAGATACTCCCGCTCCATGATATAGCCTGCGTTACCCTGCACAAACTCAGCGACACGGAAGATCGATCGGACGAAAATCAAGAGGCATGCAGCATGCATGGCATAGAGCATGTACTCCCACGAAGTGCGCGTGGCGTGGGGATGGTTGCAAGAGGTGTGTAGGTACCAAGCCTGCGAACACGGTAGTGGAATACAGCGGCAACGATGACAAAAACACCAAAGATGAAAAGCTGCACAGCGAGACTTGTGATGACAATGGTTTCGCCATTCTGCATGGCTTCCAGAGAGCCAGCTGCCATATATCCGCCGCCTATACTTCAATGTCAGCCATGAATCAACAAGACGTGAAACATACTTCAAAGACCAAGGATGGCCACCACTTACCACCACACTGCAGAACGAATGAAATCACATCTCCGGCAACGAAAATTTTGGTAAGGTATTTGACAGGAATGAGCGATTCTTTCTCGGCACCAAGCCGGACAATCAGTCGCCCCAAAGTCATGTAGATCGAGGCTGCGAACAGAGGCGGAGCGACAAGGATGAGCATTGTCTGAACGATGTAGGACCCCAAGGCTGTGGTGTCAAAATGAGAGAAGATTCTGGCGAAATAGCCTGCTGCCTCGACTGTATGGCCACATGAAATAATCAGATCATCAGTCATAAAAGAACCATGATCACAAGCAACACTTACGCAGAAGACCAATGAAGAATGCGCCGAAAAACATTGCTCGAAAGCGAACGATGATGATTCCATGGAGCACAGCCAGCGCCAGAAAAACAGCGCCAGAAACCGCTACTGCAGGGATTGAAGGAGCGTATCGATAAAGAACGAAGGTTATCATCTCCGGTGGGTAGTCTTGATCGGCCATATTGAATCGATTCAATCGACCACTGTGTAAGGAGTGTACGCAGCGAGATGGGAATTAACGAAAAGTGAAATAACGGCAAGCAAATGAAGGAGAGAAAATTAAAGAGAGTTGATCGCCATCAAGAGGTCGAGGCTACAGGAGTATTTCCGGGCGCTTCTTAAGATAACTTGTGTTCTAGAGTGGAAATGAAGACGACCCAAGCTCCACTTTGGAATACGGACTGTAGACTTTTTTTTTTTTGTTCCTCTCAGACCACTTGTGATTTGAGTATCCATTAAATGGCCGGAGCCATTGTTTCGAGATCGATCTTTAACCTGCCTTGTGCCAAAGAGGTTAATGAAAAAGGAATCTCTTACAGATTCGAGTACTCGCTCAGCGGCCATTTTCCTCCTGAGCCTGGTAAGATCACGGCAGACTGTCTGCTGTGTGGTTAATTGATCCTTCCAGCTTCCCTTCTGATCTACTTTGACCCTCGTTCTTCGATCCTGTCAGCGGCATTCATCTAAGTTCCGTTTTCGGCTGGTCTGCGTAGTCTCTGCCCTACAGATCATAGTACAGAAATAGTATATCCTACTATTCAAAGAAAGACCTTTGGGTACGCTAGTACTTTTTCTTTTTCTGTTCCAATTTTCTTTTTTCTTTTTTTAAATAAGAAAAGGTCTACTACGGAACGGATCAATATGGGTAAGGATGAGGACACATTATCCTCCATTTCCCTTGTCATGTTATGTTATACGGCTATACTCATGATAAGTTTCTCATCTATTGATAGTACTAGCTAATTTTACATTTAATTCTTTCTCGTGAGGAGGCCAAGCTGCACTTAGGCTGTTTCATTCTTCATGCACCGGAAATGACCTCGAGGAATTATGTGCCTTCACCACTAACGGCGCAAATGATTCACCTGGAAACCACTGCAGACGCATCATGATACAGATTAAACTTTTGTCTTGCCGCTAGGACTCCGTAAGTACTCCATAAGAGCGTGAAGTGGGGTGGCGAGTTCCACTTTACCATCACTATCAGAAAACTTATTATATACACGGAAAAGGGAAAAGGGAAAAAAGATGAAGGAAATCAATGCTTTCATTCTATCACGCTGCTGCAATGCTGCGTCAAAGACATCTAATAACGTAATGTGATTTGCCGCCCTCTGTCTCTCTAGGTCGCTGGCATCGGGTTCACTCTAATGTGGACAGCTCTCAGATTGGTATCTCTATTGACGGGTCCACTATCCTCAATTTCACGCAAACCACGAGCTTTTTCGGCTCGTTCGGGCTGGGTGCTTTACTCCATCACGCCGCCATGTTCACCAATGTCTCGTTGACTGCATTCGGCACCGAAACGTACAGCTCACGCTTGACCAGCAATTCTGACTTGCAGGATTATCTTCTACACACCAACCCCTTGCCAGTTGAGGTCGATGGGTCCCGCAGGGATCGGATTGACTACGCTGGTGATTTGGATATGACCACAGGCAGTGCGTTTGCAAGTAATTATGGCCGTGAACACATCAATGGCACGATTGCCTTGTTAGGATCCTTTCAGCTCCTGCCTGGCTTCTTCGTTCCAACCGCCAAAGTGCAACAACCACCACGTACTGCGGATCTTTCTGCCAACATTACAGGTCTCATTGGATACTCCTTCAGTATGGTGAGCGCCATGGCACAGTACTATGAGCAGACCGGTGAAACGGACTTTCTCTCTAGCTGGGCCCCCAAGGCAGCGCGGATGCTCGACTGGGCGCATTCCCAAGTGCTCCCGAATGGAATCCTGAATATCTCCAACCAAGCATTTGCCGGAGACTGGAACTATTACGACCCACAAGTAGGAGGCGAAGTGGCTAAGTTCAACCTTATCTACGCCTCTACGCTCAAGAAATGGGTCCCCTTGATGGTCGACGCTGGTCTCAACTCCACCCTTTATAAGTAGCGCCTGGACGCCCTCAGGACCGCCATCAATCGCCACTTCTGGAGTAACACCCTACAGGCCTACTACCACTCGGACACGCACCAGGATTTCTTCTCCCAGGAAGCAAATGCCCTCGCCATCCTCAGTGACACCATTTCCGTGAACAACACAGGCAACTTTACCGCCCGCGCCTTGTTGTCCACCATGGCCCGCGAGCTCGATGTTCTCGCGGGACCGCTGGCCTTCTCCCCCGCCAGCGAAGCCAGCGGATGGTTGCAAAGGATCAGTCTCTACGCCTCGGGGTATCACCTCCAAGCTGCATTCCATGCTCGGGACGGTCCCGTGGCAAATCATCTGCTCCAGACGCTGTGGGGCCCCATGAGCGACCCTAAACACACCAACTATACCGGCTGCTTTTGGGAAGTCCTCGGCGAAGATGGTACCCCGGGACTGGGCTCTGCTACCTCCCTCTGTCATGCTTGGAGTGCAGCTCCAACTGCTGCTCTGAGCAGATATGTCCTCGGGGTCGCTCCCGCTAAGCCAGGCTACGCGGAATGGGCGATAACACCGCAAACGCTGGATTTGAGGTGGGCAGGAGGCCGCTATCCAGTCCCGCAGGGAGCGTTCGAGGTGACATGGAGCTACGACAATCGTGATTTTCTACACATGGCTGTGACCCCTCCGCCTGGTACAAAGGGCACCGTGTATCTGCCCACCCCTCTCAGACAGAAAGGTCAAGAAGTATGAGGTGACCGGAGGAGTCCCCAATAAAGACGGGGTGTTCACCGTGGGTGACAAGGAACTTTTGTTCCAAAAGACTGCATAGGTCGCGGTTTTTTTTTTTTTTTTTTTCATTGAGCATTCTCGTTGGACTCCTTGGATCATGCAATGTACTATACATATCTACTTTCTACTTTATTATCCTTCTCTTGTTCCGAGTCTCCGTGTTTTCTAGGCATCGCTACTACTCAATTATACAATTTGTTATAGAAATTACCATCCTACAGACAAGAAATAAGCATAACCGCCCCTATTAAAAATCCAATCGACGTCAGAACTACCTAGGTGCTCAATTGGAATTAATTCGGCAAGGAACCTCAGCCGAAGTCTACTCCGTAGGGAGAGTCCAACTGCGCAAGTTCCAACGTGGTAGAGAGTTTAGGAAGATGAGACGTGCGGCACCAAATGCTTGGGAAGAAGTGGAGCCCACGTTTCCATGGACCTTCGTGTTTTCGTACATTCGTATCTTCGCATTGTCGGATTTCGCAACTTCGTATCTTCGTGCTTTCGTATACTCGTATCCAGAGCGAGCCCCTGACGACGAAATCTTCAATGAGTTTTGCTTTTGAGAGTTGGAACTTGGACCTACTTCTCCGAGTCAACTAATGAATGATGTCGGCAAGAGTCCACCAAAATGAACTTTCTGAAGTAACGATCAAGTTTACTTCACATGAAAGGCCCATTCATTCGCCGAGTTAATCCATTAACCGAATGGGGAAAAGGAAAATATCAGAGCCCTGCGGCTTTCGCTTTACCTATCTCTACATTTTTGAAAATAAAGTCGTCAAGTTGAGCGCCATGTCGGAGAATGTTTCCGTGGTCCTCGGTCATGCGAAACCCTTTCTCAGTTATTGGCGCCGTTGGGCGAGCTAGTGGGAAGCTCATCATTTCATTGTTTCGTTAGAATCTCCATTCCCCGCACGCAGGACGGTCAATGTGGATTTTTCAACAACCCCCCGGGAATTTCGAAATCCGTAGCTCCCTTCTGTTCGTTGTGTCTGGATTGAGATAACCGCTTGTGGAGCTACCAATCTGTCTGTCTTGCCTGTCAGACACCAGCACCATGGAATGCAATCGGGGCAATGCAACTCGGATAATAGACGAATACATCTCAGGTTTAGGGGACAGCTTGCGTCATGTGAACCAAAGTGTGAGTTCTACAGTAATATCGGCAGGAATTTTCAATACTAATGATAGAAAGATCCATGACAACCCCGAACTTGCATACCAGGAACACCACGCCCACGCAACCATTTGCACCTTCCTGGAAGAGCACACTACTATTCCTGTGACTCGAAGCGCATACGGTCTCGCCACGGCATTCGAGGCCGTCAGCGGATCTGGCGGGAAATGTATCAACTTCAATGCTGAGTATGATGCTCTTCCCGGCATTGGACATGCATGCGGGCACAATCTCATCGCAACGGCGAGTGTGACAGGCTTTCTGGCTTTATCGAATGTGATTGAGCGATTGGGAATACCCGGACGGACTCAGCTGCTCGGGACGCCCGCGGAAGAAGATGGAGGCGGAAAAATCGATCTGTTGAAGGCCGGCGCATACGACAAAGCCGACGTATCGTTAATGATGTAAGCTCTATAAGATTATGTGTTTTGAAACATCTGAAATCTAATGAGGAAAGACACCCAACTTCAGATCGACCCTATCTTGAACACGGTATCACGGGAGTAGCGGGCCAGACATCCATCTCCTGTTTCGATCTCATCTGCACATACGAGGGCGTCAGCGCCCACGCCAGCGCCAACCCCTGGGACGGAGTCAACGCCCTGGACGCCATCGTCTGCGCATACAACAACATCTCAATGCTGCGGCAGCAAATCAAGCCCGAGGAAAGAATCCACGGAGCCATCATGGAAGCACCTAAGATCACCAACGCCATACCCGAAAAGACAGTCACCAAGTACACCGTCCGTTCGTCGTCCATGCAAAGAACAACCACCCTTGGAGAGCGCGTGCGTGCATGCTTGCAAGCCGGGGCTCTCGCAACAGGCTGTAAGCTTCATATCGAAGAAACCCCAATTTACGCCGACCTGCGTGTCAACGAGCCTCTCTGCGATGAATTTGCCAAATGCATGGCAGAGCAGGGCGAGAAGGTCCAGCCCGTGCATGATGATCCTATACCGGGGTCTACGGACCAGGGAAATGTCAGCTACGCTCTTCCGGGATTGCATGCTAACATTGGGATCCCGGTCTCGAGCGGTGCGTTTCCGCATTCTCGTGATTTTTGTACGGCTGCGGGAGAAACAGCGGCTCATGATGTTATTCTCAAGGCTGCAAAGGCCATGGCATTGACGGGATGGGCTCTCTTGACTGATGGTCCATTGTATGGGAGGGTGAGAGAGGCTTTTGATCAGGATTGTAAACTACGTTAGACTGCTCATGCTGGGTCTCACGCTCATCGGTACCCTCGAGGATAGTCCTCATATATGCTCGGGAGGTCTTCCCGGCTGATATGATATTGGCGTTGTCCTTGTTGAATAGTTAGGTTGGCTACGCGACGAAGAAAGCTGTGGTCAATGCATGCGTGCTGTCATGTACTACGTGGGGAACATTGTCGGGCTCGTGCTCTAATGTCAATGATGCGGCAGGTGATCCGCAGGGGATCTGTGCGAGACTGGAGAGTTTCTGTCTGGACGAGTCTGAGGGTTAATCTAGGGTAAGAGCTTCCAGAGCATCGCCAGATTCTTTGAGTATGTTGTCTTGACGTTATTTGTGACATGTCATGATACACATAGATGGTAGATCACGTGCCGAAGAGAGTCCTTGGCGCAAGTGACTCAGAATGGGAAATTCCATCATGACGAGACCGATCCGGGAAATTCATATGTAGAATATTATAGAGAAACCTGATGGTTGAATGTCACCATAAATCAATGTCCAGGTAAACATCGGAGTGTAGAAGGGAAAAGGGAACAGAGGAAAAAACACGCGACGCGTCCCCGACGAAGGCGGTCAGGGCGTCCCCTCTCGTCCTTCGTTTCGCACCGGAAGTTCTTGGTCGATTGTCTCCTTATCCTCCTTCGCTTCTCGCCCATTTGACATTGTCCCACCCAGCTTGTTCTCTTCTATCCTATCATATTCGGCCCCCTCTCTCCCAGCGCATGGTACCTTGAAGCTTCTTTCTCTCCCCCCTCCTTCTCCTCCCTCCCTCTTCCCCCCGTCCCCTTCACCCTCGACTTCCCCGCACAATCGTCCACAATGCCTGCGCGCACCCGTCAAGGCCCCTCCGCCGCGACGGAGGTCGCAGAGCCTGAGGAGATCGCCGGTGGTCTCCGCCGTCTTCACTTCAATGAACCGCTATCGTGGCGTGCCGGTCGAGGCGCCATTCCCATCGCAGACCTGCTCCAGCGCCTGCAAACCCTCGCGCAGGAGCTTCGCAAGCTGGAACAAGAGGAGGTAGAGAAGGATTCGCTGAAGAAGGTATCGCAGGAGCTGGCCACCGCTCAGCTTCTGGGTCACAAGGATAAGGGAGTACGAGCTTGGGCGACGTGTTGCATTGTCGACGTGCTGCGGCTCTGTGCGCCTGACGCGCCGTTTACCGCTAATCAACTCAAGGTGCGTTTTAATGATCTCGTCCGGCAGAGGAGCATCAAATCACTTGGACTTCTGTTTCCATTTTTATAATAATTCCTGGCTATGATATTGCTCGATCATGATGGTGCCGATGATTGTTACGCTGATGCGAATACTGACCATGTTCCCTTTCCGATCTAGGATGTGTTTACCTGCATTGTCACCTCGATTATTCCCGCTCTCGGGGATCCCGCGAACCCCTATAACTCTCAACACATCTACGTGCTCAACTCCCTCGCGGAGGTGAAGAGTGTTGTCCTCATGACTGATTTGGATCACCCCGATTCTCTGATCGTTCCGCTCTTTACCAGCTGCTTCGACATCGTCTCCGGCTCCTCGAAAGCGTCGACCGGTGAGGAGATCGCGAAGAACGTCGAGTTCGACATGACTAGATTGCTTGTCACGGTTATTGACGAATCGCCGGTACTCGCCCCCGAGGTGGTCGATGTGATTGTCGCGCAATTCTTACGGGTTGATCCCCGTGTCTTGGAGCTTCCCGCTGGCAGGAAGGGGAAGAAAACCGATGCGCCGGTCGATGCCAAGCAAGGGACATTGCTTCTAAAGGATTACCCCCCGGCCTACAACATGTCCAAAGCGATCTGTCAAGCGTGTCCGGAACGGATGACCAGCCATATCAGCCAGTATTTCAACAATGTCATTATCGACGTCTCCGCATCGAAAAACGGCGCATCGAAGAATTCGAATCGCCGGGTCACCCTAGACGAGGAAGAAGAGGAAGAAGAAGACATCAAGGAATTGAACAAAGCCCATCGTCTTATTCGCGAGCTGTGGAAAGCCTGTCCGGAGGTATTGCAGAACGTGGTCCCTCAGCTCGAGGCCGAGCTCTCTGCCGAGTCCGTTTCCTTGCGCCTCCTGGCAACGCAGACCATTGGCGATCTGACTGCGGGAATTGGCGTTTCCGGGCCCCCTCCGGCTCCTCCGATGGATCCCTCCGTCTACCCTCCGGTCACGCTGGAGGAATATCCCCAAACAATTCCTCAGACGAACGTCGTTTTAACGCCATTCTCCCCCAAACCTTTCTCTCAGGCACATGGATCTACTTACGAGGGTTTTTTGAGTCGACGTCTAGATCGATCGGCCTCGGTAAGAGCTGCGTGGGCAACCGTCGTGGGCCGGATCCTACTGACGTCAGCCGGTGGCTCTGGGCTGAGTGATAGCGAGGAGCAAACGCTCATCAAACACCTAGCATCGATGTTGCGAGATGCCGACGAGAGAGTTCGCGTGGCGGCAGTCGACGCAGTGAGTGATTTCGGCCTGTCTCATGTCGTGCTAAAGCTTGGTGCGGACGGCGGATTTTCGTCCTCGGACTCGATACTTTTCATCCTCGCGGAGCGTGTCAAGGATCGCAAGCCCCATGTGCGAGAGCGCGCAATGCGCACCCTGGCCCGCATGTGGGCGGTCGCCGCTGGCGAACTTGAACATGATAACGAGCAGGTCGTGTCTCTTCTTGGAGATGGTCCGTCAAAGATCCTGGACGCCTATTACACGAATGACCCGGACATTCACGTGCTGATCGACCATGTTCTCTTCGAGATTCTCCTCCCGCTCAGCTATCCTCCGATTAAGCCCAAGCTGACTCGGGGCGGGTCGAGCCAATCGCAAAAGCAAAAGGACTCCCAGAGCACGGAAGGCGAGGGTGAAATCGATGTGGACAAGGTCCGCGTTCGTCGCATTCTCACCCTGACAAGGGGGTTGGATGACAAAGCGAAGAAGGTTTTCTTCGCTATGCAGGCCCGACAGATACAGATGAGGACCGCGATCACGCTATACCTGCAGGCCTGTGAAGATTATAATGTAAGTATTTACTGTCATCTCCCACTATGGTGTCTCCGAAAGCTAACCTGAATGACTACAGGGTGGCGTCATTGAGAAAGATGAGCAGCGAATTAAAACTCAGATTACCCGCATTATTGACGGTCTGTCAAAGATCTTCCCTGACTCCTCGCGCGCGTCTGCCGACCTTTGGAAATTTGCCAAGGCGCATGACCGACGAAGCTACCAGCTCATCCGCTTTGCTATGGCCGCGGTCAGTGACTATCGCACCGTCGTCAAGGCTATCAGAGAACTTGTGAAGAGAATGCAGAACGCCAACAACAACCCTGTCCTCGAAACTCTCACCCCCCTTCTGTACCGATGCAGCTCGCTTGTGTACAATCGAAGTCACATTCCGGCGATCATCAGCCTTTCGAGGACAAATGAGAACGGCCTGGCCGGCCCTGCACATGAGCTGTTGCGGGAAATCTCCTCTCGCAATCCCGAGGTGCTCGAAGCCCAGGTCCAGGAGATGTGCAAAGATATCGAAACGCAGGCACCGAAGGCCACAACCACCAATGACACCGGTACCGAGGAGATCCTCAAAGCTTGCGCGGGATTCGCAAAGAAATTGGGATCTAAGCTCCCCAAGGAGCGCAAATTCTTCCTGTCCCTCGTGGACCACGCCCTCCACAGCCCATCCCCCCAAGCTGCCAAGCATGCCGTTTCGATCCTTATGGCCACCGCGGACAAGAAAGAGATGTACGCGAAGGACCTTATCCAGAAGTGCGTTGCCAAATGGACTTTTGGGTCGAATAAGTTCCTCACCAAGCTGGCCACTATGGCTCAGCTGAACCTTCTCGCCCCCAACGAAGCGGACAGCGAGAGCGATGCCGTCATTTCGATCGCCGTTAACCAGATCCTACTCACGAATCGGACTCCCCAGCCAGAGTCGGGCTACGTTTGGTCGGATACAGTAGACGACGAGACTGCCGCTAAGGAATGGGCTCTGAAGATCATTGTCAACCGTCTACGTGCCAAGGGAGGCTCTGATGGCGAAGATGACTTCCGCGCCCATGCGGAACCGGTCTTCGATACCCTAAATAAACTTGTGGCTAACCAGGGTGAGTTGTCGAAGAAGGATACTCCGGGGACGCAAAAATCCCGGTTACGCCTCCAAGCTGCCAAGTCGATACTCAAGCTCTGTGCATCTCACAGTCTCTGTGACCGACTTTTTGCGCCCCGCGACTTCAATGCTATTGCGCTGGTTGCTCAAGACCCGGTCGCGGCAGTGCGAGTTGGATTCATCAATCAACTAAAGAAACAGCTGGTGCAGACTACCCACTTGAGCCACCGTTGGTATACGATCCCCTTCCTGCTGGCGTTCGAGCCAAACCCAAGCCTAAAGGACAGCACTCTTACTTGGCTGCGGTCACGAGCTGCGTTCTTTTCTCAGCAGGGCAGCAGTAAGAGGACCGAGCAGACTGCCATGGAGGCGATATTCTCCCGTCTGCTATCGCTTCTTGCTTACCACCCTGACTACCCACCAGCCGATCTAGACGATGCCACTCAGTTGGCTGATTTGACCGACTTCGCCCGCTACATCCTCTTCTATCTCTCCGCGGTGGCCAACGAGCAGAACCTGTCTCTGATCTTCCACATCGCGCAGCGCGTCAAGCAAGCACGTGATGGTATTACCAAATCGGACGAGATGACCGTCCGACTTCACACACTTTCAGATTTGGCACAAGCGACTATCCGTCGATTCGCCGATATCTACTCGCAACAGCGCAAGTTTGGTGGGGGCGCCGCAGGCGGTACGAACATTCTACAGACATATCCCGGGAAAATGGGTATCCCAAGCTCCATCTTCGCCGCAATGGGTAGCCACAAGGAAGCGCAAGAAGTGGCCGACAAGAACTTCCTTCCGGACGACGCGGACGACCTACTCGACCGCCTTGTGCGATCCATGATGCGGACGAAAGGCGGGTCCCACGGCCAGGCAGCGGCGAAGAAGAGAAAGACGGACTCGAATGAACCAGGTGGCGATATTGGCTCAGCAAAGAAAGCTAAAAAGGACAAGGCCCCCCGTGCTCGGAAACCATCTACAGCTGCAGCCTCCAAGACGCCCAAGAAAAAGAAGAAGAACGAGGATGACTGGTCCTCCGATGGCGAAGGTCGGAGTGGCGATGCAACCGCCTCTGCCCGAAGACGCAGTAGCAGAGGCAACGCCTCCAGGAGAATCAGCTACGCAGACCGGGACAGCGATGACGATGACGTGGAAATGGACGAATGGGATCAAGACCAAGAACAGGCCGACGAGCCCGAAGACGATGAGGCCGACGAGAAGAGCGGAGCAGAAGAAGAAAAGAACAATGTCATGGATGAATCTTCAGACTCGGACGACTTGTCCGAACCTCCGGACGATGAAGAAGAGGCCGAAATAGAGCCTGAAGAACCAGAAGCCAAGGAATCTTCACCATCGCCAGCATCTGCCAAAAAGGCTGCTGCCGGAAAACGTAACGCGAAACCGACGACAACGTCGCTACCCACACGACGATCCTCACGACGAGGATAAGTTTATTATTATACAATTCAGTAAACTTGGAGAGACCTCCCTGAAGGCCGCTAAACCGCGCGGCTTTTTCTTTCCTTCCCTTGTCTGTGTAAAGAGACTGGCATTGGCCATCATTGACTTTGCTGTCACCTTGTCTATTCGGGTGGATGTGTCTACCTGAGATACCTTTCCTTGTTCATTGTTCCGGTCACCAATCACCTGTGTATGTTTGTTGTGCCTTTTTTTTCTTGCTGTTTTTTGTTTGCTGGAGCGTTTTTTCATCTCTGTTTGTTTCCTGTCCCTTGCTTTTTCCATGTCTCTTATCTGTGTGTCTGTCTATCCATCTTCCATCCATTTATCAAGTGAATTCAAGTAAAGCGCAATGGATTTAACCGAATGAATTGGCACTGCTTTCTCTACGTTAGTCGTTGCTGTTGCTATTTTTTTTTTTTTCTATATCTGTATCTTGCTATTCAGTATTCCCGAGTACCAGTGTCAGTGTCAGTTTCATTTTGAAATTTATACCCAATTTACTTCATGCCTTTTTTATTTCTTGATCTTTCACGATCTGTTGTGATCTAATCTGTTTCGATCACGGTTCTTCAAACTATGAAAATCAAATCAATCAAGTCCCATCCGTGAGGGAATTCGAATTCGTTAAGGTCATACATAGTTCATAGTTCAACTAGCTCTTCATCCATCCATTTAGTTATCATCATTCATTTATTAAAACGGACATACGGAAGTAAATCAAACCAAATTGAAGAATAACACCAACTATTATTGTATAGCTAAGTGCAGTACATTGCAAAGCAGAGCAGAGTAGGTACTTCATACAAAAAAATAAATACTCTTTGGGCAATGCATAAAAAAGAGACGAAGAATGGAATTGTATTTACGCCGACCATGGACTGAATGTCACAAAAGTTAAAAGGTAGGTAGATAGGTAGGTGGTAGTGGTAGTAATAGTAAGAGGATCAGATCAGCATAGGCAAAACACCAAAGCCTCAGCTAAGTCTGAATAAAAAGTATCGAACACAATCAACATTCGGTAGACCAAGGAGAAGAAGAATGTAGAATTTCCAAGACCGTTCAAGTCGCTCAAAATCATATACATGACAATCAACAAAATCAAGTATCCAAACCAGGTTGGGTTGACTTTCCCATGATAGAAAAACAAGGTGGAAAGAGGATTAAAGAGAAAAAAGAAAAAGAAGTGTACATTGATGTTGGGAGAAAGAGAGAGAGAGACAAAGGAAAACGATTCATCAGACTCATGACTTATGATGCATTGCCTCCGGCACCGGCACTGGCACCTCGGGCGAGTCTTTCTTCCACCCGTTCTTTATGCTGTCGGTTTCTAAGATGGACTTCGAAATTGTCAACCGTCGTGGCGGGTCCGGGCGTGTACAGCTTTCCCGGGCAATCGTGGCATCGGATGCGAGGGAGGTATTGATATTTCAGCTTGTGCCCTGGTTGGGAGGTCGAACTTGCTACCGGGAGCATCGTTTCGGTATCAACCGCGGTGTAGCGCATGACACCTTCGAAGGAATCGTTGGGATAGGTGCGTTTTAATCGCGCAAGTCCCGCTGCAAGCCAACTTGGAGGCGGAGGCTAAGTCAGAGTAAGGTCAGCAAGGCATCATGCTCGGGGTTGATTCTCTCCATTGGGAAAGTTGTGTTTATTTCTTCTTCTCTTCTCTTTCCCCCTGGATCCGTTCATTTCTTTTTTTCTAACAAAAAAAATTCTTTGATACACTCATGACAGCCAGATATGATCTAGTGTCGCGTGCGCGAATCCCAACAAAAGATTTTATAGACATATCATTAGTAACTCACCCCAGAGACACCCGGCTGAGGGGGTTGAACAGCATCTATGGCTCCAATTTGTTGAGCGGGCGTGTTTCGTTGCGTGGGAGTACCGACATTTGGTACTCGAACTTGAGGCTGAGGATGTGAGGGCGGCGCCATAGAACTCTGAACTGGAGTCTGCGCCCCAGGCGTGCTTCGTTGCGAGGGCAGCTGGGCCCCAGGAGTCGATGCCGAAAGACCAGGAACCGCTTGCGGGCCATGGGTGAGATATTGACGAAACTTCTCCCGATTGATCTTCAGCTTGACGATCAACCGGTCCGTCTCTTCGACGCTCTCCTCTCGATAGTCGCGTCGTCGCGCCGAGACCCTGCTTTCGTGATGGGGTTCTGGCGTGGCAGATTGACCGAGGTTGGCTCGGAGGGCTGCATGAGCTGCGGTGGCAGCCCCCCGCATCCCGCGGGTACGCGCCGTGCCCTGGGCCAGATGGGGACCGATGGCGGGTGAGGCCGTTATCGACGATTCGTCGCTATCCGAGTCGTCGGAGTCGTCGCCACCGTCGCGCAGTCCGACGGCGGCACGTCGGTGCCGACTTGACCCAGACCGCTTGAACACGTTGCTCTCGTCGATCGATGCGGCCGTATTGGGAATGACCGACGAGACAAGCATCGTCCGAATCGTGCGTTGACGGTCCTTGAGGTCGGGCAGAGCCGGTCCGCCGCGTCGATTGACCGACCGCTTCTGTCGTCGTTGGTCTCTCGAAATGGACACTTCGGTGCGTTCCAATTCGGCTTCGTTGAGTTCGTACAGATACGGCGTATATTCCTTGGCCGCCTGGAAGGGCCGGAAAGGAGAAGACATGGGAGAAGGTAAGAGGGAAGTTTTGAGGTCGGGATCATCGATGGGACGCCCGTCGAATGGGTGGGAGAGGATGTAAAGCGATTTGGTGAACAGCTGCGACTGTTCGCGGATCGAGTGTGCGATCGCGGTGGTAAATTCACCGGAGAGGGAAAGATCGTCGGTCATGCGAGCAGCAAATTCTTCCGGAGAGTTGAGAGGGTCGTTGATATCCCATTCGAACTGATCAATCAGTGTGTGCTGGCCGATGGTGATGTTGAGTTTGACAAGGATGCGCATTTCATCGTTTTTGTAGGCACTGTACGGGAGGTGCGGGTCGAGCGGTTCCTCTTCCATATAGATCTGAGGGTAGTAATCGCAGAGTTGCTCCTGGATGCTCTGCGAGATCATCCGAATGAGCGGACCGCAGGTTTCGAGCGGCAGGCCCAGATCCTCGGCCAGTTTTTCGGCGAACAGATCGGGGGAGACGACGCGATCGTGCAAGTTCCAAGTGAAGGTATCTCGAATTTTAATCTTATCCCAGTCGATATCTAATCGGATCGGTACCAGGTTCTCCATTTGGTCGTTCTGCGTCTTCAGATCTTTTCGTGAGATCCGCAACTCGCGCGTCCTTCGATTCCCCGGGCGACGGCGGTTGGATGGGTACAACAGCTGCGGATGTTGTCCCCGCAAATCAGTTCGGGGGTTCCCAAATCCTTCGTATCCCACTCCGTAGAGAGCGGCCGGGTTCATGTGATTCTCGCGTCGGATGGTTAGGAAATAATCACGCTCGGCGCGCTTCTGGTGGGCGATCTCTTGGCTCGGGTTCTGCCAGGCCACCAAGGCCGAATGTTGGAACTCGCGGTTGACATACTGCTCCAGGAGGATCTTGTCCGCGGGCGTTTCGCGCACCCGTACCGGTAATTCTTCGGTCGACTGGGCCACGGAGCCGTTTCGCGACCGCTTTTTGCTCGACGCCAAACCATTGGAGTTGTTGGCCGGATGCCCCGAATCACCATTCGACGCGTCCTGGCTGGCCTCGGCGGACGACGACACGCCGGAAGCTGCTAGCACTGCCTTTGCATTCTGTTTTCCCTCGGAAATGGCATCCGACCCATTCGTCGACGGGTCCGTCAAGAACTCGGTGGCGACATCGCCGGATTGGCCGTCGGGATGGACGTCGCCAGGAAGGTGTCCCATGTGAGGGACCTCAGGAGACGGCATGATCGGTAATTGACGGAGACGGCGGACGGTGGAGTCTGTTTTCGAGGCGAGACAAGAGGACGTGTCACTTGCGGGAAGGGATGGGCATTCGCGCAGCGACACTCAATCGACAAGAATTGCAAGCCAGAAAGAAGCTATTGGTTAAATCACGGCAGCATCCTTAGCGGAGAATCTACCTGCGACATAACACATCCGGGTCAGCCAACGCTGCATGAGCAAGACATCATCGCACGAGATGACGCGCCAGCGCAACGGGAGGAGCGCGCGCTCTATCGCGGAACCAAGCAAGCGGGAGGAGTCGCCATCCCGCCACGAAGGCAACATCCGCGCATCATCATCGCGCGGAACACATGGTCAAGGGAAATACGGGAGGGAGAGGAAGAAGGTAACAAGGAAGGTAATGGAGGAAGAGATGGATTGGGGGAAAGGGAAGAGGGGAGGCAAACACACCACCAACGCCAGCGGAGGGCAGATGGGAAGGACAAGAGGATGTATAATTATAAGGGAGGGGATGGAGGGAAGGACTATGGATCATGAAGATTAAAAAGGAAACGAAGGGAAACCCCCAGGGCAGTCGCAGGCACGAATGACGAAAAGCAGCTACTCACCAGCGAGAGAGGGCGACAGCAGCTTGAACGGGTCGGCGGTCGGTCTGGGTCTGTCTCGAGCTCTGAACTGAAGGGAAAACCCGATCAGCTGACGACTAGACCCTTCGGTAGTTTCTTACCGTTAACTTATCACTTGGTCCTGGTTTCCCCTTCCCCTTTCCTTTCACGGTTCATTAAACGTGGTTCAGGTTGATTCCCCCGAGGGTGTGGTGGTCTGCTTTGCTGCGACGGGGCTTTGAAGGTCCAGAGTGTATTTCAGGAGGGAAGAAGAGGAGAGAGCGAGAGCGAGGAAAAAAGAGGAAAAACCCCCCAGCGGCCGACTGGCGGGCTGCACCCGTTACAAGTGCCTGCCCGTTCGCCCCCCTTGGCTGGGGGGTTTGCGGGCAAGCAGGCCGCGACGGGCCTGTCCATCTCGAGGCCGGCTGCCTGACGACGTCTTCTTTGGAACTTTTTCGACACCATTCGGATTCTTTTTCTGCATCCTGAGGCTTCTGCGAGCGTCCTGAGGCACCCGATTGCCCCGTGACCGTATGGCTGCCGTATTACCGCGCCCGTTTCGGTACCGTATCGCTGCTTGCCGCGCCGCTTTCCCTTTTACGTATTATCACGTGATATACACTAGACCCGACGCGGTAACGCCGTCACGGGAGGGTGGAGATCACGGGATGCCGTATTCCCGCGTATTCGACCTGATCGTAGATATCTTCACTCTAGTTACGGAGTACAACCATTCCAATGATTATACCCATAGCTATAATATAAATATGTCTGTCTGAATTCACGAACTAGATAGCCTCACGTCACTCACCACCGCCCGATGGTCCGAGTTGTAAATATCGTCGTCGAACCGATTAGCCAACACCGCGTACCCCTCGACCTGCCATGGTGACCCGGATGATGCCGACTTGGACTCGGACTCCAACAAGATGTAGTCGATGCGCGACGGCGGCTGTCCCTCGTAGCCAAAGCCCGTCCAGGTGATTGTGTTGCCGTAGTGTTCCGCCGCGTCCACCAGCTTCCCGGCGTCCGCCAGTCCCGAGTCCGGTGCCGTCAGCGCCTGATACGCCTCCTGCTCCTCCTCGCTGTTGAAGTCGCCCGTCAAGAAGACCCCCGAGATGCTCTCTCCGTACGGGCCCGCACGATACTCCGCGATCTTGCCCAGGATGATGCGCGCCGCTTCGTAGCGCGACCGCGACCCCTGGTCGTCCAAGTGCGTGTTCAGCGCCAGCACGGTGCGTCGGCTGCTCCGGTGCTTGAACACCCCGATGGTGACGATGCGGGTGGACGCCGCGTCCCAGCTCTTCGACGGCCGGTCGGGCGTCTCGGACAGCCACGTCGTCTCCCAGTGGTCCAGCTGCCAGACCGCCGGTCGGTAGAAGATGGGCGAGTACTCGCCCGCCTCCTTGCCGTCGTCGCGACCCACCCCTATATAGGCCCAGGTGGGGTCGGCCTCGGTGGCAGGCGCAGGGGCAGCGTTAGACGCGCTGGCGTTGAGTCCGGTGTGGATGTCGACGATCTGCCGGTGCAGCACCTCCTGCAGGCAGATGAAGGCGTCCTGGTGGCGCGTGTTGAACAGCAGCTCGTTCAGCAGCGGTTGCTTGCGCTCTTCCCAGGGGCGCTCGCCCCTGAAGGGAGAGCCGGTGGCATATCGAATATTGTGCGTCAGAATGCGGAGAGGCAGCTCGGTGGCAGCTTTCATCGTGGCTATCGTGGGTTTAGATAGGTATGGGTCTAGTATGTACAGGTCTTGAAAGGTGGGATTGAATTCCAGGAGTCTGGTTCAATCCACTCAGTGTATGTCTGAAGTCAACAGGAGAAATGGCGGGGTGAATCTTGGACAGAAGCTGGAGTGAGGAGAAGCTGGGCTCCCACGATCGCCTGATTGGAGGACAATTGCTGCTCCTTGAACGTGACTTACTTAATAACTAATAATATTAATGACTAGGGGAAGGAAACGAGGTAGTATCCCGAGGCTGATTGAAAAGTTCAGGGTGAGTGGACTTCAATACAGAGAGGACTAGGACTCTGTGTGTAATGTGGCTTCGTATGGCTCTCTAGGAGCTATGGGAGCTAGGAGCTCGAGTTTTGAGTATCTGGCTAACAGATAACCGCGATTTAGGCAGGCCTCATACCACTGTTTCGCCGGGCTTGAAACTATATATCTGCATTCAACTCTCTACTACTGACCAGTACCTGGTTGCATAACAGCTCCCACCAGCAACTACTGCTTATTATCGATACTGATCATGCGATAATCTACATATTAATTCTGCCTTGTCGCTCTATCCCTTAGTCTGCCTTGTGTGGCTTTCCAGCTGAGCAGGAAAGGTCGACGTCATGACTGCAGGATGCGTATTGACGAAATCCGGGGGGAATGAGCTAGACCTCCAATTTTTCCGAGATGCTCAGATCTTACCTGCAGCCCATGTAGTACAGATTAGATACAGCAGTCCCATTCCCCCGCATCCAGGTATTCTTAGCTGTTTTTACTTCTTACTTACGGAGGACCTATACTTTGTTTACCTCTGGACGGCACGCGGGTGATGTCATGGTCATGGTTACATAAGCCACGTACACAGTAGTTATGGCGGTATCTACAAAACGCTGCTGTTCGGAGCAGATGGACGACGAGAAGCGAGCTAGAGGCAGCCGTCGATGGTTAATGACTTCCCTTGTGATCTGTCGAGCTCGAGGACCGACTCGAAAGAGCTAGGACTTTCACGAAGAGAACACAGCTTACCTAGGAAAGGTAGGGCTCCAATTCTTACCATACCTACGGAGTAAAGCAACCCCACCCAGCGGTAATGCCGTCGTAAAGTAAAAGGAAAAGCAAAAGCACACGAGACTCGACAAACAACTTTTCCCTCTTTCCCTCTTCTCCTCCTTCTCCCCCGCTGTTCTAACCTCAATTCCTTCTTCTCCTCGTTCTTCCTTTCCCCTCACCCCCTCTATCCTTATTCACCATGGCCGAGACCACTCCCACCCAGGCCCCCGAGGTCGGTAAGTGTCAAGCCTCTCGTACCCCTCTTTGCTCTGCTCCAATTTGAAAAAGCTCCGTCGTTTGTGGGTTTCCCTGCCCGCTTGATGTGGGCTGCGTCGCGGAGCCTTGACAACCACCGAGCTTGAGAACCGCCGGAGAGGCATCATGACCCCGACGATTTTTTCGGAGGTGTTTTGCTTTTTTCCTTCTTCGGCCTTTCTTCTGGCTGATGGCCCCAACATGGTTGCCAATGTTCACTGATTTCGACGTCATCCTTCTCGATCTCCCAGCTAATCATGCGATGGACGATTTCTAGACTACACCCTCAACAACCCCGACACGTTGACCAAGTACAAGACTGCCGCGCAGATCTCTCACAAGGTCCTCGATGCCGTCGCTGGTGCGTGATTCCGGATCCCGGTCCCCTGCTGAAGTTATGCCGGACCTGTCTTCTCTAACATCATCACTAGCCCTGTGTAAGGAGGGAAGCAAGATCGTCGAGATCTGCCAGAAGGGTGACGAGTTGCTCGACGAAGAAATTGCCAAGGTCTACAAGGGCAAGAAGATCGCCAAGGGTGCGTGTCCCCCATTTCTCCGACTGGAGAGGGAGATCTGCGCGTGGCATATTGACATGACGTTATAGGTATCTCTCACCCCACGACGGTCTCTCCTAGCTCTCATGTCACCCCCTACACCCCCCTGGTCTCCGAGACCGAGGCCGAGACTACCCTGAAGGCCAACGAGATCGTCAAGATCCAGCTCGGTGCTCAGATCGATGGCTTCGGAACCATCGTTTGCGACATGGTCGTCGTCGGTGCCTCCGGCGTCGTGACTGGCCGCGAGGCCGACCTGATCCACGCCACCCACTACGCCAACGAGCTTCTGCTGCGCCTTATGGTCCCCGCCGGCCTCCTGGCCGGTGGCTCCGAGGAGGAGAAGAAGGCGGCGGCCGCCGAGCGGGCCCCTACCCAAGCCCAGATCTCCCAGCTGGTCGAGAAGGTCGCCAAGATCTACAACTGCAATGTCATCGAAAACACCACCAGCTGGCAGTTCGAGCGTAATGAGATCGAAGCCGAGAAGAAGATCATCCTCACCCCCGGCTCCGGTGTCCGTGGCGAGGGTGTTCCCGACGTTGGCGAGGTCTGGGGTGTTGAGATGGGTCTCTCCCTCGGATCCGGCAAGGTCAAGAACCTGCCCCTGCGTGCCACCCTGCACCGCCGTACCACCACTACCTACATCCTCAAGCGCCCCAGCTCTCGCCAGACTCTGTCCGAGGTCGTCAAGAAGTTCGGCCAGTTCCCCTTCAGCTTGCGCCAGCTGGAGGACGAGAAGGCCGCCAAGGTCGGTGTTGTCGAGTGTGTCCGTACCGGTGTCCTGCGCCAGTACGAGCCCGCCGGTGATGCTGACAACGCTCCGGTCTCCCGTCTGTTGACCACCGTTGGTATGTTATACCCAGACTTTTCGTCAGCCCGCTTCCCGTCAGCCCGCTTCCCGTCAACTGCCCATTGAATTCAATATGGGACTGGGAATAGGTTGTGTTTCTGTTTGTAGTTTGGCTTGCTAATGCGCGCCACAGCCATCACCAAGAACGGTCTCACCAAGCTCACTGCCCCCACCATCGATCTGTCCAAGTACCAGACGGATAAGAAGATCGAGGACGAGGAGATCCTCAAGATCCTCGAGCGCCCCCTGTCCAAGTCGACCGGTTCGAAGAAGAACAAGAACAACAAGAAGAAGGCCGCCAAGAAGGCCGGCGAGGAGTAAATATCTCTCTAGAGGGACTCACCGGCGTCCACCGCAGTCTTGGAATAGTGAAAAAAAGCGACAAATCTCTCAGGCCATCGTTGGAACATGTTCATGACTTGCCCCGATGAATCGGATGGGATGTGTAATTGCAAATACCCTTGATAATCAGAACGGAGAGTTGAGTTCCGCGAAGCCATGGTGTCAAGAGACAGACAGGCATCGAAAGAACCATATGAGCGCCTTGTCTTTTTTCCTACGGCGACCTTTGATTGAAACCTGTTGTCGCGTATTTACTAGTTGAATCAAACAGAAAAAAAAAGGCGAAAGTTATGTATCAGCCAATAAATGACCAATCAAGGAGACGATCCAAGTTCACCTCGGACTCAATGAAGCTTACGCACATGGCATAGTAGTTTGCACTCTTCAACTATGGCCCCGCGCTGGAAGGCCTCGAAGACTCGAGGAAATATTGAAGTCGGACAAGGCCACGATGGTGATACCTAAGATTCCCGTTGTAATGGAGAACGAGAATACCCCAACCAGCCACCCTCAGATCTTCACTGAATACCGTTCACAGTGCAATTCTCACTTGTCATCCCCCTGTGTGAGCTCGTCGCCTTCTTCTCCGCCATCAAATTTCACTACCAACTACAGCGACGGCGGCTGCAAAGATTTCATCCCCGCCACTCTTTGCGTCTCTATCCCAAATCTAACCAGTACCTATAGTTTCCTTCCTGAGGGACAGCTGTTAGTGAATACGGATTCTCTATTGTGATCTATGAACTCCAGGCCATTGTATCCTCTTGCGATACGTCTAAATTGCACCCTCCTGACGGGGAGTGTGATTGATGTCGTTGGCGTTGGAGGGAAGAGTCACTGAATCTTTCCTTTCAGCAACACTGCCTTTCCATTCACCTCTGTGTTTGCGTAATACCAAACTGAGGCTTTATTCCCGCTCAATAATTTGTAGTGAACTGAGAATGATGCCCGTAGTCCCCCGGAAAGGTCGGCAAGACCAGGAAGGAGGGGCGAAAGTAGAGTCCGAAGCCAAGCAGACGAGAGATTTCTAAAGAAGTGCTGGACAGTGAAGCTGGTCTTAAAGCGACCTAGATAGAAAATGCACGGAATGTTTGTGCTGGGACGGCTTTCAGGCGTCGAGGCACTTCCGGGTGGACGGAGCACCCCGTCACGAGCAGCATCAAAGTCCGGCTCCTGAAGATGGGAAGTCACGGCAGAATAGCCAGCCTGGAGATCCAAGCAGTCAGGGGATTCTTGACTTCACAGGGAGGCAAAGGTGGTACGATGGGAAATCGGAGATGGAGGGAAGAAGATTACTCAAGGCCAGGCCGAGAAGTGAGTTGGGCAAAGATTTGGCCCACTCCTACATCCACCTCTTCGCAGGCCACCATTATTCCATCGCCCTGCACACGCACTTCACGGCCAGAAGTTGCTTGCTCTGCTTTCAGCCACTCTCCTAGACCCATTCACTCCAGTAGCTTTGGTTTCCGAAACTTCTTTCAAGTGTCTGCCTTCCCTGCGCATATCTCTCTGCTCCTTCATGCAGACCCTTGCCCTGGACCAGACCTTGAACTGACCTGTTCCCATTCACCTATCTTTACATCTGGCACTCTGCCTCAACTCTGACTCACTGCAAGCCTGGTGAATTCTCTTATTTACTGAAAGGGCCAACACCGCTGAGAAAGCTCCCGTTCTAATTTACGCATAGTCTCACTCATCTCCCTGCTTATGCATGCTTTGCCTGGGGTCTCCTGTAACAGGTGACGAGAAAGAAGTCTCTCATCAACTGGACCAGCGGTCAGAGACTGAGGTCAGAGACTGAGTAGAACTGTAAAGTTCTCAAACAGCCCAAATCCAGTGTTTTACACGCTGTCACAGCCATCACGCGGTCCTTCGCAGAAGCTCATTTCCGCAACAAGCTCCGCGTCTTGACGATAAGACACATACATCTCAGCAAGTAAGTTGACTGGTTTATTATTGGAATTCAGAGCTCTACGGAATCAAGTAATATACTAATTTTGCAAGATTTCACCCTGTGAATCCTTTGTTCACGTGTTCGCAAACTTGAGGTGTTCCGGCCTGAGCGGCGAAACCCCCTAGAGAGAGGGAGGAGGGCGTGACTGGAAAACTCCCGTCGGCGTCCAGGCCGCGATCCTCTTCTTTTCCCCCAGCAACCCGCAGACAGCGCGGGCTGGCCACGATTCCAACCAGCGTCGCTGGGCCTTCTGCCCCGGAATTCGTGTAATTGTAAGTCCTCAGTTCAATTCCCCTGCTTCTAGAATTCTTCGTCCATCGGAGATTACGTCCACCCGCCAGCTTGAATCGTGAGCTAACCGTGCGACTGCCAGGCCTTACCACATTTCTCGAGTCCTGTCCTCAACAGCAATGGCTCCTAATCTTCGTTCGCTTCGCTCGTCCTCCCACGCCAGCGCGAATCAATCCCGTCCCTCCACCCCGGCCGATGCGCCTGCGCCTGCGCCTGCAAGCGCGACTCCTTCATTCTCCGATTCCGCCAGACCCCGGAAACTGCGTCGCACTGGATTGAACAGCCATGTAGCGAGCGACCCTGCGGAGGGACAGGAACCTCCCGAGACCGAGGTCGCGGACATCGCGAGTGAAGCGCACGTGCTTCGCGAAGCTTCCAACTGGAAAGAGCCCCCGACGCGGGTGCAGCAGACCACCTGGGAAGAAACCACCTGGTCCGGTACCAACAAAGAATCCAACTCAGTTCTTCGCTCCATGCGTCCGCTGGGCGAGATGCCCTCTATCACCGAACTACGCAAACAAGGGTTTCTGCCCAAGATCACGGATCCTAATGACCCTTACCACAGCAACACTGGCGAGATGCCCCCGGCATTGGACGGAGCGAACGATGTGAACGAAGACATGACCGGCATTGCCGACCTCCCCAAGACAGGCGCGAACGAAACTGAGACCGAGCCTGAGCCTGAGAATAGGCATGAAGCTGAATCTCAGGACGTGTCGGAATCTCAGACTGAGACTGCGCCTGAGCCTGTACCTGAGTCTGTACCCGAGCCTGAAGCCAAGCCTGAGACTGCTCAGCCCCAAAATCACCTCCTAACGTTTATGACCATTCCCATCTCAGCATCCACCATCGTCGATGTGGAAAGGGTCAGAGATGCGATTGGGGACTCTATGAACGTGTCATCTGAATCTGGTAATAGTATCGTCGCCCGCGGCCTTCTGCGCATGTGGGAAAAAAGCCAATCAGACCCCTTTACGCTGTCCATCCTCGAGGCTATGTGCAAAGAGGAACACGACCCAAATCAGCGACGTGCATTTAACATCATGATGCGCGCTGTCGGCAAAGAACTACTGGCGGAAGATGAGGAATTAGGGGCTGCTGCATTGCCCCGCAAACGCAAACATTCTCATAGCAGTGATTCATCACTTTCTTCTGCTAAATCTCTCGATGTTGAAACATTTGCGCCCGGTATGGCGGCCACCCGAGCCAAAGGCAGACACGCCAAAGCAGCCAACGCCGCGCAACAAGTCGCCGAGCCTCCGATTCGCCACTCGGCCTTCCCACCAAGAAATGCACCCCTCCAGCGCAAGCGCGCGTTAGAGCGCAGCGACGATTTTACCCCAGAGGCCATGACCACCAAACGAATTCGTCTACGAAATCCTGTTCCCCAATCGGCCACCCCTGTCGAAAGTCGAATCCGCCCGGTGCCGAACCGCACTGAATTGCCTCCAATCCCCGATTCCCAGGCATCAACGCCCAGAGAGACCAGTCCTGTCGACGATGCCGGAGCCCGCAAGCCGCGACCGGAAAGCCCGTCTAGCAGCGATGCCGAAGGCAACCGGCGTCTGACGCCCACTTTGTCCAGCGGAGACGAACGCGCAGATAACAACGACTTCTGTCGCGAGTGCGGAGGCAGCGGTCAGCTCCTCTGTTGCGATGGGTGTGTGAACTCATTCCACTTCTCTTGTCTCAGTCCTCCCTTGGATCCGGCGAACCCCCCGGATGGAGACTGGTATTGCCCCCGGTGCGCGGCGGCGAAGGGGATGGACTCGCTGCTCTCCTCGTCTTACGCCACTACTCAAAGGGACTTTGCGTTGCCCAAAGCCCTCCAAGAGCTTTACTATGGCGTCGGAGCCGACGAAGCCGGACGATACCAAGAGGTCATCGCGTTGCCAAGATACAAGCCTCGCACGGTCAAAGGCAGCCGAGAGGCCCGCTATGACGACCCCTTTCTCCTGAAAGTCAAGGATTCGAAAGGCGAATATATTTTTTGCACGTCATGTGGGCGCACCACTGGAGGGGTGCGTCCCATCATCCACTGCGATTTCTGCCCATGCGCATTCCATCTGGATTGCCTGGATCCGCCCCTGGCAAATCCGCCCATGCAAAAGCCGGGCAACGGTGACCGGCCACAGGGTACCTGGATGTGCCCCAACCACATCCAGCATGACCTCAACGCCAGTCCTGTGCGCATACGCCGTCCCAAGAACGCGCGTAGAATTGACGTGGAGATCCTGCCCACCGAGAAGGAGATGGAAGAGCTCGAGGAGCAACACCCCGACGGGATTCAGCTCCACGTGAAAGAAGATGGGGTCAAATTAGATTTTATCAACCGGATCAGGCAGTATGTTACCTCTAGATATAGAAACCTATCATCATCACCATCAAGACCAAAGCTGACGTTCCTCTTTAGGGAGAACGAACAAAGAGAAGCTCGCGAATCGGTCGCCGCCACCTACACCGAGTATGCGGCGCGCCGATTCGACGCCCTCACGGCCGAAGCGCAGGCATTTTTCGCCTCCAATCCACCAGTCGTGCCCCCTGAGGCCGCGAGTGGGTTCGACACGCCGCCGCGCACCGCTGCCGAACGGGAGGCGGCAGCCAACCTCATCGAGTTTGCCCAGAGCAACCCGGAACCAGAGCGCCGCCTCCCAGACCCCGAACGCATCGCCCTTCTAATCGACGCCCTGAGATCCAATGCCCCCGAATTCCCCTCCGTTGATTCGGAGATCGAGGCGCTGCGCTCTCTACAGTCCTTGATTGAACGGCGCATACAATCGCTCAACCAAGGACAGCACAGTTAGAGGGCCAATGCAGGTCCGTCTGGTCCGGTTGCGCTTCCTGGAGCTCTTCCTCATAATCTTCTTTTCTTTTCTTTTTTTCTCATTCTGTTATTTTCATGTCTCTTCAAGCTTTTTTATAATGTTTCTTCCTTTCCTTTGTTTTCACCATGACGGCGTTGGGAGTCATGCAAATTCCAAGAACCAGGGTATTAGAATCGGGCCTTATTGCATGAGCATGTACTATTTTGTTTCTATTTAATTTTCATGTCAGTTTTTCTTCCTTCTGGAATAGAAAGGAAAGAAAGGAAAGAAATCAACTCTGGCGCAATAAATACACACAGAGAGAGAGAGAGCGCACACAAACACACAAAGAAAGCAAAGAGCATATCCACTGAAGACATGATGATGCATTTTATTCTATTTCATCTTCTACAAGTTTTTTTGCTTTTCTGTTTGAAAGCGTTTCCTTGATGATGCTTTTGTTTATTGCATGGAAATGGATTTTTCTTTTTCGTTCCTTGTTCTCAAGGCCTTGGTTTTCATTTCGGTCCCGGATTGGATTTTTACCAGTGCCTTTGTTTTTGCTTCTATTCTTTGTTAACTAGTGGACATAGCATACATATAGGACTACGTTTACATGGGTGGATGTTTATTTATCTATTTATTTATCTAGCTTCAGTTTTATTTTACTTTCTTAAGTTTCGATGTTCAGTAATTTTCACTTTGGTCCTTATATCGTTACGTATCTGTCTATCTCTCTATATTGAGATAGGTCGAGTAGGGCCATTTCTCTTCCGTTCCTATTTCTATTTCTATCTCCTGGCTCTATCTTTTAATCGAGTGACTGGTTGGACTGGTGTATTGATCTCATTTGGACGGATTCGGATTCGGATTCAGATTCAGATTCAGCTATACAAGTACATAGTTAGAGCCCCAAAACCAGGTGAAGAGTGAAACCCGATAAATGAAAGAGAATGGAAACAGAGACAGAACGATGCGATAAACAATACAATAAACTACATCAACCGAAATATAATAGCATCGAGGTAAAGTGGGTAGACACCTTGAATAAGGAAATAAGGGTAGGTTAGGAGAGGGTAGTTGTTGAGTGTATGAACTTGTATTTGTTTCCGTTTCTAGATAAGGTATAAATGAAGAGCCATATGGGTAGATAGGTAGGTAGGTGGTTAGGTAGTAGGTGAGTGAATGGTGTCGATTGGAATAGATTTAGAGGAATTTCTTGGGCATGTTGGCGCGCCGACGCTTGTATATGATGTACGAGACAGCGAGGACGATCTGGAAAGCGATGATGAGGAAGATGAAGAAGCCCATGCGGGGAGTGGAGGCGGTGATCACTGTGGATAGATTTGTTTAGTGGATGGCTTTGTATGGGTAGGGAAATTGGGATAGGTAGATGGATAGACTGAAGAATGGAACCTGGAAGGGGAAAAGCTTACCGTTGAAGACGTGGCCTTGCAAGCTCTCGGTCAAGGTAGCATGCGAGGAACGGAGCGTGTCCTGCAGCTGGTTGAAGCGGTCCCGATAGTCGCGACCCTCCAGGTCCTTCTGGATCCTCTGTAAGGCGTCCTCGATTTTCCGGAGTCGGGAGTCTAGTTGCGCGACCTCGTCTTTGCCGGCGACACGCTGGAATAGCTCCGCCTGGCGGTTGTCGGCTCGGTTGGCTTGGTTGCCGAGCTCGCGGAGGATGTTGCCGGTGGCGTGGTTGATCAGTTGGAGACGAGATCCGAGATCCGCGAATTGCTGGTCGATCGACGAGGGCGGGGGGTTGGTGGGTGGGATCTGGGCGCGCGGTGGTGGTTGCTGGGGCTTGCCAAGGCCGATGGGCCGCTGGTTGTTGTTTTGCTGCTGCACTGGGGGAGGAAGAGCGGATCCACCGGAGCTGGTCTGCAGGATGAACTTGAAGACCTCGAAAGAGTCGGGGTTCTCGGGGGTCGCGGCCGTGAGACCGAAGTTGTTACCAGCCGGGAGCGCGACCTGATGTTCTGGTTAGTCGATCGTCCTCGAGCGAATCGATTGGGTAGTAATATGGCACTTGCCTTGTTGGTTGCGAAACAAAGCTTGTCGTCGACGGTGACTTGAAGAACAGAAGAGGTATGCTTGACACGGAGGACGGAAGGACGTCCCAGGTTGCGGTAAGGGTAGTCGCAGTGACCGAACGCCAGGGTGTCTACACTCTTGTGGCTTTTGTAGTCTGTCGTGCCGTCGTTGAGGAATCCGCGAATGCTGCCACCCTGAATCGCAAGTTAGTCTGGAGAAGCTTGATAGGTCATTTCAGGGATACGCACTCTGCCGCCATGGGTGTCAATGACAAGAGCCAGTCCGTCAAATTGGCCCACGGTGTAGATGCTAGAGGTGCCGATTTTGCTTTGTCCATCCTTTGCATACCATAGCTGGAGGTTGCCCCCTCCCCTCTCGATACCACTGGCGCGGAACTGGAATTCGGCCTCCCACTCCTGCTGAGACACGCTGTATTCGCCGTCAGGTTTTGATCGGTCATGGAGAAGGGTTTGTATAAGCGGTAGGGAACTCACGGAGTCTGCGCCCAAGCGTATCCTCTCATATTCCCCGGGTACGGAGGTGTCAGGATCACTTTGTTCGAAAGCTAATTGTATGCGGAGTCAGTACGCTGAGAAGAGTCAGACTGCTCGCGGGGTCAACGGGGTATGAACGTACAATCTGGGGCATATGCCCTTCTCCTCCAACCTGCCATCCGGGAATAGAGTCCTTATTCGGCGATGTACTAGACAGAGCAGTCAGAACGGCGTGCATGATGCGCGGGACAATTGTCCATTACGTTTGACCCCAGCCAAAGCTGGAGCTTTCGATCAATGACTGTGCCGCAGCAACAGCTGCGAACAACGGAAACGAGGCGTGAAACTTCATGATGTCTATGCAATCGGAGAGTCGTGGTTTCGTCACTTGCAATCTCGGGGAGCTGTCAAAAAACGAAAACAAAGAAAGACAAGCACCAGGGTATACACTGATGCAAGAGAGTCTAGCTCCTAGAATTGATCCAAAAGAACAAAATCAAGAAAAAAGCAAAACACAGTGAGAATGCGACAGCAATCTAAGTATTAAGGGCGATCATCAGAAGCGCTCCGATTCAAGAGCGCGGAGACAACGCGTGTGGTGGTCCACCCTACCACAATGGCGATCACACAGAAGCGGAGCTCTCGCACGATGGAAACCGTCGCCGGGGAGAAGTCGACCGAGTGCTGGATGTTGAGATTGGAGAGAACGACAGAATGGCGGACTCCTACGTCCGAAGCGAAGTCCATTAATGCTGACATGAGCTGAAGAAACAACGAAGGGACACACTGGCCTTTGCTCTCCATGGCCCCCAGTCACGTGCGCCCCTCCCCGGATCGGCCGTCGGAGCTTCGTTCCATGGATTCCTTCTCTCTCCATGACCCTGTCCCTTTCTCTTTATCTCCACCGTTCTCCTTGACGGCGCATCATGCGCACTGGCTCCAATGGCTGAGTTGTACCCTTCCCTGGCCCAATGCGCCATTGTCGCAACGGCTTTCAAGATTCTCTTATTCCCTGCTTAGTACGTCGCATCCTGTCCGAAACCCCCGAACCGAGACGAAGGGGGGGAAAGATCTCCAAAGAACCAATTCTCATCAGCTTCTTCCAATGCAGTAAATCAACCGACTTTGAAGTTCACCGGAACTGGCTCGCAATTACCCATTCCCTGCCCGTAAAGGATTGGTACTACGAGGTACTTCGACCGCATCAGCTGTTCTTGCGACTCCTGTGTGTTAATTCAGACTCTTTCTAGAAAACTTCGGAATGGACTCTCGACTACCCTCCCTGTTTCGCGATATTCGAGTGGTTGCTATCCCAAGCAGCGCGCTATGCAGACCCGGCCATGCTGGTCGTCAGCAATCTGAACTATGATTCGTGGCAGACCGTTTACTTCCAGCGGGCGACGGTTATCCTCACGGAGTTTGTTCTCGTTTACGCATTGAGCCGGTACAAATTCCTCGACAATTCTCCCCTTAAATCCGATTGTCGGAGCTAATGGAGCTTCAGGTATATCAAGTCCGTCCACCCGTCGAACAAACACCTCGCGCATATCGCCAGTCTATCCATCCTGCTCTCCCCCGGCCTCTTGATCATTGACCACATCCACTTCCAATACAACGGCTTCCTCTATGGAATATTGATCTTATCCATTGTCCTGGCCCGAAAGCAGTCGACTCTCCTTCTCAGTGGCATCACGTTCGCAATCCTGATTTGCTTGAAACACATCTACCTATATCTCGCTTTGGCCTACTTCGTGTACTTGCTGAGAGCATACTGCCTGGATCCTAAATCGTTCTTCCGACCCCAGTTTGCGAACATCTTCAAACTCGGCGTGTGCATCGTCGGCATATTTGCCATAGCTTTTGGCCCGTTCCTCCAAATGGGCCAGCTGCTTCAACTGAAGGACAGACTGTTCCCGTTTTCACGAGGCCTATGCCATGCTTACTGGGCACCGAACATATGGGCAATGTACTCATTTACCGATCGTGTTCTTATCCAACGTATGTTAATCCCCCTCTGTGCCGTGTACCACTAAACTAATGAATATAGTTGCTCCACGCTTGGGCCTTACGGTCAACCAAGAGGCTCTGGCCAGCGTCACCCGCGGACTTGTCGGAGACAGTTCTTTCGCCGTCCTCCCCGAGGTGACCAAGGAACACACTTTCATCCTCACTCTTCTATTCCAGCTGGTACGTCCCATCTTCTCCTGTTCAATCTTCCGACTGTTACTTACTCAAGCGCAGCTTCCGTTGGTCAAACTCTGGCTGCGTCCTGACTGGGACACCTTTGTTGGGGCCATCACCCTTTGTGGCTATGCTTCTTTCCTGTTCGGCTGGCATGTTCATGAAAAGGCCGTGCTCCTGATTATCATTCCGTTCAGCTTGATCGCACTTAAAGATCGCCGATACTTCAGCGCTTTCCGTCCTCTCGCCGTGGCAGGCCATGTCTCCCTCTTCCCGTTGCTCTTTACGGCGGCAGAATTTCCCATCAAGACCGTCTACACCATCTTGTGGCTGATTCTGTTCCTTTTCGTGTTCGACCAGGTCGCGCCCGTCCCAGAACGGCCACGGATCTTCCTCGCCGATCGCTTCTCCCTACTCTATCACACGGTAGCCATTCCCCTGATCGTTTACTGCTCCCTGATCCACCAGCTCATCTTCGGCCTGGGACGACTCGAATTCTTGCCCCTGATGTTCATGAGCAGTTACTCGGCTCTAGGAGTGGTGGGAAGCTGGGTCGGATTCATGGTCGTATACTTCACAGCATAAAATCGTATAGAAATCAAAAAGTTTTCTTGTTTTTCCCCTCACTTCTATGACCGCAATTCCAGAGGGCGGAAATGATGTAATGCCGGAAAGGTCTTGGCGTTTGACGCGTTTGCTCCAACCACGTGCACCGGAGCACGACCCACTTGATCAGCCAACTTTGCAAAGTTTATCAGCCATCAGGCCCGAAGCGGCTAGTGCCCTTACCTTTAAACATGATCTCTCCCATGGATGTGTCGCACTGCAGAAGGAACCCGGACACAGATCTTAGACATCTGTGAAATGTCTGAGATTTCTACAATTTAGTGGGGGCTAGACTTTGGATGGCTTGCTTTGGGCATGTCAAATTGTATTGTTGGATCGGTGGCTAGTTCGCGGGAGAAGGTGTTTCTTGATATAATGTCTTTGTTTGGGGTTCGGATGTATATTTTGCGGAGCGGATGGCTGGCGTCAACGACGGAGTTTTTTTTAGGCTACCCCGATAGTTTTGTTTTTTGGGAACTATGTTAATACGATATTTTTTGGTCTGCTATTCTATGATATAGCTTTTTTAATTGTCATGTCGGTGTCCATTCTCCAAATCTCGCTACTACATATGTACACACTTTCTAAGCTCCGCTAAATCAGCGTGAATGGAGAGTAATCTACAAGTCTAGTCAGCTACGCATTTAGATTCTCGAGCAAAACATGACAAATGAGAGGTCCTAGAAAAAGTGATCAAATTTTATTCATGTTCAGTAGGCACAAAAAAAAGGCGTATTGTAAATTCGTTTAATCCGGTCTCGTGGGGAGTACCATAAAGTCGCACGAACTTGTTAGGCCATGACATTTTTTGTTATTCACAGTATTAGCTCAATAGTTTGAAGATATTTCATACTTTGAGCCTTCAGTGTTTAGCATCTTTTATATGCAGTTTTTGGAACATTTGAGCGCCATGTAGACATTGACTAGAAGATGAAAAGATGATACTGGAGTGCGCGTGAAGATACACAGAACAAGCTCGCTGATGAGCATACATGATTCTAAGATATTTACAGCCACTGAGAACTACATGCATTGCATGTGCTTACCATGAATAGATATAAATTCCTGTGACGTATCAAGGTGTGGTCACATAGCCTGTTCCCTGATCTTATCCAAGAACGATGTTATGTTTACTATATGTGGTCCCGCATCATGGCATAAATATCTAGCTGAGTTGAATTAAAATGGAATTATACCATTCTATATGATCCTATAGGGAAGATACCATCAAAACGTTCGGTCGAACATGAGTTCTATAGACCTGGAAGCTAAAGAAGCAATTATGGATGTCAAAACTCAGTATCGCGTTGGGATGTCAAAGACAATACATAGCTTGCATAACGACAAGAAATAATAAGATCGAGGGTGTAAGATACCGAAGTGATAGATACATTGATGAGTCCTAGGTGCCCTGCATGCATACTACGAGATATCTAGATCGGATTTATACTTCGCAATTTGGCGCCGAGAATGTGTACGTACCAATTGAAGATCTAGAATACTAATGAAGAACGAGAGAAAAAAGCGTGGTGGCGTTTTAAGAAGTGTACTGCGATCGTGCTGCTTGTGGCAGGTCTATGTGGCCGACGTTGTCCCTGCTCACTCCGAATCAGATAGTCCCCACCACCCGATTCCGAGGATCGATGTAAAGATTAGACAAGGAAAGGGGTGAAGATGACAATACGGCAGAAGAGCCCGCTGTGATGGGAACCGGGTGAGTCTGAGGAAGCGAACGAGGGTAAATACATGGGGGATGGGGCCGGGGACGGATAGAGGGATGGGCTCAGCAAGATGGGGAAGCAGACGGGGAGGAGGGAGAGAGGGAGAAGGCGTCGGGACGTTTAGTCGAGGGCGAAGCGTCCCGATCGGGCTTAGCGGCAGCTAGTGTCCGCCCGAACGTCGTTCTCCTCGTCGCGACCAATCAGTAGACGCGGTGCCTCGGCGGCCTCCCACCACTTGCCGCAATGATCCTCATGGGACCCGGTTCTGCCGTCGTCTTGTGCGGCGACCGCTTCTCCTTTCTCTTCTGCTTTCTCCCCTTCGCTTTTCCTTCCCCTCTCTCCCATTCTTCCTCTATACCAGCGCGTCTTCTTCCCACTCCCCACTCCTCCATTCCTGCTCAACTTCGTCTCCCCGCACGCTACTCCGATTTTGGGGATATACATTTCCGCACCTCGGGTTCCACTCCTCTCGAGTCCGACACGCTCCTCCGATCCTGCGTTCTCGTGTCGTGCCCACTTTTCGCCCGCGCAGTTGCTACCTCACGCGATTAGACACGCGTTTGTCCCCGTAAGTCGACTCGCCCAAGTTCCCGATGCATTATGCCGCGCAATTTCCTCGCTCCAGAACGACACCGATGTTGGATACCTTCGGAGAGCTCGTCTTGTGCCCGTCTTGTCCCGAGCTTCATCCTGCGCACCTGCAATGTGCCCGTTCCCAGTTCCGCAACGGACTACGTTCTATGCGGTCTTTGTTTGACCTTCAATTTCTTTCATTTCTTTGATTTTTTTTATCTGCCCATTCGTTTCTTTGTACCAATGGGCTTTGTGCTGACTGTCCACTGCGACTAGATTATCCATGGTGAACATCTTGGTTGGTTTATACTAAATAGGCGCGTGTTGCACTTCGTGGAGGAATATGGTACGTTGTGAAACTCTCATGAGCGTCCGGATTCAAACCCAGAGTCATGGATGAAATCAATGTGGAACGCATGCTGGCAAAAAGCACAACCGAGAACTGACATCATTGACCTAGGTGTTGTTCAAACGGAAACCCGTCCAGTACCTTCCGCGACCAGTTATCGAAGATGACAGCTCCGAGGCACGTACAAAATGATCGAAGACGACGGCAAAGATAACCTATTGACCACCCATCGTATAGGTCTGGGTTATTCCAGAGACCAACGAGGTCTTCACGAATTATGAACCCTACCTGCAGCGGATGGACTTTTATAAGCAACGAAGATTTATATGCGAAATCACGGGTCATTCGGGCTTGACTTTCTTCGAGGCCCTCAGAAGCGAGGTATGCGACAATCCAGACTTCCGCAATCGCGTGGCTCAACTTTTGCTTATACTTGGAATCATCAGACGGAGGAATCGAAGGAGGTCAACAGCGCTTTCCCCGACGCTCTGAAGGAGCCTATACTGCGCAGAATACAATTTTCCACAGTGTCGCGGGTCGATAACCTTGGTGCGTATAGAATTTCCAGATTTTATAAAGTGGTGCCTGAGACTAACGCTGATCTTCACAGTGGACGAGGTCTTCGAAGTGAGTAGAATGATTAATCAATCACTGTCATCGACTTCTAGGGCGAAACTAAACAAGCGCAGGAATTCAAGCAAGATTTCTACCCAGGAGAGCCCGTTTTGATACTACTGGACGATAACACGCGTCTCCACGGCATCATCCGAGACAAGGCAAACTTCGCGGAGCAGCTGAATCACGATGGGACGGTTAAAACTCCGGCGTACGCGACATACCTCGTGAAGGTCCTTGACCGTCCGAACGAAGAAGCGCTTCTAGACCAGGAGCACATCACCCGAGACCGCAAAACCTTCACCAAGCAGATGTTACGCGCTTTCATCAAGAACAACGTGACGCGGGAGTCTTGGAGCGGTGCCCCCTGGCTTGTGAAATCCTCCATCGCCGAAGAATATAGGATAACAACCGAAGTGCCGAAGCATTTACAGTATGGAGCCAAGGTCGCCGAGAAGAAGGCCATGAAGAAGGCAGATCAGGATGGATTTTTCGGTTTCTTCGCCTCGCAGCAGCTGCCTGAATTGAAACCAGCGGTAAAGGCCCCTAAATCAAAGCCTTCGCCCAACGACATGGCCCGCTCAAAGGAAGCACAGTTCCTCGAATACCAGCGCTCTCTCAACGGCAACCCGACCTTCGTCGTCAGCAACAAGCCTCCCGGTGCTTCCCGTTCGTCAAAATCTCAGGAGGCCGAAAAGAGGCCGCAAGCTGTGCCTGCCGTGGTCGTCAAAGCCGAGTCTCCTAGACCACCGTCTCCACCGCCGATCAAGTACCCTATTGAGGATCTTGATATCGCACCAGACCGCGAAAAGAAGAAGCAGCGACCGCCCCTGCAGTTTGTTAACATCGATGAAACCGACGAGATTGAGGATGACGGTGATCTGCTGTATGACGAGCTCGAGATGAAGTCGGTGAGGTTGCTTCTCGAGTCCTGGAATACGCTCAATGTGTATTGCGAAGTCTTCCAGCTGGATTCTTTTACTTTTGACGATTTCTTCCAGGCAATGCGATTTACATCGGATGACGTGGACTGCGAACTATTTGTTGAAACCCATTGCGCCGTGCTGAAGAAACTGGTAAACGCCGAGAAAGATGACGACGGTGCCGTGCAGATCTCCCTCCCCGATCTCCCCGACGAGGACTCGGAAGACTCTGACGCTGAGGACGAAGAAGGAGAAGAAGAAGAGGAGGATGCCACTCCTGAGCCGGTTGTCACCAGGATGACCACTCGCAGTAGTTTGGCCAAGGCTGAAGCGCTGAATTTGAAATCACAAGCGAACGGGAGTCGGTCAAACTCAGTAGAAGCTAAGGTGCACCGTGCCGACGAGCTTTTCGGAGAGTACTCTTGGATTGATCGTCTCCGGAAACGCGACTTCCGAAATGGTGGGTGGGAGTTGGTTATGGCGGGACTTTTGCACCGGCTGTCCATGCGCCCGCGCATGGAAAAAGTTTGTAACGAAATTCTCAAGCATCTGGCACCTCTTGATGCCGAGCCAACCCAGGAGACGGTTCAACAGCAGTACTCTACCCTTGACGTCAACCTGCGCATCCAGGGCCTTCAAATCATCTGCATGCTCAGTCTGGAAACCAAAGCCATTCGCAACTACTTGGAGGAATGCAGCAACCAGATGACAGAGTTTCGGAAAGAAAAGATCGAGTACCAAAAGTCTCGCAAAGCAGCGTAAGTGTCATGACATATTGCCTGCTGATTTAGCTAACTCCGCTATAGTCTCGAAGAACTTCGTCGATTACACCAAGAACGCAAAGCCCTCCAGCCCGAACCCGAGAAATCGCCCACGCCAGCACCCGAATTGGAGGCGTTGGAAGACTCCAAGATGACTGGCATAGATGGGGAATCTGACCAGGGCGATTCGGACGAGGACGACGGACCTAAACAACGGTCATTGCGGGGAGGCATGGACAGAATTCTGGAACGGAAGAGAAAGCAGGAAGAGGAACGCGAGAGAAAGGAGCAATTGGCCAAGCAGCCAAAGGGATCCAAGCAGTACCAGAGAGTGCTTAAAAAGATCGAAGATCAAAAAGCGCAAGTCGCCAAGCTGGAAGAGAAGATCGATGTTGTTGACAACGACTTGAGGGAAGCCGACTGCCCACGCACGAGATTACTCGGCAAGGACCGCTTTTGCAATCGATACTGGTGGTTTGAGCGAAATGCGATGCCTTACGGCGGAATGCCCAACAGCTCAACGGCCGAGGCCGCATACGCCAACGGTCGCCTATGGGTCCAAGGCCCCGACGAGATGGAACGCGTTGGCTTCATCGACGTGACCGATGAGCAGAAGAAGCAATACCAGAAGGATTTCCAGACCACGCCTGCGGAGCGTAGGAAGGCCGAGGAAGGCCCTACTCGACTTGCGAATGCCGACGAATGGGGTTTCTATGACGAGCCGGAAGCGCTGGAGAAACTTATCGACTGGCTGGATACGCGAGGAAACCGCGAATTGAAATTGCGCAAGGAGCTGCAGCTGCAGCGGGGCCACATCGCGAAGTATATGAACCGCCGCAAGGAGTACCTGGCGCAAACCGTAGAGAGGGCGGAGTCCGAGGAGGCGCCAGCCAAGCGGATGACCACGAGAACCAAAACATACGCGGGCGACAACCCCCATCGTTGCCTCAAATGGCACAACGTGACGGCGCTGTCGGAAAATGGGCATCTTCATGTGGATGCATCTCGGCCGTCCAAGCGAGCGAAGCGAACCACCGATGAACCGAAGGAGATCAAGGCGACGAATCGACAAGGCAAGCCGCTCACGAGGCAGGGAACGCGGTACAATTTCTAGATGCGCCTGCGCCTGTCGCATCTGTTTGTCTATTGGATTTACCTGGCGTTCTACGGTTCTTGTATATGTCAGTGATCCCGGGATGGAAGGGCAACATTTTGGGGGGTGGTCGCAATTATTGTTTGTTTTTGATTATTTGAAAAGAAAAGGGTCTTTCTTGGATTGCATGAGCGATGAGACCATGAGATTTTTTTTGAAATTCGATACAGCCCCTCTATATATACATACACATATACATACAACAATTCATAGTAGACAACCGGCATTTTGGCTATAGAGGGAGTTTTGAATGGGAATTTTTTTTTGTATACACTAAACTCTGTATATCCGATGTAAAGCGAGAACATGTGACTGCTGACCAAACTGCCGAGCGCCGTTGGCCACCCGTGACCCGCCACCCGGATACCGCGCCGTATTGTAACGGTATGCCTCCCCATCACTTGGCGTCGGCGGCTTGTATCGGCATGTCAGCGCGGTAACCTGCCGCCCGTTCTTCCGCCGACTTCTGCGATGCCATCATCGCCGCTCGCCTTTTTCCTCGTCCATGTTGCCGATTCTTCCACTCGCTCCAGGTTTGATCCTCTACTTTCCCCGCGAAATTCCCCCACATTTTCGCGTCTTGAACCCGTTCTTTTGTTGAGCGTCCTAAAAACAGTCTGAGCGGTCTCAGCGTGCAAATTGTAGGGGTAATACCCATGGCCCCGAATCTCCGGTAGCCCGTGTGACTGAACCAGGCTTTTTGCATAGTCTTGCTTTATGTCTACTACCCTTTCAGACCATGCGCATGCAGATTCTTCCTCGATCGCACTCAGTTCTCATTCTTCTCATTCTATGACCGCGGAATCCGTCCCGCACCCGATTGCTCAGATGGAACAGGTAGCACAGTCGGGACCAGCTGGCGGGCCGACGACAAGTGACACTCACAGAAATGCAGCGGTAGCCACCGCGCAAGTAACCCAAGGCGACCGTGCTCAAAGCACACATAGCGAGCAAAATAATCGACAGACGAACAAGCGTAGCTTGGACTACATCGCAAGGAGCGGGTTAGCGGGGGGTCTAGCGGGGTGTGCTGTAAGTCGAATATTTCATCCCGTTGTATATTTCTTGACGGTCTCGGAAATGGAAAAATGCTAACGGGCTGGGACATGTTAGGCCAAAACGGTGGTGGCCCCCTTGGACCGGGTCAAGATTCTTTTCCAAGCCTCAAACCCGCAGTTTGCCAAATACACAGGCAGCTGGACGGGCATGGTGGCGGCGATTCGCGATATCAAACGATATGAAGGCGGCCGAGGCCTCTATAAAGGTCATTCCGCTACGCTTCTTCGCATCTTCCCTTACGCAGCGATCAAATTCCTCGCCTATGAGCAGATTCGAGCGGTATTCATTCCGTCACCCGACAAGGAGACGCCGGGTCGCCGACTCCTATCTGGCAGTCTGGCGGGCATCACATCAGTGTTTTTCACATATCCCTTGGAACTCATCCGAGTGCGATTAGCATTCGAGACAAAGAAGACCTCGCGCTCTTCCTTGAGAGACGTCTTCCGGCAGATCTACCACGAACGAGTTTCGCCGCCCTCCACCTCTAGTGGAATCTCCGCATCGTCAGCTACCGGCGCTACCGCCGCAACCACGGTCGAAAATGTGTCCTCCTCCGTGAATAAGGTCGTCCCCAGCTCAGGGATCGCCAACTTCTACCGTGGATTCATACCCACCATGCTAGGCATGTTGCCTTACGCCGGAATTTCCTTCCTCGTGCACGATACCGTCGGCGACTGGCTCCGACTTCCCTCCGTCTCTCACTACACCACCATTCCCGAATCCGACCTCTCTCCCGCTCAGCAGCAATCACAGAAACCCTCGCGACGGTCGCAATTGACTGCCGCCGCCGAAATATTCTCCGGAGCTGTCGCCGGCCTCTGCTCGCAGACTGCATCATATCCGTTCGAGGTGATCCGACGGCGCATGCAAGTCGGTGGCGTTGTCGGTGATGGTCACCGACTCGGAGTTGCCGAAACCGCCCGCACGATTTGGCTGGAGCGGGGATTCCGGGGATATTTCGTTGGATTAACGATTGGCTACATCAAGGTGATGCCGATGGCCGCGACCGCCTTTTTCGTGTACGAGAGGCTGAAGTGGTCTCTTGGAATTTGATCTTTCATCTGCTCGATACATACATACCTCTACCTCGATTACTCCTTTTTGCATTGAAGCGGAAGCTGTGAGGATTTGTTCTCGTGATTGCTCTCCCTTTTGTGTACTCCTTCTCCTCAATCCCGTTCATCTCATATAGAGCTCTGAAGACATTGGCGTCTTACAATTTCCTTCTGTTATATTACATTGTTCATACCCATTCTTACTTTGTTAAGGGGATTCAGGATATTGCGGTACACAAGTACATAGTTTTGAATTCTTGTTGTGTGTGAAGAGAAATACCATACTACATTGAACAACTCCAACGTCTATTTCTTCTTGCTGAACTTATCGTAATTCCATCCAAATCAAAAGCACCGGACGGGAAGTTGTCCATCTTTGCGGCAACAGTAAGAACCCACCCACCTGATTGGCCCAAACCAACTCCGCACAGACCACCTCGCAAAAAAAAAAGTTGCGGCGTTTTTACAAACCTCCGAGAGCCTTCCACTCTAACATACTCACTACCTAACCCTCACTCTCTACCTACCTTATTTGATTTGCGGAGTCGGCGCAGAAAAGAGACGTCTTTAACTATCAACTTTATCCAGGGCGCATCACCGCCTCCTTCATACAAGAATGTCGACCCGCAAATACAACGAGTTCCTCGACATCGAAGGGTCAAGCGACGACGAAGCCAACGATCGCGGATATGACTCCGAAGCCGCAGAGGAAAGCAAAGGCGGGAACGCGAAACGAAGACGCACGAAGCAGCCACACGATATCCTAGGGGACGACGAATCAGACGGATCGGAGAACGAGGCATCGGAAGACGAAGACGAGAAATTGTTGGCCGCGAAGACGAAGGGGAAAGGAACGAAGAAGACATCAACATCTACAACAAAGAAGTCCGCATCGAAGCGCAGTGATGACGCTGAAGACGACGAGGCTGAAGATGACGAAGTCGAACTCGGTAATCAATACCTTGAGTTAGCGGACGACGACGACGATGAAACCCGTACCAAAGGATCGAAAAGCAAGAAATCAAGCTCGGATAAGGCCAAGCCAGACAAGAAGGAAAAGAAGAAGAAGAAGAAGCCAGGCGTCATCTATCTCTCCTCGCTCCCGCCGTACATGAAACCGTACGCATTGAAGTCGCTCTTCGAGACGCGCGGCTTCGGACCTATTACGAAAGTGTTCCTATCGCCGGAAGTGAGGCCAGCATCTGCGCCGCGACGCCGCTCCAACAAGCGAAAAATCTACTCCGACGGATGGGTGGAGTTCGCATCGAAGAAGACGGCGAAGATCTGCGCGGAGACGATGAACGCGTCGATTATCGGCGGTCGCAAGGGCAGCTGGTACCACGATGATATTCTGAACGTGAAATACCTCACCGGCCTGCGCTGGGATGACTTGGTGGATCAGATCCAGAGGGAAAGGAAGGAGAGGGAGGCCAGGCAGCGGATCGAGGATGCGCGGACGCGCAAGGAGGACCAGGTGTTTTTGGAGGGAGTGGAGCAGGGCAAGGTGCTGGATGGGATGCAGAAGAAGAACGAGGACAAGAAGAAGAGGAAGCTGCAGCAGGCCGATGAAGGGCTCAGGAGCGAGAAGGGCCCGGGACAGGATGCTAAGATCAGGAGACTGTTCAAGCAGAATGAGGTTAAAATGGGACGGGATAAGATACAAAATCATGGTCCGTTGGAGGAGGACGCGAAGAAAGTGTTGGGCCAGATTTTCTAGATTTTTCATTTCTATGCCCTAATGGCAGTTTGTTACAGATATACCAATTCAATTATGTACATCACTTCGGTCAAATATGAGTTCGTGGACTTGTGACATCTTCTATGTCTACTTGGAGAGCAACGTGTTTGCTCTGTTTGCTTCCCCTGCAGAACAATGCTTAGTCATGGATTTGCAATGTTTGCAGCCCAACGTCACCGGTGGAAGAACCAAGCGGCGAAGATGCAGGTGAATGCATGCTTTTTTCCAAAATACCTACCTTCGTCCTTCAGGTTCACCTTATCATGAATCGTGTGGTTTTACGGCCCTGGTGTCGCCCAGAGGTTATTCGTTCGATATATACCCCTGGCGCCTTTATACCTCGTCGGGCTTTTCCTGCGCAATCGATCTACAATGCCAATGGCCGGCACTTTGCCTCGGTGTCGCGTTGGCACAATAAACAGTCTCCTGAAACCCCTCCTGCATCAAATTCCGAATTGAATGAACCCAGTAACGCAGCATTGGAAAATGAGACAACCAATTCGTCCGGCCACGTCCCGTGGTATCTGCAGGAAGCATCACCGGTCTCCGAGTCGCAGCAGATTTCGTTCCAGGACCAACTACCGGATCTCCCAGAGCAATCCCCGGAAATTCTTCCCGTTCTCCTGGAATACGTCTTCAAAGATCTTGGATTGGACAAATTGAACCTGATGGACCTGCGCCCCTTGGAGACCCCTCCCCCGCTCGGGGCCAATGTCATTATGATTATCGGAACCGCTCGTAGCGTGAAGCATCTGAACGTCTCGGCGGATCGCCTTTGCCGGTGGTTGAGAAGCACGTGGAATCTATCACCATACGCGGATGGACTGCTGGGTCGAAACGAACTCAAGATTAAGCTACGACGGAAGGCTCGTCGAGCTCGCATTGCCAGCCAATCGGGGTCCATGGTCGACGAGAAGGACGACGGCATCACCACGGGATGGATTTGCGTCAATGCCGGCGTCGTGGAGAAGAGCGCCGCCCCAGAACCAGGAGCCCAGAATTTCGAAGGATTCGGCACCGTCGTGGGCGGCACGCGCGTCGTGGTCCAGATGTTCACCGAGGAGAAGAGAGCCGAAGTCGATCTGGAAAGCCTATGGCAGAAGACCCTGGACCGTGCCGAACGAGAGAAGAAGAAATACGCTGAGGCCAACCCCTCCGCGCCTCCTAAAGAGGTTCGTTTTTCTTCATCGACAGACCCATCACCATCACCATCACATTCTGACCTCGATCATGGACATTCCACCAGGACCCCGGTAACGGCCCCGCTCGGACAGAGAAGACAGATCCACAGCGGCCGTCCGCGGATCCCATTCCAAGCCGTGCAGGGCACCGCTAGCACACCCATTCCCTCACCTTTTCGGTCCTCCGTGCGCGGATATTCCACTTCCCAGGAGAGTGATGTTGTAAACTCCTTGTTTCAATACCTATCAGGCTTGTCGGACGAGCAAGTCCGAAAAGACCTGGGCACCGGTCCGGACGATACCTCTTCCACACCTTTCTTGCAATTGTTCTATGGTAACGACTCCCGGTTTTCCGAGGACGAAAAAGCCTTTGCCAAATTAAAGCTGTACTGCACCGCAATCAACCGACACCATCCGGGATACAGCAAGGAGGGCTTGGCCAAGACCTTTGAGTACTATGCTGCCCTGGCCTGTGTCATCCCCGACGACCTCAGCTTTGAGGTTATTTCGACCCTGCTAGCCGGTCAGCCCACGGATGAGCCTGCCGAAGGAGGAGTCAAGATGACGTTACCACGCGAGGATATCGAAATTGCCTTGGATGTGCTAGAACACCTGAGCACGCAAGGCACCAACCTAATCAACCTGAAGATGTTCAACATCATCTACAAAGCCGCTATGATAATCCCTGACCAGCCCCAGCTCCAACCAGAAACCGAAGCGGAAGAACCCACAGAAAACCCCTCAAACGAAGACAAAATGATGACATCCGCCCTATACCGCGTCTCCCGCATGATCGACACCTTCAACTTCCCCTTCGATGCCACGGAAACCCGACTGCACATGGTCCTCCGCTTCCAAGCACAAGACTACGACGCCTTCTGGAAGATCTGGCGCCAGCTCCCGATCAACGCGCGTTCGCGCAATCGAAAAGACTACGAGATGCTGTTCAAGGAGCACGCACGTCTTGGGGACCCGATTCTCGCCGAATCCTGTCTGACAACGTGGTTCCCGATGATGGACCGAGAAAAGAATCCTATTTCGCTAGAAGGTCAACTTCGAACCTCTGTCTTGGAGTGTATCCTTCTGGCGGATCCGAATGTTAGAGAGAATTCTCAGAATATGGCTAATACGCCTATGGTGCGCATGTGGAATGAGTGTCATCAAAGACGTGAGGTTCCGGACCAATGATATTGATACTGAAGGGGTGAGGGAAAGGGTTGTGTGTGTTTTTAGTATGAACATTTTGGGATGTTGGGTGTTAGATACTGGATATAAACTCTGTATATATGTGTCCTACAGTGTTGCGTGTATGATAAGCGCTTGATATTGATATTCCATTGATAAAAACGCATGCATTGAAAAACTAGTTATTCTCTGTTTAAGTCACCAAATAGAACGAAGTATATCTCTTTGATTTCTTCTTGAAGATGTTCGCAATTTGAAGCTGAGAGGATGAGAGTACCGTACTGTGGCCGTGCGGATGTGCATGAATAACCTTCGGTAAGAAGGGTTGACCCTTGTTAGTGCAGCGGGTGTAACTGCCATACGTCCCTACCCGTTTGCCATGTCATACGACAGTCTGCCTTCTACTATTGTTTCTGGACGAGTGAAGAATTGGGAGACCTACCATATCCTACTTATTCTCTATCTGGGAGAGCACACCAAATTACAACCATATCGTCTACCTACCACCATAAAAATACCACTCCAAAATATTACCACTCCTCCTTGAGATCCTCTATCCAGCACCTCAACAGGTTTCGTCGTAAAAATGCGCTGCTTCGAAAGAATATATGACGTGGTCGAGCCCGTTGAAGAATAACTGTAAAGGGTACCTGGCCAATCCAGGAACCGATAAGATGCATCCTACGGCGGGATAGAAGATGGCCAGGATTTCACCTGCGACAAATTTTATATTCCAAGGCTTTGTCCATACCTTTGAGCAGGCGTTCTTGGTGTCTGAGGTGCAAGATAATCCCAATGAAACTTCATTTTTGCAGTACTATGGAGGATCTCGTTCTTCCTACATACACCAATCAGTGCAATGAATCTAGAGATACGAACTGTTCAATTGTTTAATCATTATTTAACACCACACGGACTGCTCCGCATGTAGAACTTCTACACCGTTCCAGGAATAAAGGCTTGCGTCTTCACTTTTCCAAAGACGAAGCAGCAGATGGAAATATTGTAGAACATAACATAGTGGAAGCTTCTTGAAGTACACTCTGAGTCACCCAGCATCACGGGGACTATAATATAGCCCCATGTTGCAGATATGCAAGGCAGGTAGATGACTGGTAGCCACCGCGGTGATCAAAAACAATCCCCTAATGACCTAAATGAATGGATTAATGTGACAGAGGGCCGGCTTGCACCTACACAGGTTAGATAGATTGCTGAATACAGACTACATTACTGAGGAACACATAGAAAACTGAAAGAGAAGCAGCAAATTGGGTCTCATTATTTAAAGACTATAGGAATAGTGTCATCTGCTTTGATACAGCACCCATATATAACATGACCATGTCATACCAAGATAATCTGCCAAAAGACATGGCGGCGTGTCTAACTGAGAGGACTGGCATAATTCGAAGTTTCAGCGACATCTATGCCAATTTCCCTCGTTTTCCACAGATCTTGAGCTCTTTGACATTCTCAAAAGTGCTCCATAAAGTCTTCATTCGAGTACACTTTTTTATGAACACGTACGGCATTCCTTACAACAAATCCCATTCTGGATGTCACCGCTTTTTGTGTCGAGATATGGCAGGGCGGCTTTTTTCATGTACCATAGATGGCAATTGGCTGAAGATCTAACTGAAAGTTTAAGCCAGTGGTATTTGCCCCCCGCGTCCATCGGATGTATGATGACATGCTTAGTTGGCACAGCTAAACTTGGCCGATTTTGTGGCGTGAATTGCGCTGAGTCCATCCACTCACGGTTGTTAGTATAGAGGATGCCAGGAGGAAAAAGACCTATCTTAATGCAAGAGAAACAGTATCTCGTATATGTGAGAAGAGAGACGAAGCCACCAAAGGAGCCGCAACAAATACAAGTCTTCGTACAGAGGATTTTGAAGAGGTCCTGTAGAGTATAATAAGATGCCAATCCTGTTTTAAGGGAAGCACAAAGAGCATCAAGAGCATATGTAAATGTCTCTCGATAGCCACGAACTTGACTGACGATTTGTCGGGCACGGCGATTGACACGGCGAAATCCGAAGAGTGACTCAATGTCTAATAAGAGACATATTTCCAAGGTAATTTCAACCGGTAGACAATCTAACCCGCCAGGGGTACTGTTAACTGAAGGGGTAGGAGTTGGATGAAGCAAAGAGGCACGTACTCGTTTATGGTGGGAGGGAAGGAAGCTGATGACCGCAGGGTCGTCTTCGTCCTCATACTGGGGATAGGCAAGAGTGCGAATAATCTCATCCCACTGGCCTTCTTCAGATGGGGTTTCGTGAGTTTCCATTGTTTCAATATCCATGCCTAGCTTATTGTAACAATGAGCGAGAAACAGGGGGTCTTTCTTTGATTTGAGTCAAGCTAGGGAGTTGTTATAGCCACACGAGTTATTGTCTGGATAGTTTATATATAGATAGATACGGACCATTGTCTGCCATCGCCTGTGGCTCATTCCGGTCCAGTTCTTGTAGAGGAAGGTATCATAACTATCTCATGTACCGGAGAATAGTTAACACGAAAATTGATCCTGATGACTCAGTCCTGACTCAGCAACCGAATTGCCTCGGCCCAAGTCGAGTGGACTTCGACGGCGCCGAACACTCGCGCTCCGCATCTCCCTCTTATCGCTTTCCATGGGATGGGATGGGATGACTGGCATTCATCATCATCATCATGGAATATTTACCCAGTCTCCAGCAGGAGTTCGATGAGCTCAAGCCTTCTCTATTCGGTAATTGCATCCCTAGCAAACATTCCGACTCAACCTCAACTGACCTCGTTTTATCTAGAACTACTCGCCGAACAGCAGCTCTCGGATCTCCTCCCTCCCTCCATTCGATACATCCTCGCCGTCGCGACTCACCGTCATCCTCGGTACTTGCTGAGGATTCTTAATTCGTACGATGAAATCTACGCCCTCCTCTCGCTCGTGGTAGAACGCTACTACCTGCGCACCTTCGGCGGCTCTTTCACCGAGAACTTCTACTCTCTGAAACGCGAACGAGTCCTCCTGACCAAGAATGGCGAGGTTCCGCGCGCCCAACTGGGCGCTGCCGGTCCTGTCCGGGAAACCCTGAAGTTGCGTTCGTCCGACGTCTGGAAGAACCTCTTCATCATGATCGGAATCCCCTACTTGAAACGCAAGCTAGACGAGGGCTACGACGTGCACGCCGCGCCGCAAGCATCCTTGATCATGAGCGGCGGTCCCCGATACAACCCCAGCGATGACCTACCTTCCAGCCCAACAATACGTCAACGGCTTCTACACCTATACAAATGGTTCCTCCGGAACGTCTACCCCTCCGTCAACGCCGCGTACTACTTCTCCGTCCTCGCCTTCAACCTGGCCTACCTCTTCGACAACACCAAATACTCCTCCCCGTTCCTCTGGCTCATTGGCACTCGAATCCGCCGCCTCGGCGCCGCCGACCACAGAGCCATCGCTTCCGTCCTGGAACCGCCTAAACCGGCACCCGGGCCAGCCGGCGGCGCAGGCGCTCGCTCTCGCCCCGGCTCGGGACTCCTGGGCATGCTGAGCCCGCAAAACCTCTACCCGCAACTCCTCACGTCTCTCCGCTACTTCCTCCCCGCGTCGATCTTCGCCCTTAAGTTCCTCGAATGGTGGCACGCCAGCGACTTCTCGCGACAACTCGCCCGCAAGGCCACCGAGGTGCTGGATCTCCCGGCGCCCGTCTCCAACGGAATGATATCCCCCTCGGAGAAGCGGAAAGCGCTCGAAGAGAAGAACAAGGAGAAAGAGAAGAGGAAACAACAGCAGCAGGACCCGGAATCCCCTAAGTCCGCCCTCAAGTCATCCCGTCGACGCACTCAGCCCCCTGTCTCTGCGACTTCGTATCTCCCCATCTTCACGGTTCCTCTTCCGCCCGCGGACTCGGACGTTGCGTCCATGTGCGCGGTGTGTTTGAATCCGCTGGCCAATCCGACGGCCTGTCAGACGGGGTACGTGTATTGTTACGTGTGTATCTTCCACTGGGTGAACGGCGAGCATCAGCGACAGATTGATTTCATGAACGGGGACGGAGCAGGCGCTGCGTGGGAAGACGATGCGGTCGAGGGGGAGGACGCCGAGAAACAAGCCGACGGGAAACCGGGCCAGAGTCGCCAGGGGAAATGGGAGAGCGGGAAGGGGAGATGTCCGGTGACGGGGAGAAGAGTGTTATGTGGAACGGAGGGGTTGAGACGTGTTTTGATCTAGATTTCGTCCTAGAGAAGAGGTGCAGTCATGTTTGTATATAGTGTGCATGGTTGATGAAGCATGAATAATTATCCAGCGAGTAGTTATGTCTAATATCACGTTTCCTTGAATTGACTTGCCTTTGTCTTCGTCGGATGGAAATAACTGAATACATCACACCCGCTACCTAATAATATCATTACTGCACGATACTATATCTATTCGATTATGTACGGATCCGCGCCCTCCCCGAAAAGAAGATGCGGTCTCTCCGCAGCAACCTTCAGGATAGTCTGCGCAAAGACCGAGTTAGCCCAAGCGAACCACGGACGCGAGTAATCTTTGATATTGTTGACGTTGATCGATTCATGCACGAGGCCCAGAAGGCTCGAGTTGCGAACTAGATTGATGGACTTGGTGATTTCGACGTCTGAGTCGGAGGTCATGGCCTGGATGAGCAAGGACATGGGCCAGGCGTTTTGGAGACCGACTAGTTCACTCAGTTAGCTGGTTGGAGCCTTTTGATGTAGACCTGAACGTGTGTTTTAGCTAGGGAAAGGGCGGTGGGAAGACAAACTATGAGGACCACCAATGCCATGGAAGTCTGAACCAGTGAGATAGTACGGGTTACCGTCCTTCTCGAGGAGCATCTTGCGCGTGTTCTGGTAAACCTTATCGTCTTTGCTGACATAGCCCAGATACGGCAAAGAAAGCAAAGACGGGATATTGGCGTCGTCCATGAGGATGCGAGAGCCGTACCCGTCGACCTCGAAGGCATATACATCGCCGTATTTAGCATGATTGACAATACCGTGCTCCTTGATCGCCTTGTCGAGCTTATCTCCCCGCTCCTCCAGCTCTTTCGCCAGTTCGTCTTTGCCCCCGGCTGCGCGGAGCACCTTGGCCGTCTTTTTGAGCTGCACGGCCATCTGCGCGTTCGGGGGGATGAAGAATCCGAGAATAGTCGCGTCGTCGCTTGGACGGAACGCACTGCGAATAAGCCCCGTGCCGTGGTTCAATGGGTTTCCGACACCAGCCAGACTGAGGGTCTCGGTGCCCAGCGTGGTTTTGCGCTGGAAGGTGTACTGGTTGACGACGTACTGGCCCTTGTCGTTGAAGGTCGGCTGTGACTGAGCGTCTAGTACTTTGAGGACGGTGTTCAGGGCAGAGTACCATCGGGTGGTCAGGAATTCTGTAGATTTGGTGTTTTCGTAGAACTCTGTCCCCAGAGCAAGAAAATGGGCAAGTGAATCGAGCTCGTACTTGCATTCGAACACCACGGAGGACTCATACGCCGGATGCACCTGGTCATCTTGCCCGCTGGTAGTCGGCTCTAGTCCACTAGGCGGCGGAGGCTGGAACGCATTGCAGTATGGAGATTGGATGACAAACTCGGCTTGGGTGTTGATTGCGCCTAGGATGAGGCTGTAGAGCTTCTTATCTTTCTTCGCGAGAGCCTGGTACCCGGTCAACTGGTTCGTCGAGTCGCGCAGCCATTCGGCGTTGATGTCGCCAGTAACGATAAAGGTATGGGCACCCTGCCATTGCGACGCGTCTCTTTGCGCTTTCGATGCGACGGACGAGGTGCCGTCCACATGCCATCGGACAGTGGTGTCCAGGGTATTCGGAAAAGCATTTTGAAACAACCGGGCGAGGTCTTTGTCTTTCATGCGCGAAGTGACGTCTTCAATCACCTGCTCGACAGCAGGAGAGCTGAAGGTACGGCATTCGGTTGCTGGTCGTTGGAAGGGGAGCTTGAGTGGGCCCTCGCTGTATGGGGCACTAGGTGGGAAGGTCAGACGGGATGGTTTGACGTCTTCCACGAGGGAAAGTAGGGGTAGTGTCCTACTGTGGCACTGAAGCATACGATACATAGTCCGGACATGCTCGTCGAAGAACCGCAGGCTCATCAGGATATCCTGCAGAACCCCTTGCGCCCAAGGCAAAGGTGAAGCTGAGGATCAGCGCTGCCAACGAGCACGTCATGATGGATAACTAGAAAATGAACGATGATCTAAGGGTTCATAGATGTCTTGTGGTCTCAAAATTGATCCAATTCAGCCTCTGGAATCAAACATAAACAGATCAGAAGTGAATTGAGGAGTGGGCTGTTTGTTGTCTATGCCAAGGCGTGGAATGCGGAGAAGCGCAAACCGGGGAAGGACCGCAGTAGATCCAAGGGTCGCGATCGACTTTATATCGATGGGGATTGACCGGCCCATTCCCGACACGATGTGCCATAGCGCTGTCACCGTCACAATGACCTGCCGATCATTCAAAAGGATCTCTAGGCTGTTTGCTTTCTTTGTTACGCCGAAAATCCGATGACATCGAGGGTCTTATGTAATCGTGCGGGGTCGAGTCCGCTGGTGCCTTAGGTTACCTGGGGATAGAATGGGATGACATTATGGATAACGATGAGTAGTTATGCTAAGATATTCGCTTCAAAATGAGATGTTGATGAAGCCGTGAGATAAGTCACTTCACATACATTAGAGATCCCTGGATCACTCCACGCTTGGGAAAACATGAGATCACCAACGCCTGTCTATTTTTTGCCGAAAAACGACATGATACTACCTTGTCCTGGTTTACCTCCTGCCTTACCCTTTGATGCGCTCACGGCAGGTTTCTTCTTGGGCGGCGGTGCAGGCTCATCCTCGGAGAATGACTCCCAGGAGGGTTCCTCGACCGTCACTAGAGATAGACTGTCAGTTGATCCATAACAAGCCAAAGCACCGATCCACATACCAAGGTATCCCTCGTCATCCCTGACTGTCTTTTTCTGCATGATTTGACGCCTTCCTCGGCGACGTCCTCCCCCAACGGTAACTTCTTCCTTCGGAGAAGGAGGCTTGGGCGGTGCTTCGTCAATGGGGTTAGATTCTTCGGCGGGTTCTGGGACATCCGGCATTTCCTCGTCCTCTTCTTCGTCTAGGGCGGATGAGTATAACAATTGGCATACTACGCGACTAGTTAAACTCACCTTCGTCCTCCATCATTTGTTTCAGCCTCGCCTCTCGCTCTTTCCTTGTCTCTCGTGTACCGGCGGACGAGGACTTGCCAGTATCGGGGAAAAGCTCTTCGGCTTCTTCTTCCGAAGCATCGTCCAGGACAACTATATCCATTAGCATCTATCAATGAACGGATACAGCATTCAAACAAAGACCCACCATCTTCAGGAGCACCGGGTTCGGCCTGATAAATCGTTAACATTCATTTGGATTCTGCTACATGGAAGGAAAAGAATTTTACGAACCGAATCCGCTCCAAAGGTAGCTGGTGTCGAATCTTCTTTCTTTTGCTTAGGCTTCGCTTTCGCAAAAGAGCTGAAAAGATTGCTCTTTTCTCGCTTCACCGGACCTGGCTTCTCCGTAGGCTTCTCCGTAGGCTTGGAAGATGGAGCATTGCTACGTTGCGATGGTTGCGTAGGCTCCGAGCGGTCTTCCTGCTTGGGTTCGGGATTCGTTTCTTGCGACGCTTCGTTTGATCGCTTCGAAGGCACGACAGGCTTGGATGAGGCGGGAGCTGGAGCTGGAGCTGGTGTCGGTGCAGGTGCAGGCGGCCGCGCGCCCGTTCTCCGCTGCGAAAGTTAATACGTTGTCGAGTTCGGACAAACAATCTTACAGTACCTTCACGTGTTTATTTTGGATCATGCCCCATTGTTTCCCAAATTTTAGCGGGTCCTCATTCGCATGACTGCTTATCATCTCCCGACCGACGTCAGTCAAGACATTGAGATCCTGGAGAATCGTAGGCTGCAAGCTGTAAACATAGATCGAGGTAATTGATTGAAAGGTGTCCTTGGCATCTGCGCGAATACGTTAATTATGTGTATCCTGCCCGACATCGCATCCGATGCTTTACCTTCGAGATCCTCCTCCCGGGCGAGAATAACAGAGACGGTAGCGACATCATCGGCGATCGAATCTTGGTTAAGCATAGAGCTCGGTAGGTAAGGACTGCTCGCCATCACATCATCTTCGTTATCGTCGCCATTGGCATGCGCGCCGTTCGTAGTGGGGGGAATGGGTGGTTTCTGGATGCCCGTGAGAAGGTAGGTGGCATTGACACTATTCGGTTTCTTGGTATTTTCGCTGTGGTGAAAGTCGTAAAGCATTCTTTCATCCATTAGACATCGGTGATTTATAACGAAGCATATATCGACCTACTGCTTGGCCAACGTGCAGTGGACCCGGAGAGCTCGACTCAACGAGCGATAAGTGACCTGCGAGAGATACAAAAGTGAGTTTCGCGCATCTCTTGACAATGAGAAACAAACATACCGTTCGGCGCTCATTGAGGACATTCTCCGCCAGATACTTCTTGTAATCAGCGACAGCCATATTGTCTTCCGCGGACTTGAGCGATTGTCAAGGGAAGAGAAGAAGAGAGTATGCCGGGCGACGCGTGCCAAACCACTTAACGCGTATCAGTCAGCGCGGGTCTTGGCACATCTTTTCCCGACCTCCGTCAACTCCCAACACGCCCTCCACTTCCTGCCCGCAGTCACGGCAGTTGGACCACCTAAAGACTGGGCTCGAATTCATCAGCTGCGCCGGCATCCTCACCTCATGGAGCCGTCCTTCACCCTCCCCGACTCCACTGACTGGCTCGACACGCCACTGTCGCTCCTTACACCTCTCGAATCCTCCCTCCGCTGCCAGGTCTGCAAGGACTTTTTCGACAACCCGGTCATTACGTCGTGCAGTCATACGTTCTGCTCGCTATGTATTCGACGATGCCTTAGCACCGAAGGGAAATGTCCCGCATGCCGAGGCTCTGACCAGGAGCTCAAGTTGCGGCGGAATTGGGCGGTCCAAGAGCTGGTGGAGGCGTTCCAGAACGCAAGACCGAGCGTGTTAGAATTGGCGAGGAGGGCCGCAGATCGCGCTGGTGATGCTGAAGAGGGGGAAACAGATCAGCGTGCGTCGAAAAAGCGAAAGGTTGCCGAACAGGCTGGTCCTGAAGCGGCTCCGGCTGAAGGGAGGCAGACGCGATCGCGAAGTAAAGGCATCGACCGTGCGGCGGAGGCAGCTGAAGCGGAGGTTATCGAGGACAGCCAGGACGAGGAGTATATTCCGGGTATGTTTACTTCGACGCTGGGCGAATGCATCACAGCGATGGTCTAATATGAAGTAGAAGATGGATTGGTCGCGTGCCCTATCTGCAAGCGGAGGATGAAGAATGAGGCAGTATTCGCTCACCTTGACAACTGCACAGGAGACCCGGCTCCTCCTAGACAGGTATCATTTGGGTGAGTTAGGTTCATGCTTGGAGTTTCTAACCATGCTCTCAGCTGATAGTGAAAGAATCAGATCTCTACAGCCCATGCCACCGGCGCGCAAACAATCGACAAACAAACAACCCGAACGGCTTCCAATTATACATTATTCTATCTTAAAAGACAATGTTCTGCGAAAAAAGCTCAAAGATCTGGGTATACCGAACTGGGGACCGCGACCCCTCATACAACGACGTCACACGGAGTGGATGAATTTGTGGAATGCCAACTGTGACTCCAAAACGCCTAAATCTAAAAGAGAATTGCTGAACGAATTGGATATTTGGGAGCGGACACAAGGCGGTAATGCGGTTTCGCAACCGGAGACGACGAGTTCGGTCATGCGCAAAGATTTTGACTCAGCTGCATGGTCCACCGATCATGACAGCGATTTTAAGCGGTTGATTGCAAATGCTCGCAAACGAAGTGAGGCCCAGGTTCGCACAACGCTACCACAAGCATCCTCAGTACCAGAAGGGCCACCAAGAGAACCGGCCCCAGAGCAACTGCCTGAGCCTTCCGCTGCGGAAGTTCGGGTACAAAAGCCGGAAGAGCTGACCTCGGACCCTGCGGTTATCACTAAGGTCGCGGAAAACGAAGTCCATGAAGCTCGAGAGCCCAGCGATATCCAGGTAATTGATGCTCCACAGTAGGCATCATTAACTTCGTACTGGGGCTCTGCTGTTGCTATGATACGAGCACTGAATACCCTAGAGATCGGTGTCTCCTGTTGCTGTTTCCTGGTCTATTAGGACGTGGTTTCGTGGCTTTCCTCCACGGACATGCGGGACAGTCTATCTTCTAATTCAGCATCCACGCTCTGTTCTGCTGAGGCCGTGCGTGCGGCTTCTTTGGCCCGCTGCTCGAGATTGTCGAGCTCGGCGAGTTTCTGGCGAGTTTCCTCTGCTTCTCTTTCTTCGTCACCCTGTCGCTCCTTGCTCTCCAGCTCCTCGAGCTCGTCGTCTAGCTCGGTCTCGTCTATTTGAGGACCAGCCTCGTTCATGATGGTTCCGACTTCGTCCACCTTAGACATCTCTTCACGCAGCTCGTCGACAACATCCTCGACCCTGGCAGCGCCTCCGATCTGGGTATTTAGCCCGCGAAGCACACCAGTGCTTGCCTCCATCACCTGCACAAACTGGACCTGATCGGTGGCCTGTTCAATCTTGGAGTAAACCTCCTCCAATTGCGTCAGGGTATCTAGTCTTTGTTGGAGATTATGCTCCGCAAGCTTCTTGGAGCGCAATGCCGCCAGCGCTGAAATCCGGTTCTTGTTGTGTAGAGCGGTCTTCGCCGTAGCATTCAGCTCTGTGATTTTCTTCTCCAAGCTCTCCACTTGTTTTGTCATTGTTGACATGGCCGTTTTAATAGAGCCAATAGCTGTGTCTTGCGGGGTGATCTCCGAGGAAGTGTCATTGGAAGACCGAAACTTGATCGTCTGGAAAACCTTTAGCATTAATGAAATGCATCTCGACGCAGAATGCAAGTCGTACATACCTCGCCATCATAAGCAATGGCTCCGCTATCGCGGGATAGATATAACAATAAGACATCAAAATCGTCATTAGACAATTCGCTCTGTTCATGTAGTACCGTTGCAAATTCGTTCACGAAGCGTTCCTTGGAGTAGATGAGGTCTGTCTTGGACGGGTTCTGGACCGTCGCCTGCTTCGTCACAAGCCTGGCAGTTTCCTAGGGCACACACGCACGTCAATCGGCAAATCCATCCGTAGATATCACAGCAACACCGGATTCCATACCTTCAAGTTCTCCACTAACACCAGGTCCTGAGCCTGCAAGTGAGGCGCAGACCCCGATCCAACCACAACGCCTTTCAGCTGCTTCAACCCCCAGCTCATCACATTCCACGGACTCAACATCGTAGGATCAATCAGATTCCAACCCGGTTTGTTCAAGCTCGTCGAGCTAGCCCGGTACATCTGCAGCGGCACCATCACGCGGTTCTGAACCGCCTCGTTCTATGCAACCCAAGTCGACGTTAGCACAAATCCACACCCACACCCAGCCTGATACCATCACCCCTCTTCCGATTCATTCCGCACCAAAACAAAAGAACAGAACGTACCAAAACCGCTCCCAGCGCAATCGGCCGCCCCCATTCGGAGGTCTCAAGTGCGCGCAATAAACTCTCATCCGCTCTGAGTATCAAGTGGTTGTTTTTCCGCCTTCCGGGCTGAGAGGACGTGGATGCTGAGATGCTGCTAGTGGAGATATATCCGTGGCGGGCGGCCTTGAGGAGGACTAGTTCCCATGCGGCGACGTTGACGGCGTATCCGTCTGGGTTGGTTTTGCGGTGGATGGCGAAGTCGGAGTATAGCGAGGGGAGGCGGTTCCTAGCATAAGGTGTTAGAATTGCATCGTATGGTATGTGGGATGGGACTGGATTGGAGAGGTGACTGACTTTCTGAATTCATCCTGGGATAGGATGAAGTTGAGGAGGTCGTTCATTGTCGGTGGATGAGGCGTTGGTTGGTATTGGGGGAGTTTCGAGCACTGAGGATGACTCCGTGAAAAGAATGATGGGACTGAGATATGCAGAATGATTCGAGGTCCTGCTGTGCCTTGGAGGCGTTCAGCACAGCGAGATGGCGTTGTCTTGGTGTCAACAAACGATCATCTGCTGGTTGCTCGGCATGACGGCGATCATCGACTTATCGATAAGGTGGACTCACGTGACATCATCGATCGACGCCCGTCGACCCATGTCTACTGGAAAGGAATACTGCTTGTCTACAACTGAACATTCTGAATTACTTCCAGTACCAGCTCTAGAACCCGGCACGACCTATGGGCTGACCATGGACAAAATCAAAAGGAATTATACACTATTCCCTCGTCGTACAGAAGACAAGAAAAGATACCACCTCGCACTTCGATCGCGATAGACTTGGGGATGAGATATTCTGATAACGACTTTGCCCATATGCTGAGCATCATACAGGTAATCAAAAGCGGCCTGTGAATCCTCGAAAGAGAAGATCTTATGGTCCAGACAGGCTATATCGGCAGGTGCCCGTTTATCGAGTAGATGACGTTCTTCGATTGCTTGGTTCCCGCGTACTGATACAAATGTCTATTGGAAATGAATACCAGAGAAAATCTTGATAGATGTACAATCACAGAATGTTCATTGCTCACGAATGTCTATTAAATACCGAATATCATCTCATACGCCCATAAGATCTCTTAATACCTATGCTCGTTCAAAATCGTCATTGGCTGGGTTGTCATTATCCCGGATACCTTGCTCTAGATTGAACCCTCCGGCTGAGTCTAGCGGATTGTTCATCAGTGATCTCCGGTTCTTGCGCCTGTCTAGCTTCTCGCTAGTTTCTTCCGTTTCCAGGGGATCCGCCGGGATTATTTGGTCCCGGGTGTCTAATCCCCTCGTCTCGAGATATTCCACTCTCACGGCGTGTCGTAGATTGTCGATGAAAGTCTGGATCTCCGGCATGGGGAATGCACCGTTTCCGTCTAAGACATCGGCATACAGACGTTCTGCTTCCTCCAAGCACGCGGATGCTAGCGAGGGTCTTCCGAGTTTAAGCCACAGATCGGCAGCAAGAACGCTCCACATGCCAGCCTTTCTCCGGCGAGAGCCCCAATTGACTCCCGGGACGGGTTTTCGGGAAGCGTAGCAGGCTGAAATCCGTTCACTCAAGAGACCTTGGCCAATAGAGCCGACTAAACCCAGGTCCATGGCCCGCATGGCCCATTTAGCCGCGCTCTCAACAGCAGAGCCCCCACGAAACTTCAACAGCTCCATTGCCAGACAAAGGCAGCGCAAAGCGTTGGGCGCATCAGAGCATCGCGTTAGGTAAGAATAACAAGCAGTCTCAAGCATTTGATCAATCCCATCGAGTTTGGTTCTGTTCGGTCCTGCGATGGGACCTAGGAGTGTACTGACGGCGCACATCTCATGCGCGCCTGCGTGGTACCTCCATGCCTTGTCGTTTGCGTAGTCTGAGCGAAGCAGCTCATATGTCGATGCCGCCAGTTTCCAGTCTCGAAGCATGAAGGCGAAATCGGCCATCTTGCGCAGGGTAGCTTCCGGGACGTCGGGTTTGTAGAATCCATGAGCGGAATCATAGTTTCCGCTGGCTCCACCGCCAGAGCCTACAAAACTAGACCGTGACCCCGATCCAAAACCTGCCCATCGTCGCGACATGGACATGAAACGGCCGCTGAACCCACGCCTGCGAGAAGCCACCTGATCGTTCCAAACCGATACTCGGTTCTCCATAAATGGTACGACAGACTGCGCGACCAATTCACGGACAAAAGCCTTGATGGCCATTACATCGGAGTCAAATAGATAAGGAAGGCCATCAGTATCGAGATCCACTAGGGGCGCTGCATAACGTTAGATTTCATGGGGTATGAAGACAATGCGGTGGACTTACCTGCTTGATCTGACAGACGTTCCGATGGCGACAACCATTCGCATTCAGGCACTTGGACGCTATCGTCATCCGTTACGACACACTGATTGCTCCGTAACCGTAGCAGATGGCAGTGGAGTCCGAAATGCCGCTTCATCTGGTCGTAAAGCTTAGTTGACTCCGTGATATCATCCCTGTCCTCGTCGTGCACTAGGACATAGTATCGCAGATAATCAGATTGAATCCACCCGGGCAATCTTCGGTCACCGTTACTGGTGTCTGCATATAGCCGCCTGAGGGTCTCGAGAGGCGACGTGTTGCGCGAACTGATGACGATAATGCTGGCGACTGGGTGACGGAATGTCTCGTGTGGCGTCGCGGTCGCTACCGATAGGAGCTGGCGCAAATACATTTTATATAACGGGGACGTCCTGGAGAAGTTAAGGAGATCCTTAGCGCCCAGCGTTCCGCCCAGCAGACTCCCATCTGGGTTCAATTGCTTTTCCAAAACCTCCTCCACCTGGGCCAGGGGCGATACACGCTCCGTACCCGGGGGCGTAGTCCAACTACTGCTTCCCAAGTCCACAAATCGCACGCCATAGTCATCCCAGCCACGACTTGCCCCAACGCTATCTCGGATAACGAGTTTGCCCGGCACATTTTCCCCGAATGGTCTTATGAGATCCCAGAAACCTCCCTTGAACCCCTTTTGTTGCACCAACTCATCGGTATCCACAGAGGCGTAAACGCCGACCACCGGCGAGAAGGCCCGTAGAATAAGAGAGTGTATATCCTCCGCCACCTCTCCCCGCCCCTCGACAGGAGACCCGAGTGACGATCGGGCCAATTGCGGCGTTGACGACCTCAGCGAGCGAGCATGAGGCGATGCGGACCGGATCGGCAGCTCCGCCGTTGTAGCCGCGAGCGGAGGGGGAGGGGATGCGCCGATTCTTGACTCCACCAGGTCTGCATCTAGAGCCGGAGACGAGTCGCGTCGCTGATCCGGGTATCTCGATTTCGATGCGACACGGGGAACGCCGGGCGAGAAAGACGGCGGAGGTCTGACCGGAGCAGCATCTCCGGGCGATGTCATGGACACCGATTGGGTTCCGATGCAAGACTAACAATGATTAAGATGGCTTGGGCGCCCATGAACGGGAGGAATCGAACGGCGAGGGTGGAAGAAGAGAAGCTGTCAAGGGGCCAGGTAGGTACAAAATAAGAAGATTGAAAGATATGTGAAGGCGGGAAGGAATTGAAAGAAGGCCAACCGGGTGGGCGATGATGAGTTGGAAGTAGGAAAGGTTAAGGCAAGTCAGTTGGACGGGCAGAATAACAACCAACGTGGTACATTCCGCCGGAACGTGCCTCATTCGCCGACAGATGCGCCCTGACAGCTCCCGTGGGCATCTTGCACCATGGTTTACATGATTGATCTATCTATAGGCTTCATTTGATGCATCAGAAATAATTCCCTGTCGAAAACCCGTATAGAAGTATAGAGCCACCTATGCACAAAGTCCGTAACTAAAGATGGAATCATACAGCGAACATCCAGGAAAGGAAGGCGGTAAACAGGAACTCTTTCTGTGCTGCGTCACAATTTCTCGTCTCTCGTCTTCCCTCGCTCTTGCTCTCTTTCTCCCTCTCTCGCTCTGACCCTTTTCGCAATCCTCCTCGAGACCGTCTCATCCTATAGCTTTGCGTTCCCGACCTCGATCTCTGACATGGCTGGCGTCAATGTTCAGATCCACCCCACTTCGTTCCCTCTCTAAATGCTATCCGTCCCGCATTGCTCATGCTTCTAACCGATCAAGATCTCCCGCCTATGCTAGACACTCTGCACCGATCGCAATCTCACCGTTCTTTGGCCCAGGCCCTCGTCTACCGTCGCGCAATTATTCCATGACCCGGAGCAAATCTCCCAATACCTCTCCTGAGCGCGCCAACAAAAGGCGACGTATCTCCAATCCCACCCCGCGCGAGGTTACCACGGCCAAAATGGCGGGAACAACGGGTCAGGCGCTGCCTGTGATAAATCTCACCCCCCTTGAGGATACCCTGAAAACCCTCCTTCTGGATGTTGCAGAATATGCGCGAGAAAAGACAATTCAAGATGGAGCCAAGGATGCGGATATTCCTCGAACTGTACTCCGATTCACTGGAGGCTGGGTGCGGGACAAGCTTCTAGGTATCGACAGTCATGATATCGACGTGGCAATCAATACAATGACCGGCTATCAATTTGGCTTGATCCTGAAAGAATATCTGGACAAACCGAAGAGATTGGACAAGTACAAGCAAAAACTTGCGAAGAGTGGCACGACCAACCACATCGGCAGGCTTCATAAGATCGACGCCAACCCGGAGAAGTCCAAACACCTGGAAACGGTGACGACGAAAATATTCGGCCTAGACATAGACTTCGTGAATTTGCGGAAGGAAGTGTACTCGGACGACAGCAGGAACCCCCAAATGGAATTTGGCACCGCCGAGGAGGATGCCGTACGCCGCGATGCGACGATCAATGCGCTTTTCTACAATTTGAACGAGTCCAGGGTGGAGGACCTTACTGGAAGTGGCCTCGATGATATGCAAAAGAAAATTATCCGCACTCCCTTGGAGCCATATCAAACGTTCAGGGACGATCCTCTGCGAGTGTTGCGTCTCATCCGGTTTGCTAGCCGGCTGGGTTATAATATTGATGAGAGCACCGCAAAGGCGATGCAAACCAGTGACATCAGCGAAGCCCTCAAGCTCAAAATCAGCAAGGAACGCGTTGGGAAAGAAATCAACGGCATGCTTGAAGGTCGGTAATTTCCATCAATCCCCGGAATCCTTTTGCTCACTAGCTGCAGGACCTGATCCGCGGGGGGCTTTGGAACTAATTGATCGCTATGGACTCTATCCGACAATCTTCGCAAACCACCAGGATGATGCGTGCGCCGATACCTCAACCTGGTCGCTGGCTTACAACACGCTGGCCACTTTGATATTTTCTCAGGATCCCCCGGTATCTGTTGGTCAAGTACGTAAGATGCTTATCCGTGGCGTGAGCGAGGCCTATTACGCATGGATAATCGCTTCATTTGCTCCCTGGTCTGCCGTTCCAGGACGCGTCCCAACCGGCCTCAAACCGAAACCCATCCCCCCACGACCGGCCGAAGTGGCCAGAGACAGTCTCCGCTCTGACAATAAGACGATGGCAATCCTCAGTGATGCGACCCAGAACTGGCGCTCAATTATCGATGTCAAGTCGTCACTGGTGGAAGGCCGCATGAATGGCACCGATGCAGAAAACCGGCAACAGATTGGGTTGCATGTCCGATCATGGAAAAAGGACTGGCGGCTGTGCATACTCTTATCTCTACTGCAAGAGGTCATGCAAGGAGGCGAATTTTCTCAAGGTGGGTCTACAGCTTTCTCAGAGATCAGATCCGGGCCAAACACACTAACATACGCTTGCCAACAGTCGTCCAAGGCTATGACAAGTTCTTGACGTATATCGTAGATCAAAATCTGCAGGATGTTTCGGACTTGAAGACCATCGTAAACGGAAAAGAGATTTTTGAGCATCTCAAAATGCCGAAGGGGCCGTGGATGACCAAAGCCGTAGAAATGGTCGTGGAATGGCAGCTACTCCACCCGGAAATTACAGACAAAGAGAAAGCGCTAGAGAATCTCTCTGCTAGAAAGGAAGAATTAGGGGGTGCTTCTACCTGAAATGTGAACGATGTAATGCCGTGGTTGTGTGCTCTTGTAGGAGTTTCTATCTCTATTTTCTTCGATGTTTGTTGTATGCCGACCTGAGAGGTGCATTGCTTACCGCTTGCCTATCCAAACAAGATTCTTCACACCTGCATCTACTCGCTGACGTATCGATCTTTCATATTGGGACCATCTCCCTGGCCCAGGTTTCGCTCTTTTATTTCTTTTCTTTTCAATTCCGGGAGAATACAGCGGTGTCACTGCATTTCAAACCTGAACGATGGAAGACCACTTCATAGGGGAGCTGCGTAACGCGGCACGTGATGCCTTCCAGCAACGGAATTCGGCTTCATTTGTACTGCCAGAGTCAAAGCTCGCCAGAATCTCGATTCCTGAGGATCTCAGCCCTCTGCGAGAGTATGTATCATCTCAAAGTGATGATAGTAATACAGAGGTTTGTGGACCGAATTCCTGTCTCCCCATACCGGCGCATAAATATCCCGCTCACAGTGTCCCAGATATGCGAAAACCTCCTGTTTGCCCTGGCATTCCTGAAAGGTTGGGGATCTAGGAGTCTATCGGAGCAAGACAAGAAAGCTGCCAACCATATTTATGAGTGGGCAAGCAATGCTGCGCTTCCGTCGCCAATTTTTGCCGAAACAAACGAACTAGACGGTGAGATTATACCGGGATCTGCTTCTCGCGCAGTTTTTTTTTTTTTACCATCTGCTAATCTCAAAACAGAGAGGAGAGACCGGATTGTAGAAGATCAGTTCCGGTCAAATATCGCGATCTCGGTCATTGAATCGCTGGCTGGGTTGCTTCCCATCCACGAGTCAGAAAATACACCGGACATCATCATTGCGCTGGCCAGCTTCGCTTCTGATCATGACTCATGGGCGTTGCCAGAGACTCACGCTCGCGCAAATGCTCTGCTAACAACCCATTTTACTTCGCTTCGCTCGGAAGCGGATTTAAATAAAACGTTCTGGGCTACGATCGAAGACATCCTGAAGCAAAAGATCCGACCTCTGTTCGCGAAGACCAAGAACCCGGCCATCACAGCCTCAGGCCGCAAGAACTTCCATCCCGTGCCTTTGCCGCGATTTGATGCCAGCGTCCTGGATCCAGAAACGAAGCCATGGAAGATCCAAGATGTCTACGCTACGACCGTTCTTTCCTGGATCATCACGCAATATCAGGTTCGTCCACACACCCACAGAGTAGTCTCAGACGAAGATAACCAACTGCAAAACATACAGGCCACAGACCGCGACCATCTTGAAGCGCACTTCCCGCTGCTCGTCCCAGCACTCTTAACTCTCATCGACGACGATAGCCTACCCTTCAGAATCCGCGGCTGCCTTCTCACCTCGGACCTCCTCATCCCCATCAGTGGCAGCAAATCCGACATCCTCCGCCGCACCAACCTTTCCTCCGTCTTCGAAGACGCCATCCGTCCATGCCTCCTCTCCCTCCCCACCATCACGCCCGAAGACGACTCTATCTCCCTCCTCAACGCCGCCTATCCCGCGCTCCTCTCCGTGCTCAAAACGAACACGCAGAACTCCTTCCCAATCCCACCTCAAATCGCCACCGAAGCCTACATCGCCTCCATCACCAAGACCCTGCGCGAGAACCTGATCCCCTCCTTCCACCACATCAGCTCCGTCAACTCCGCCTCCACCCCCGCTGGCTCCTCATTCGCATCCTTCCCTCACCCCCGCCTCTCCACCCTCCTTCTGGACCACATGCACCCCGTCCTCTTGGACCTGGGCATCCACACCTCCAAATACCTTCAGGACACCATTCCCCTAGTGCACAGCACGCTCTCGAATCCCTTCGGCCCCGCATATCCGCCCCTCCTCCTCTCCGCGGTGGGTCTCCTCCGGACCGTGATCCTGACCACCCACCCGCGCCTCTGGCGGTGGCGCGGCGAGATCCTCGGTGCGCTCTGCGCATGCTGGCTACACGTCGTCGAAGAGGAAGTCGAGATGAGTGAGCGAGCGTCCACCCAAACCCAAACCGAAAAGACGCATCCACCGTCTTCATCCCTCGCCAAAGAAACCGATGCAGCGGATCTAGTCCGGCTCAAGAAGGAGCTGAAGGGCGTGAGTTATCTGCTGAAGTTTGCGCTGCAGAATCCGGACCGGGGAAGTGCGCGCGATGCGGGACAGATAGAAGCGAAGGAGAATATTGAGAAGGAGTTGAGGAAATTAGTAGAGGCGGATCATGTGCTGGAGGGTTTGTTTGATATGGATTTTGATACTACGGATGCGGAGTATTTCGGGGTGCGGGTTTAATGGATATGGTTGGAGATTGTATAATTGATTGGGATTGGATTATAGATGCTTTACTTGTTTAATTTAGTTGTTTGTTGTATTAGATTGGGATTCAATTTCTTGTAGTATCACAAAGGCTAGATGCTTAATATAGATTGGTTCATTGAAGCAAAATAATAAAATGTAGAATCCAAAAAAAAAAAAAAAAAAAAAAAGAGTGACAGGGGTATAATGCCAAAGTCATAGCGTCGTGGCTAAGGTCATAACATCGTAAACGAAAGCTTTCATCATTCCACAATTATGTATCGACACGCTGCTTGAACAAACTCTTGCCTCTCAGCCACTGTCGATACCGTTTATAGCGCTTTTTCTCGTAGTCCTCCGCCACCACTGTCAGTCCGCTCTCAGAGACGTTCAGGAATTCGGCGTAGTCGGCGTAATTCTCCATGGCTCGGGCCTGGAGCGTGGATTCCTCAACGTTGACTTTGTTGGCATATTCGAGGAGATCGAGATTGGAGTCATGCTCACGAATCGAGGTGGCCGTGATCTCGTTCTCAGATGTGACAACCAGGGGCACCTTGAGTGGATGGTTGATGTAGTGCTCGTATTCCTCCGCTTCGGCGGATGTGACTGATGGGTTTAAGGAATCCGTCACGAGTTGACCCAAGGTCCACTGGGCGATTTGGGCTTTGCTGGGCGTGGAGGGATCCGAGGGCTGCGGGAAGGACTGGAAGGACTGGAAGGAACTATTGTGATGGGGGAATTGGTCGGTTGGTTCCTTCATGATGCCAGCCGATGGATATTGCTTGCTCTGCAGTTGACCAGCTTCAATGTGCGATCGCTCAGAAGGAGCATTTGAAGTACGATCTGGTTCTTGGATCTTCACGGTGCGCTGCGGGCGATCTCGGTTCATGTGATCATGCGTGATCCTGGTGACAAACGGACTAAGATCACTAGCAAGGGCAGAAGCAGGTCGAAGCGAGAGGTAGCGGATAGTTGTCAAAGGATTCTTCAATGTGAAGACCTTAGAGAAAGTCGACAGGGCCAAGGGCCTATAGTACTCCAGCCAATAATCATCATAGCGTGAGAGAGACTCCTTAGGCGGTAGAGGAGGTGGTGGAAGTTCCTTCGGCTTCAGGTTTTCCGGCGTATACCATTGGATGTAATTAGGCTTCCGCTTATTCGACCAGGATCTGGGATCGGCATGGTGCAGATAGTAATCGGTGGACAAGTCCCAGAGCATGGGCTGCCCCTGTGAGAATATATAGTTACCGAGAAAGAGATTGTATGCCTCTTGACGTTGAGCATCAAGGAAGGAGTTGTTGTAATATCTCTTGAAGCTCTCCACCATGTCTCGAGAATGACTGCTCCATTGATTTATTTTTCGATAAGTAGCCATCGTGTTGACCAGGTGAGACCCTCCGTATTGAACGGCAATGTTGTCACCATGGTCATGCCACAAATCTGTAAAAATGTTGACAGTATCGGTATCATACTCCACAGTCGTGCCATCAATGATGCCAAGAGCGTGAAGCTGGTGTCCTAGTGCCCGTTTTCCAATCACAAATTGCGCAGCATTTGTGCGATCCAGACAGTCGATGCAATTTGTTCGCGCGATGCCATTCTGCACCTGGAGACCGGACTCGGCATCGTGGCCATTTTTGAAGAACCCCGTCTGTGGAATAATTTCACCCGCAATTTGCTCCAGTGTCCCAATCACATCTTGGTCCCGACTCTTGGCTGCGCGACTCATGTCCCATGGCTTGTAGATGATCTTCTTATCTTCGGGTAAGAATTGGTTTAGGTAATTGATCGCGTTTGTATACTCTTTGAGGAGTTTGGACTCTCGGGGTGTTCGTTCTCTGGATTTTATCAGATTCAAGACGTAGACTGGAGCACCGTATCTCTCAAACAAATTGTCAAAATGGAGAGCGGCTGCGGAGTAGAACGGATCGACCAGGTTGAGTTCGATATCAGGCTTTGGAGAGACCCCGGAGCTTTCCTGTGTCCAATAGAGAGGGATACTGCCTCGGTGCTGGACATAGGAAGTGTATAGGGGATTGGCGTAGAGATGTGGGCCAGGGGCGTGAAACGAAGTAGCTGACATTTCCGATACAATCTGTTCGGTTTCAACATCATTGGCGACGTACCCCAGGTCGTTGGCACCTCTCTTGAGGAAACGCGCGCCGGCAAAGAACCGAGAACGGCGAGCGATGAGAGTGATGTAGACCAGCCGACCATAGATATTTACCTTCGCTTGCTCGACGTATCCGTGAATGATCGGTAGACACCATTGATAAGGGCTCTTCAGAACGGAAATAGCCGGACTAAGAAGGTGGTGGTTCCATATGAACATCGTGTTGAAGTCTTGATGATACGGCTTCGGGAGTCCATCCGCATGAGCTTTGCGTTCGCGACATATGTTCCGCTGCAAGGTTTGTGTGATGTCGTAGGAGTAACTGAAATAGAAAGACCGGGTGAGATCGAGATTGTTGAGGATCGCAATATACCTCGCCTCCTCCGGATTCTTCTCGGGCTTTAATCGGGACGAGTTGGACGGAGTCAAGGAGATCAACTCAGTACCATCGACCTTGTAGACGTAATGACCACCAAGCATGGCCACTTGGCTCCGTTTGGTGACGAGCAACATGTAGTATGCCCCAGTCAGTCTGATGAAACCCAACAATGCCCATGCACTGCATCTCAACTTCAGTCCTCCCGATATCTTATTTCCATCATCAATGGCATCCAACAATTGACTCATTTCTCTCTTCGTGTATACAATGTCGTCTTCGGCAACGCTTAGGTCCGTTTCGGAAGTGCGGTCGATCTTCAGGATTCTAAACCGGGTGTCCAACAAATTCATGCCAACCATATAAAATCGGGTCGCCGTCTCGTAAAGCGAGAACTTATGCATACGATTGAACTCGTCTTCACCGGCGTCAAAGTACATCGACCGACGCTTCTGGACAGAAGCGGCCGTGGAATCGCGCTCGAAGGAAGTTGCAACGTGAGGCTCCTCATCTTCTTCCTCGCCAACATCATCACCCATAGAAACGACAGACGGTGGATTGTAAGGGACAGTTGCGAAGGGCGACAGGATCCGCTGAGGTATCGAGACGTCGTCTTGGTCGGTGGATAGGCGGGGAGTCGAATCGGTCGGATCGTCTAATAGTTTCGAGCTGGAGTTGGACGTAAAAGAGCTGCCTTTATTCCCAGCGATAAATTCTGGGATCGAGTTGGGCGAGGCATTCTCGGCCACCGACGGTGCCCTGGAGGAATAATTGTCGACCGAGACACCTCTCTCCTCCGCGGCCTCTCGCGGGCGGGACACCTCATCAAGGCTCTCCATCAGTGAGACAGCTGGCGAATCCAGCACCAACTGTTGAAAATAGAGATCTGCCAGCAGGTCTTAGTGAGTTAGCCAGAAATCCACCATGGTTTGGGCTGGTGGATTGAGTGAGAGTGAGGAGAAAGTGAGAAAGTGAAAAAGTGGTGAGGCAATCATCATGCGCGAATTGGGCGGTATACGGAGTAGCCGTGGTTGAACCGACCCACCCACCCGCGGAACCACAGCTAGCTCCCCGTGACTGCCCCAAGTGGTCTAGCGTGTAGGTGACGTCACTCATCTGCAGCCCTAGTCTACATCTATGGAATATCGAATATAGACGTTAACTATATCGAAAGAAGTGACCAGGACAAACAGTGGTTCTTTGAAAGGAAGGGACATCTTACCTGTAAAGAAATGAACACACCACATAATGATCATTTCACCTGCACCTGTTCATTAAGATATGCGAGATTGAGAAGACTGCTAAAGATAATGCGCAGGATGTCAATTGAAAGTGAGAGGTTCCGGTCAGTTATTAAGAATGATGAATGGTCCGACATGGTTGTTCAGTAAGGCACATGTGAGCGCTGAGCCGTTGGCTCGGCGTCATGCCATCAGACTGCGTGTTAGAAAGCTCTTTTCTTCTCCCATTTACTCCTACCGTTCATGGTCTTCTAAGCAACCGTGTGACGTGTCACTGTCGGGCACATACACATCGTTCTCGTTACCTCACACCACGGTCATTTGAATCTACCCGAAATAACTATGTCGCGAACAAAGCGACCTTACCCTGATGATGATGAAGATGAGGCTTGGAGACCTCGGGGAAGAGCCCCAGGGACGCGTTCCTCGCTACAAGTGGAGAGTATGTCTGTCATGCCAACTGACCCGAGACCGGGGCCTTCGACTTGCATTTTGAAATGTGAAACAGGAAGCTGACATGAACTCGTTGATCTAGCTGTACCTGGCGTGGACAAGGACGATTTCCCCATAGGAGTACCCATCAGTATCTTGCAGAAATACCGAGACATGCTAGTGCTCAGAAAACTCAACTGGAGAAAATCAGCTAGTGGGGATCCTGCAAGAAGAAAGTTGAGCAGTGACGCGCGTAGAGAAAACACCTATATAAAACAAAGCGGAAGAAGTATACGGCGCTTAGAGAGGTGCAGTAGTGTGCGGCGAGCTGATTTAGGTAGCTGGGCCTTGATTTTTTGTTTGTCTACGTCTACTGCATTGTGGGATTATGGCGTACGGTATACGAGATTCTGCTTCGTTTGGTGAAGCACCTGCGTAGCCTGTCGCGTTAATAGATAGGCCTCACCAGGTTAATATAATTTTGGTTGATTGATTGATTGTAAGAAAATAGAGAAGTGAGTAGAGACCGGCAGGGCCTACCGGGAGTAAATCCGGACGTAGAAACCCGTGGTCTGCACGAGCGCCCTGAATGGTGATTATTCCTTGTTATTATGGAAAAAATATGTTAAAGGGCCCTTACTCATCCCTATAACTTGGACTTCTTCTCCAATGCCTTCCGCCTTGTCTGCAGAGCCTTGGTCTCTTCCTGCAGCGCAAGACCCATCATGATCTCCTCGCTTCCGCCGCCAACAACATGGACTCTCGCATCACGACTAATTTGCTCAATTCGCGCCCCCTTTCCGGCTTTATTATACCCAGCTCCTCCCAGTATCTGCTGCGCCTCTCGGACGCTCTTTTCGAGGGCTCTGGTGGACATCACCTTAAGCAAAGCAGTCATACCTCCGATTCTGACATCGTCGGTAGGTCGATCCTTGGTCAACTCGATAATATGAACAAGCTGTTCCATCAACGCGTATGCAGGCTCTATCATCAAGCCGAATTTAAATATTTTAGCCTGAATGAGTTGTCTCTTGATCAAGGGAGATCCGAAAGTTTCGCGCTGCACGGCGTAATGAAATGCATCCTCTGCACAAACTCGGGCCAGTCGCAAGGAGGAACAAGCAAGGGATAGACGCTCGGGGTTGAAGTCTAGTTCTGTGAGTATCCGGCAGAACAGGGTCTAGCTGGCTTGGACATACTTGACATGATGAGAGGAAACCCCTTGTTTTCCTCCCCAATTAAGTGGTCAACGGGGACGCGGACATCGTCGAACCGAAGGAATGTTGAACCTAGCCAATTTTGTATATTAGCATCTCAGTTCATCAAAAATACCGCGCACATGAAACTCACCACTTGCATTTATACCCGAATTGTGCATTCGACGGCGAGTCACTCCGGGAGCTGTCAACGGAATCACAAGCAGACTTATCCCTGTCCTCCCCAGTCCTCCAGTCCTAACAGCAGCAGTACAGTAGTCGGCCCAAATCCCGTTCGTGATCCACTTCTTCGCTCCATTAACAATATAGCATTCTCCCTCTCTCTTCGCTGACGCCTGGATATTCGCGACATCCGACCCAGCTATCATCATCAGTTAGCAGTCCGCACAGACAACACCAGGGTCTGGAAATCAAACTAACCATCCGGTTCCGTGATCCCCAAACAGAACCGAATCTCCCCCTTCGCAACCCGAGGAAGCCATATGCGTCTTTGCTCCGGCGTCCCGAACTTGGCAATCGGCGGACACCCAATACCATTACCTGCGCCCAATCCCCACGAAACACCGACATAACCCGTACGCGTCAGCTCATCCGCCACGATGAGACTGCACCATGTATCCCATTTCTCACGGGGTACGTCCCCAGGAAGTGACAGACCTGCTGCGTCTTCTGACGTCGTCAACGGGTGTACGATTCCGAAGCCTAGCTCGTAGTGACGCCGACGGACGTCCTCTGGGACTTGGCCCGCTTCTTCCCATTCGTGGGCGTATGGTGCTATATGAGTGTCGACGTATTCTCGGACGTAGGCGCGAAGGTTGTGGTGGAGGTCGGTGTAGTAGGGGTTGGCGACGTCGAGTTGGGGAAGGAGAGGTTCGCTGTAAGGAGCGGTTGGATACTTAGTTTTGCCAGGCATCATGGTCTGATGGATTGATAAGAATAGCCACTGGGGAGATGATGAAGCTAAGTGCGGCAGAGTATTGATTTATCATATCACAAAAAGTTGGGGTAGTAACCTGACCTCGGCCCGCGGGTGTTACTTCACATGGACCACTCAGTATAAACCCGATTGGAAACACAACCTGACCTACATGGAAGTCTGTGTCCAAAGTGGATCTTTTGTTATGCTCAATGCTCAATTAGTGCAATGATCATCCTCCGTAAATGCCAAGTTCAGCTTGGAACTTTTCAATGTATAACTATCACAGTATCCGCTCAAGGACAAACTTACAAAATGATATCAAGAATCAGTCAATTCTAGATTGAATTTACATTTACACTATCTATCTTCCCCTCTAAAATTTGAAACTCTACAGAGTAGATAGTAAGTAAATACTCACTATTATAACCCTCAACCAAAGGCAGACGCATGAACTTTCAAATCCACTACCCCTTTACTGATGCTTTCCTTCCGAATGCTCCCTTCCTTGATATAACTTCTCTGACGGTTCCTCTTTCCACTATTATTAGGTGCTACGTGTATATACTGGCAAAGCAGGTTTAACGATAGTAGCAATATCCACAGGTGTGGGTTGGGTCACTATCTGGCCGCTTTGCAGGCCTCGGGAAGTGTCATATCAGGGAGTTGGGTCTCGATTCCGAATACGAATTCTCCCGCCACTCCTATTCCATAGTTCAAACTCCAGGTCCGAGGGACCAATAATCATCTTAATAGTAAAGCTGGCAAGAAAGTGGATCAGGCTGCGGTGATACTAGCGGTGATTCTGTGGCTTTCGATCCAAATTGGTCATATCCACCTCTATGTTGCAGATAAGACTTGCTCCCGGATGCGACATGCTTTGCGGCACTTGGGCCGGTGGAAGAGTCGACATCACAATCTGTACAACCAATGGCTTGGCCATATGATGCGGATAAATCTTTCCTCGGAATTCTTTCGATACTCCTGTTCGGGGAGCTGCATCTCCCTGTATTCGAATCGTGGTCAGTCCAGTCGGGTTCCATGCTATGACAGCTACGGGAACGGGATATCGCAGGTGGAGGTGGGCAAACAGACAAAGCGAAGGGTCAGGCTACAAGGCTACAATTAGCGTTGACACACTACGGCACCAAGGAGTTTACATTAGGGTTAATAGCGAGGGACTCAATTTGGCCGGAAAAACGGAAGCAGAGTTATGAAACTGGATGAATAGGCGAGAGATAGAAGCTTAGCCATGTGACCTAAGAGTTACTGCAGAGCATTTTAGCTGCTTTTCGCTGGAGGCGGGACGAGGACATACCAGTCAGATACAAATAGTCAAGGTAGGTAGCTGACTACAACATACGATGAGCTAGACGGTCTTTACTTTAAACTCTTTAAATTCATAAATATGCTAACTTATAATATGCTATCGCAGAGTCGAGTGTCCATCAAGATCTACTCATACTCATACACAATATGTAAGATATATTTCCCATAATATTCCGCCTTTTTTTTACCGTTTCCAAATGTCGTATGTATCCTTAATATGCAGGATCCTTAATTTGCATGGGGAAATGATTCAGCACACGCCTTCTCCGCAACGACCAAGATCGCCTGTAGATACTTCTTGGTATCCATACAGGACCAACGTTGTGCAGGCAGAGGATCCAGCATGCCGCGAATGCAAGCCATCAAAGAATCAGCAACAGTGTTACCGTTTTCCAAAACCAAATCACCCATGTCGACTTTCTGGTTGAAATCAGCTGGGAATGAAGGGCCAGTGGAGGTCTGTCCTTGAGGAGCACGGGTCAACTCGGACAGGACAAGCTGACGCTCCATTTTAGTGTTGAGGCAATACAGAAGTTCGAATAAAATCACTCCGAGAGCGTAGACGTCGAGAGACTCGTCAATGATGTAGAACGAGGCCATGGTTGAGGTTTCCGGATCAGTAGGGCTACCGGCTGCATTACTCACCAAGGGCGGGCGATAGAACTCGGTTCCGACAGCACGGTGCACCTTCGCGCCGCCCTGAAGGGCTGCCACGGGGGTAGTTGGAGATTGTTCATTCAGATGTGAGATCTCGGCTACCAGACCGAAGTCACCGATGCGGGGGTGACAGTATCGTGAAGGGGCTTGATGTGCGGATCCGCATGGAGGACATCCATCCAAGCGTTTGGTTTCGTGAAAGGAGAGGAAGATGTTGGCTGGTTTCAAGTCCCGGTGGACAATGCCCTTGGAATGAAGATAATCCACACCTGAGATAATACGTTGCATCATCTTAAGAGAAGGGATAAGGTGGAAACAATGGCGTCGTGGGAATTCTTGATGATCCAGTGCTGCCTTGCCAGGCTCTGGGCTCAAATATGAACCGAGCGATAGAGGGTGAAGTGACATTTGAATGTGTAGAACGACAGCCGGGATTTGAGACTCATCGCGAGGCCGCCGCTGCACCTGCAGTCTTGATGCATCGTGGCTGTAACCATCGGTGAAGATGTCATTGTCAGTACCGCCGAATGTCGACAGTGACGGGCCTGTGAAATCGCGAGGAATAGATTCGATCTCCTCGTCTCCCTCGCCCCAGCTGTGCGCGGAACTCTTCTTCGAATGGCGCGATTCCAATGTAGCAAAGCTCGCTTGGCTGGCACGGCTGTCCCTGCGCTCAGATGGGTTGTAAGGAAGGGAGGTTGGCTCTGTTGATGGTTCAAAGTTGATGCCTCCGACTGACGGTTCAGAATGCTCAAAAACAATTCCAAAGCTCTGATCATCATGAGAATCGTGGCTCAAGGTCGCAGTTTGGGTACCTTCGGCCTCGAGTTGCATTGAATCTGGTGGATCTTGAGGCAGATAGCTTGCTAGACGAACCTTTTCCACCCACGCACCGTAGTATCGTACTACATTCTTATGTTCGAGTCGAGCGAGAGTCCTGATCTCCTTCATAATGGTTTCAAGCTGGTTTTCACCCCCACACTGCAACTGCTCAAGACGTTTCTTACTGATCGGAATCTTCTTGACGGCGTAACTCTGTCCATCGATATGATTCTTCACGTGATAAACCTCCCCGAAAGATCCACGACCGAGAATTTTGATTTCCGAAAATTCCATGGCGTAGCGTGACATGTTCTCGGTTGGTGTCTGTGCGCTTTGGTCGAAGAGAGGAAAACTCACAGGCGAGCTTCCGGAAAGTGGTGATGGACGAGCTGGCAGACTACTAAGGTCAAGCCGAAAGTTCTTCGCCGCACCTCTGCCATTGCCGGGGAGACCAAGGGGGCCAAGGAGATTTGGAGATGGCAAGCTGGCATACTCTGCGCTTGGAGGGGCCTGCATGATGTTTGAGGCTCTCGGAGTTAAAACAAGCGCTCTATTAGAGCCCATGGGTTGGGACTGTCCTGGGCCGTTCTCTATGTTCAGATCCTCCAGGGCACTGATGCCTAGAAAATCGAGATTGTCCCGGTAATACTGCCTAGTGGAATCCAGCTCTTCTTTGTGCACACCGGTTGCCAGAACGCCGCGGGATGACAAAAAGTGAGATTTGTACTCGTACATTCTCTTTCCCACTGCTTGTGCTTCTGGAGAATCGCGCGTGTAGTGCTTGTGAGGATCCTGGGCATTGAGAATATCGGCGGCCCGACTGAAACAATAGAATTCAAGCAGTGCGGCAGTCATGATGTTGGTATGTCCTTCCATGCCTGTATCAGAGCCCTCTATATTGCCTCGAGTCTGATTCTCCCCGGTCAAAAGTGGCGGAGTCGTTGCGCCCTTGGTCTGAGCTTTCTGGACCGAGGAGTGAGTGGTAACTTCAGCAGCTTCATGTTCTAGATCACGCGGAGTGGATTCTGAATCCGAAGATGAACTGCTGTCTGCAGCGGATCTGAACATCGACATCTTGGCGGTAATCGGTGTAATATGTGCAAGGGAGCATAAATTTTAGAGCCAGGGCCAGATCAAAGCCACGTGAGAAGAGTATAACTCGGCCATCTAGTCGCCGGTCATCCAACGAGGTCGTATGAACAATATGAAGTGCCAAGTGCAAGATCTCAAAATTCACAGAAGCCGACCATGTACTGCGCAGGAAAGTGTTTTTGACAGCCTATTAAAAAAGGCGATGGCTTGTTCAACCGCAATCGAGGGGTAATTTCTGAACCACCCTGGTGGAGTTCCAACAATTCTCAATGTCTTTGTGTCGTGTAAAATTTGTCCAAAGAAAAACGAAAGAAAGAAGGGAAAAAATGCCACGGATTCTACTTGCCGTTGATGGAAGCGGTAAACATAACTGAGTCAATCCGCAAGGGATTCTATGAGATTCTAAAGCCAGGTAGATGTCAATGACAGGGCGGGTGGGCGAATCTAGGCTGTGGTGTTGTAGAAGAAACGTAGACAACTGCAAGTTGGTCAAAACACCGACACGCCCGAGGGTGAATAGGCTATGATCCAGTGTTCATCGCAAATAATTTTCATGAATGATGTCGTGTCGGAGTTGCCGCGGTGATTTTTGGGTTCCGCCGAGAACACAGAAGAAGCCACCAGACCCTGTGACATCGCTGCCTGAGGCTGCACAAACACCACGGCCCCACGTCATGATTCACACGCCGTCATCCATCCGCATCACTTAATTGTGCCAATATGACCACCGGCGAGTTGCGTTGAAATGATCTAGACAACAGTGTCAGCTTTTCATACAGAAACATGACGTATTCACGGCTACTCGCGGCTACTATCCTTTCCTAGCTAGTGGGATAGCACTATATATAGATCGGAATGGTTCAATACGAGGCAGCGACATCGGCCTTGGGAGGGGCACAGACTTTGGATTGAAAGATTTAATCATGATGTTTGTCGCAGGTCCAGCTTTCAGGTTGACCAGAAATCTATCTCATCATGACTGTCCCTCAATCAACCTATGACGTTGTCATCGTTGGCGCGGGTATCGTTGGCTCAGCCCTAGCCTACTTCCTATCCACCTCGAAGGATGGCAAGAAGGTGGTTCTAATTGATCGCTCTTTCGGGCCTTTGAAAGGGTCAACGGGGTATGCACCCGGATTCGTCGGTCAATATAACGAGTCCAACGTCCTCACCCAACTTGCCATCGACACCGTCAAGGAATACACCAAAATACCTGACGGCATCGATATTGTTGGCGGCCTAGAGATTGCCACAACTCAAGAAGGCGTCAATAAGTTGAAAACAAGATGTGCAAAGGCTCAGGAAGCTGGCCTGGTCGCGAAAATGATATCGTCAGAAGAAGCAGTCAACCTGGCCCCGAATCTAGTCAAGGGAGGCAACGAGGCCGTACTCCATTTCCCTGGAGACGGAGCAGCAAACCAGATTGGCATTACTGCCTTCTACCAGAAAGAAGCACAGGCAAACGGCGCCCAAATATTCCAAGCAGATGTTTCCCAGATCAGTCAAGCCGATGGTCGCGTGCAGGGAGTCATGACGTCCTCCGGCTTTGTTGGTGCAAAGACCGTCGTTCTCGCAACTGGAGTTTGGACACCGGGACTCTGCAAACTCGACATCCCTATCCCAGTTGTACCGGTCGGTCATCCGTACATGTACAGCGAGCCCCATGAACCGAACCCACACAAGGCCCCTTTCGTGAGATGGCCAGAACACCGTGTCTATGCGCGCGATCACGGTACCTTCTATGGCCTGGGCTCCTATAACCATGAATCAACTGCTCAAGAGCCAAAGGATAGTGCTCATGGTGACTGGATTGGGCAATTTGACTCGGCTTTGAACCATGCGTTGCAATTCATACCGGAGAAGACAGGATTTGTCCCTGTCAAGAGATACAACGGTATCTTCGCCATGACACCCGACAACATGCCACTGGTAGGAAGTATTTCTTCGACCACGGGTCTGTACATGGCAGCGGCAGTGTGGATTACGCATGCAGCCGGCTCGGCCAAGTTTTTGACTCGACTCATGAACGCAGAGACCGTCGACGAGAATACAAAGAAGGCGCTTGATCCAGCCAGGTTCCGGGGTCAGGATATAGTTGAATTGAGACAGGAATCGCTGGATGGATACAACAGTATCTACAAGACCCAGGAGAATGTGTGCATTATGTGATCGAGCTCAGCTGGACTTGATGTGTCTTTCGCGAACATAGTAGTGTCTTTAAACAGTGCTGTTACATCTTTTTTCATCATGTATTTACAAATAATTGGAGGACGTGAATTTTTCCAGACAATAAAAAGGGGCGGCATGTAACCGGTGGGTGCTCTATGCTTGATAGCCGCCGTACTAAATGCTTAGTCCATCCTGCTCTGTCTAGGATATGCCCGGCGCGTAGGTCCTAGTTCTACAAAAGTACTTAACAATGGAATACCAGGGTAGAATCAACGGCGCTTATCTTGTGTCCAACCATGGATGTTTTCGCCATCTTTTTTTGGCAGCTGGTGTGATACCTGCAAGGTACATGCAGCCACCCATGGTGGTTGGCATGTCTGGCGGCTGGTTGATAGATAGAATCGCTTGCTGTAGTTGAGGCGACATCGGGTGGTTGATGCAACTAATATCGGGGATCACCAGTCATTTGCATGGCTGATTGCCATTTCCTGCGATGTGTTCGGGTTTATATAAGGGCTCTCCTGCCATTTTTTCATCCCTCCAACTTTCCAACAATCCATCTTTCCTTCATGAAACCCTACATCGACTCAATTAATTCCGCTTACTGAGTTCTAGCCATTTTAGAATCACCCACTGCAAGTGAGAAGCAATCTGCCCACTTGCATCGCAATAATATTATCCCATTGAAAAGCTCGCCTCACCAACTCCCTCATTAATCCATTACACACTGCCACTTGACCTTTCCCTTTCTTTCTCCATTCAACCATGGCACCGAAACCCGACCAAGAGCCGTTGATAAACAGCAATCCCCAGCTGCAGACCTATTATCAATCTATCGAGTCGAGAGTTGGATACCGCTTGCTTCTAGGCAGCACTCGCCACTTTGGCTTCTACGAGAACGATACCAGATGGCCGTTCCCTATCAGCAAAGCCCTCCGCGCGATGGAGGACGAATTAGCAGCATGCTTGAACCTTTCACCTGGCTCTTACATCCTAGACGCCGGTTGTGGTGTTGGCAACGTCGCCTACCATTTAGCGACCAAGCATGGCTTCAAGATTCAGGGCATCGACGTTGTCGATCACCATCTAACGAAAGCGAAACGAAACATTACTCGAAGAGGTGTCGAGAGCCAAATTGGAGTCCAGAAAATGGACTACCATCACACAGAAAGTCTCGGCACTGAAAAGTTCGACGGAGTCTACACGATGGAGACATTCGTGCATGCTACCGATCCCAAAGCGGCCCTCGAGGGATTCTTCCGTGCTCTCCGCCCAGGAGGTCGGATCGCCTTGTTCGAATACGATCATGAGTTAATGGATAAGTCGCCCCAAAAGATGGCGCACTCCCTGAACAAAATCAACGAGTTTGCCGCAATGCCGACGAACAATATGTCAAACCCGGGAGTATTTCAGCAGATGCTTGAAGACGCCGGGTTCACGGATGTCGTTGTACGAGACTATTCAGAGAATATAAAGCCGATGACGCGACTCTTTTGCGTGCTGGCCTTTATCCCCTATCTTATGGTTATGCTTCTCGGCTTGGAGAGGCATTTCATCAATACGGTTGCGGGAGTTCAGTCTTATCGCGGTCGCAAACACTGGCGGTTTTTGGCTATCTCGGCGACGAAACCCAAGACGGCTGTTGAGAGTGAAAAGAGTCGGAAGTCCGTATCATCTTAACAAGATCCTGTGTCGGACCCATCTGTCTGATTGTTGCGTGACCGGTCGGGAGGTATGGCGATGATCATGGACTCAATAGTTCTACATTTAAGGAATGAACTATACAGACCTGCTTGTCAGCACCCCTTTGATCCTTTAATCTATAGTACTTGCCTTGAACTTTGGTGTCGATTTCTGATGGGGAAGAGTATACTGTTGGAAAGTAGAATTTGGATATCCTGAATTTTGTGAGATAATAACTAGTAATATTTTTAAAAAGCCCGAAATTCTCCCAGTATGGAGTTACATTGAAAAAAGGTGGCAATCGCTGAAAACATTTTCTCCCCGCTAGCCAACTCCAGTTGTCGAACATTGCATTCTCACCCTGTCGGGCGTAGATTGGAGGTGTAACTAGGGGAAACAAAAACCAATCTACTGCCGTTTGGGTTTGACGTGTCGGGGTCGGGCCTCCCGTGTCAGTTGCCGTTTAGGGTTTAGTGCTGCTTTGCTTGACTACGGAGTGTCAGGTGATTCAATGCCATAACGGAGTACTACCCCGTACTTCATCTTGTTAGAGGATATTGTCTGGTATCAATAATGAACGGTAAATGGGAGGCTGTCATATGGAAGGACTCCTTCTGTCAGTCACAAATGGCACTGGCATAAAACCAATGCGATGACATCATTCATTGCCGAACAGAAGTGTACGAGCGCGCTATCAGCACGTGACCTCGGGCCAACGCGTAAAGGGGCGCGCGGGAGTCGCGAAGGAGACACGAACTTGCCGGCATGAAGGACTCTGGCCGCGACGCAGTTGCAACCTTCAAACAATAACGCCCTTCCACTGCGCCCGGATACAATTGGACGGGCTGTACTTTTCTTCCTTCTTGTTTCCATTTCGTGTTATTTGTCTTTTCGCTTGTCTGTTTTTGCATCATTGCATGAACCCTCGCCATGACCGACGCTGTCGCTATGCCCCAAAAGCGGGTTCTGGGAGACGCAACGAATAATGCCCGCAGCGTCCTCGTCTCTCCCAACGCGATGAAGAAACGAAAATTGGATGCTCGCCCTCCCGTGAAATTCAACTCGTCGCAGAATGGTCAGCGGAAAGGTGCTGGATCAAGCCAGCCACAAAAGAGCCAGTTCGAAGAGGAGGTCCTGGAAAAGTTGACTCAAGACATCAGCGGACTAAAGGATAAAAACTCAGAGAAGGATCAGCAATGGGAACGACCGCCCCTGGGTGAATTCGATCCGACGAAGGAAAATATCTGCTTCCAGCAGATTGACGCGGAAGAGGGAACTGTAGCGGGAGGAAAGACCGCCGTTCGGCTTTTTGGTGTCACCGAGGTATTATTCTCCGCATCGCTAGAATAGACCTCAATCGATAACTGACTGCAATAGGCTGGTCAATCGGTCCTGCTTCATGTTACAGGTTTCCAACATTATCTCTACATTGCCGCGCCGGTGAATTTCACGAAAGAAGATTGCGAACCTTACCGAACCTTCCTGGAGAACAAACTCGGACAGTTCCAACCAACGATACAATCTGTTCAAATCACAATGAGAGAAAACATATACGGGTATCAAGGAAACCAGAAGAGCTGGTACCTGAAAATCACAGTTACGGATTCGAAGTACATCGCCAAGGTTCGAGGCGCTCTGGAGAATAACCCTTCCACCTTCAACTATAAAGGCCTATGGAGCAACTCAGACAGCGGTATCCTCACGTTCGATAACATTCAATACCTACTCAGGTTTATGATTGATACGGATATTGCCGGTATGGCATGGGTCGAGGCGAAAGCAGGAAAATACCGACTCTTTGCTCCTCACGAGAAGATGTCGAATTGCCAAATTGAAGCAAGTGTGGACTATCGTGATCTGATTTCTCACCCCCCTAATGGAGAGTGGGCCAAAATGGCACCACTGCGTGTTTTGTCTTTCGATATTGAGTGCGCTGGACGGAAGGGTATTTTCCCCGAGCCACATCAAGACCCTGTCATTCAAATCGCCAATGTCGTCACCCGCTACGGAGAATCGAAGCCCTTCATCCGGAATGTTTTTGTGCTGGATACATGCAGTCTGATTGTCAACACGCAAGTTCTTGAATTCGAGAAGGAGGAAAAAATGCTTATGGCATGGCGCGACTTCGTTGAAAAAGTTGACCCCGACGTGATTATCGGGTACAATATTGCCAATTTCGATTTTCCATACCTTCTGGACCGAGCGAAGCACCTGAAATGCTCCGGATTCCCTTACTGGACAAGGTTGAACGGGGTTCAGTCGCATGCCAAAGAGACGAACTTCTCCAGCAAGCAGATGGGCAACCGAGATACGAAGACCACAAATACCAACGGACGAATCCAACTGGATCTGCTTCAGCTGGTCCAAAGAGACCATCAACTGCGAAGCTACACCCTCAACTCCGTATCCTACGAGTTTCTGGGAGAGCAGAAGGAGGATGTACACCACACTATGATCACAGAGCTGTTCAATGGAACGCCAGATTCGAGGCGACGTTTAGCCGTGTACTGCTTGAAAGACGCCTATCTCCCACAACGTCTCATGGATAAGCTCATGTGTCTTGTGAACTACACTGAGATGGCTAGGGTTACTGGAGTTCCATTCAACTTCCTGTTGTCGCGTGGCCAGCAAGTCAAATTCATCAGTCAATTGTTTCGCAAGGCTTTGGAGCAGCAACTGGTCATACCAAACACCAAGTCGACCGACGAGCAAGACTATGAAGGTGCTACGGTCATCGAACCGGTACGTGGCTATTACGGCGTACCGATCGCCACCCTCGATTTTGCATCACTGTATCCCTCCATCATCCAAGCGCATAATCTGTGCTACACAACCTTGTTGAACAAGAGCAGTGTTGAAAAACATGAGTTGAAAAAAGACGATGATTACATTGTGACGCCGAATGGCGATATGTTCTGCACGGCCAAAGTACGGAAGGGCCTGCTGTCACAGATTCTCGAGGAACTTTTGACGGCAAGAAAGAAGGCAAAGAAGGAGTTGGGAGTCGAAACCGATCCGTTCAAAAAGGCTGTCTTGAACGGTAGACAGCTTGCTCTGAAAGTCAGCGCTAACAGTGTCTACGGTCTCACCGGCGCCACAGTCGGCAAACTACCCTGTCTACCCATCGCCAGTAGCACGACTAGTTACGGACGTCAGATGATTGAGAAGACAAAACAAGAAGTGGAGGCGAGATACACTATCGCTAACGGCTATTCTCATGACGCGAAGGTCATTTACGGTGACACGGACTCCGTCATGGTCAAATTCGGAGTGAGCGAACTCGAAGAAGCTATGAAACTCGGCCAAGAGGCTTCGGAGTATGTTTCCTCAAAGTTCATCAAACCGATCAAACTGGAGTTCGAGAAAGTCTACTTCCCCTATCTCTTAATCAACAAAAAGCGATACGCGGGTCTGTATTGGACGAACCCAAAGAAACACGATAAGATGGACACCAAGGGTATCGAGACTGTGCGCCGAGATAACTGCTTGCTCGTTCAGAACGTCATCGAAACTGTTTTGAACCGTATTCTGATCGACCGAGATATCGATGGCGCCCAAGAGTATGTATCCTGAGACTTTCCATGTGTGTGTCTCGTATACTGACATCATCAACTAGATACGTAAAAGAGACCATTTCCGATCTGTTGCAGAACAAAGTCGACATGTCGAAGCTGGTCATTACTAAAGCTCTTTCCAAGTCCGATTACACGGCCAAACAAGCCCACGTTGAGCTCGCCGAGCGCATGCGAAAGCGTGATGCAGGTTCTGCGCCCACTCTCGGTGACCGTGTTGCGTACGTTATCGTCAAAGGCGCCGGAGGCTCGAAGAACTACGAGAAATCCGAGGATCCGATCTACGTGCTGGAAAACAACCTCCCTATTGACACAAAATACTATCTTGACAACCAACTCGCAAACCCCCTTGGTCGTATCTTCGAGCCCATTCTCGGTGAGAAGAAAGCCAGTCAGCTTCTTACTGGTGAACATACTCGATCGATCTCCGTGGCAGCACCGACAATGGGCGGACTCATGAAGTTCGCGAAAAAGACCCAGACTTGTATGGGGTGCAAGAAACCGCTGTCCGGCAAGAGCGAAATGGCAGGAGCAGTCTGTGAGCACTGTCGCCCCCGCATGGGCGAGCTTTATACCCGCTCGTTGACCAAGGTATCGGATTTGGAGGTTCGTTTCGGGCGACTGTGGACTCAATGCCAGCGCTGCCAGGGTAGTTTGCACTGCGAGGTGATTTGCTCATCCCGGGACTGTCCCATCTTCTACATGCGCATGAAGGCCAAGAAAGACGTGGAAGATGCACAGAAAGAAGTTTCACGATTTGATTTTGACGCGGGGGCTTGGTGAGATGATCGATACTGTAAAACCATACCACTGTTCGAATGTTCTACTTGGGAATCTGTTTGAATGTGGCGCATTGGGAAACGTAGCAATGGGTTGGTCTGGGATATCCTGTTTGACGATATTGCATTATCTAGATAATCTGTAGGTTACGTGAATGAATAATACTATACCGCAGTTGTTGTTGCCTCATGTTTGCCTTGATGCCTTAGACGATGGAGATTGGCCTGCGGATGCCTTAGCCGGACCAAGAAGGCTTGGCGCCTTCTCCACGATTCTTTCTGCCGATCATTCTGCAGGAACTCTTCCCGCTTCCAACGTCACCTCGACTTTGCATCATCTTGATCGCAGTCATGGCTCCTGTTCGTCCTCAGCCCTCGCTGAACCCTACTGTTGAGGATGTCGATGATGGAGCGGGACACGCTGCAAGTTCTGGAGATAACGCTGTAAATGAGAAGCAGCTCTCTTGGCCCGAGGTGAGCTTGGTGCCTGCGTCAACAGCGCGACAAACATTAGCGCAGCATTTGCTCATTGGTCTATCTTCTGAAGCTCTTCGCTCGACATGAGTCGGTCCTCGCGTCACACTTAGATATGCTGTGTTCCGTAAAAAGTAACGTTACATCGGACACGGACCTGTCTCGAATGATCGCGTCGATGGCTGAAAAAACAAATAAACTCATGACACAATTTAAAGTCATCAAGTCCCAACTGGTGAGTCAACCTCCTTGTCGCCCCGTCTACTTAACCAGCCGTATGCCCATGCCTGGTTCGACGGGTGCCTATGGGGTTCCCCCTTTTTCTTGTTTTCCCTAAAGAAAACACTTTTTCCACCTGCTTCCACCGCCAAGTATAGCCTTTGCAGATAAACTGACTGATCACAGCAAAAACCGAGTGAGTCCAATGCTCTCTATACCATTTGAGAGGGGAGAAGACATCATATCAGAATAAAATTAATCCCCTTGTGCTTGTATTCAAAAAATGCTAACTATTTATAGAAAATAATGCATTCAGCGCAGTTCAGGATAAAAATACTTCCTCGCGTTCTGACACACCTTTGTCGACTCCGACATCATCAAATCAAACATCGTCGTCCCGCTCAAGTCGCTCGAAGGAAAGAAAGAAGCGGCGTGGACAAGACGAAGTGAATGCTGCTCCTGATGACGACCTTGCCGGCGCCGGGATGTCACGCTCGCAAAAGCGTAAAAGGATCGATGTGACCTTACCCGGGGATGACGACAGTGTTCGAAATGTGACTCCCATCTCAATGGAGACGGAAGACATCTCCGAAGCAGTGCAGCAACGATTAAATATCAAGGAAGAACGTAAGAAACAAAAAGCAAAGCCAGGAAAAAGGAAACGGGACAGTCTTGCGTCGAATGGAAGCGCCTCTTCTCCTGGGACGACATCCAAACCTAGAAAGAAAGCCAAGTTTTCCAAGGGGGGTGCCGGTGACGAGGGAACTTCGGGTGCAACAGCAACAGGCAACAGCGTCAAAAGGATACGTCGTTCGGATGGCATCTCAGATTCGGATTCGACTACAGCAGCTCTTCGCGGGACGAAGAGGCAGAAGCAAACATCAGTCCTGTATACTAACTAGTCTAATAATGTCAATTCAATTTCAATGCTATTCTTTCCCCTTCGTTCGAGGTGATGTGTTGCTGCCAACAGATAAGCCCATTATCAGAATCTCGTGAGTCAGTTTCGGATGCTACAACACAGAATTGTAACCCTCTCGGAGTTGCTGCTCGAAATAGCTTTCAGTACCATGGCACAAGAGTGACTCCGTCTGGCAATACTCGAGGCAGAAGAATTGATTGAGCATGGTTCCGACGGCGATGACTCTTCAGGCCAACGTAAAAGGCCGTCTCCCAGCTCCCGTCTTCCCCTTCTTTTCTTTCCTTCTCCATCTCTCTGAGCGCTTTACTCACTGAGATTCTTCTGCTTATTCTACATTCTATCCACAAGGGAAACCCACCAACCGTTTATCCATCTTCTCACAAGAGAAAAAAGAGTCTAACAGCTGTCCTCGAGAGCACCCTCCCACTCCGCAAAAACCCTCTATATCTTTCACAGCAAACCGATCACCTTCTCCAGGCCTCCGAATCCTAGTGTTGTTTTCAAAATTATACCCTGACCAGAACATCAAATATACAGAACCAGCAAAACGACTGGCTTCAACTTTCCGTGTGTTAAGCTGCAGTATTTTAACCTTTTTCACTCAAGATACAAAAGGGACCCGCTAGAGATATCCCGGACAAGCCTCTCTTCAAAAATTTGTTGTACCACGCACCTCAAAAGCAACTCGGACTGTCTCCTTAGACGTCTCCAATCTTGTCGACGCAGATTCGATACTTCGTTTGGCCTCTGTTTTTCTTTTTCTTTTCTTTTCTTTTCTTTTTTTTTTTTTTTTCGTTCTTGGAGCAATAGCATGGCTTCATTCAACACCAGAGAAGGACCCTCGAGCTATTCCTCGGGTCAAGGTCGAAGTTGTGCCTGGTTTCCCCCGCAGCAACCCGCTGCCGCCGGCAAGAGACCTCGGAAGAACAGCAGCAATAACAGAAGGGGTGGCTTCGGCTGCCATCAAAGCAACGCCAATTCTGTGGACGCAGATGGCGATATCAACAAGAGGGAGAGAAAAGGACGACGAGCTGGCTTTGGCCGCCGTCAGAAGCCCACTGCGTCATTTATGGACGCAGATGGAGATAATACTATTGGGGAGATAAAGGAAAGAAAGGAGCGACGAGCTGGCTTCGGCCGTCGACAGAATCGCACTGTGCCTTTGATAGACGCAGATGGAGATGTTATCATGGGGGGGATAGAGACCTTTAGGATCTGTCCTCGGGTGGATGCGGATGGAGACGTGGAGATGGTGGATATTGATATGTATGAGTTGTGGAAGAATAAAAATCTCATGAAGAGGGGCAATAAGCAGAATCCAAACAAGATGTCTGTAAGAATGCAAACGAGAGAGAAGCCTCGCAGTGTGCCAGGAAGACAGGCACAGGATCCTCAAGGAGAGAGCACGAGACACAAACCTGGAAGGAGACAAAGAAAGTTCGCACCGGGGAGTGGAAACCAGCGAAAGGAAGCAGATTGTATGTCGCAGTCCCGGTCAGGGTTTTTACCTGGCACATATGGCCAGGATGTTTCCCTTGACTGTATCATCACCTAAATGGGGGGACTGCATTTCTGTATCTGACTAGTCCATGAAGGACGGCAGAATCTACGATCACAAGATCCACTTCAAACAACAATATATATTGGGATAGCATGTACTTTAATGAGCATCATGAATCAGATGAATGATTTCCTCCATCTACTCCTCAACATAAAGCTCGTAGACGCCCTCACCATACGACCATGGTAGAGAGAATGCGATTGAATCGACCAACAACTGATATCCACAAGAGAAGAGATCCCCCAAACGCCACATATATACATACATCCAATGCCCATGATAATCCATAATATACAGCCCGACCACAGTAAAGCAAAATAAGTAAGTATACAGACACGAATCTCCGACCTCAGCGCCCCTCCTTCCCACTCTCATCCTTCCCCTCACCCTCTTTCTCCCCCCAAGTCCAAACATCCCAAATATGCTCTTTGATCAAATCCCCATACCCCTTCCCCTCCTCCAAAGCCTGCTGCTCCTCCCTCAACCTCCTCTCCTTCCACCCAGTCTCCTCCCCACCCATCCAGACCTGCTCCAACACGCCCTTCTCCTGCCTCTGTCTGGCCTTCAACCGCTCCAACTCCTCCCCGACCAAGCCCCCCTCCTTGATCTGCGCATCCCGCGCAGCCCTCAACTGCGCCTGGATCTCGCGCGCGCGCTCACTCGGCAAATCAGCGGGGATGGGCATAGCCTTCGACGTAGAGGAAATGCGCGACTCGATGCGCTCGACGATACTCCGGCCGGTGCGTTCACGGGTAAGATGGTTCGCGGAGACACAGAAGGCGGACGTGAGGAGAACGGTCAGATGGTCTAGTTTTCGGGGCGGGAGGGCGATCAGCACCGGTGATGCGACGAGGAAGGTCAGGGCCGCGTAGTTCTTGAAGCGCTCGTAGTCCGCCTCCCGGCGGGCTTGCATGTCGGGGGACTGTGGGTCGGGCATGTTGTAGTGTGTTGATGGGGTGGATTGGTGGGTGTATCGGAGTGGTTGGGTTTGGTACGGTATGATTGATTGGAGGTAGAAATTGTAGTCAGTTGCTTTGGAATTAGATTGGGTCGTTGAAGCTATCCAAGATGTGAAAATTTACGGCGGTTCCGGGAGTCCAAGGTGGCAGTCTTGGCGGTGTCATGTGATTAGATATCTACACTATGCCGCCTTCGGACATCGATCTATAGAGAGCCAGACACGGCCGTAGGCTTTGACAGACTTGAACTTCCCGCATGAACATGGATCGAGCCCATACGCTTGTATTCTGAGACAAACCGAGACAATCCCTTAACAAACTCCCACTTTCTGATCTGTTCCTCAATCATTTTATCCAGATTCCCGGGCCACCATCACTCAGATGCTCATAGTAATCGATTTCGGAGTTTTGAGTTCGACCGCACACCTGGATAAAGTTGATGAAAGAGTCCAGCACGCACGAGGTATAATGGCTTTTGCTGATATCACCCGAAACGAGGATTTATTAAACATCGATTTACCCGTAAACAAGTCTTATCCTAGGATATTCACCCAAATGACAGAGATTATCTGCTGATTTATCCGTTCGTGGACCCGACTTCAAGCTTTTCTTGCCGCTGCTGATGTCTTGTGAGTGGATGGGGCGATGTAAAAGATTGATTGAGGGACGAAATGAAGAGACAAACAGCTGAATAATGGCAAAGGGCGCATAACGGGATAGAAGGTCTTTCAAATAGTGAGTGGTTTGTTGAGAAGGATGGGAGGGTAGAGAAGGCTTGGGGATAACCTGCACAAGAATTAGCACTGTCTGCGAAAATGCCGTTTCTGGAAGGAAATCAGATACTCATCACCTCAAAGAAATGCACAGTTGTGCATGGAGAGTTAAAGAAGAATCTGCGGCTCTACGAGCATCTCAGCAAGCCGCACACCTCGAGTATTATCCAGATGCGCACTATGAGGATAGTATTAAGGCACATTCTACAAGATCAAATAGGTCGACTCTGACCGGTGCGCCTGTGACCTAGGGTCCCTGACCTCTAGGCACGTCCTCTCGGAGTGCATGCTGCACGCCACTGGCCGGAGGATAATGATGGATCACCTCAACCAGATAAAGGGACTGCGTGGGCGTATACAGGACTACGACGCAGTTATTGCACACCCGCAGGTGATCCGCTATATCGCCGAATTCATGCATTAAACAGTCCTTCTTCAACAATTCCGATTCGCTCAACTAGTCGAGGAGGATAACGAGGAGGCTCCGGAATTCAGCACTTTGTTAGAAGGGCTCGAACTAGGCTAGGAAGACGATGGTTACATGGACCTTTAGGAGGTGGCCTGGGTCAGGCCACTGCCAGTGACGCAGACAGACGGAAACCAGTACATAGAATGAGGCGAAAGGAAAGAACAGCGCCTGGAGGCGCAGTAGGCTGCGGCAGGCGGTTTAATCGTGTTACTTTTTAATTTATCTATTGTATTTGTAGGATTACGGCGTACAGGCTCGAGATTCTACTTCGATCGGCGAAGCGCCTGCATAGCCTGTCGTTTCAATAGATAGGCTTTATCGGGTTAATAAATTTTTGATGTATTGATTAATTGACATGGAGAGTTCAGGATATCCTGGAGGGCACTGTGTATGCTGACGGTGGCCGAAGCCCCCTCTCTTCATACCTCTCTCCCCATGGTAATGTCGCCGTCTGCATCCGGGACTCTGGTTCTGGCCGAAGCCACGTCTTCTATCAAATCTCTCCTTCATGATGACATCGCCGTCTGCATCTCCATCAGCATCCACCCGAGGAATGACCTCGGGGGTCTCCATCACCATCGTCTCCCCCATGGTAATATGTCCGCCTGCATCGATAGACACAGCGGGACTTTGGTGCTGGCCGAAGCCACGTCTTCTATCAACTACCTCCTTCATGATGACATCCCCGTCTGCATCCACAGATATAGCGATCTTTCGACGGGGGCCGAAGCCACCTCGTCTCTCCTTTCACTCCCCCATACTGATGTCGCCGTCCGCGTCTACTAGTAGGGAGGGATATTAATGCTGGCCGAAGCCAACTCGTCTCGTATTTCTTTTCCCCTTGATAATGTTGCCGTCTGCCCGTGTCCACATACATGGCGGTCTTCTGATGGGGACCGAGGCCACTATGTCAAAAGAGACAATAGAGCCCCGAGGCAAATGTGTCAGGCATCTCCACGTCCCAGTCGGGGTGTACCCGAGGAATCAGTCCGAGACCATCTTTCATTGTAACATCCCCACTCGCGTCAAGTGAGATACTGGGGTTTCGAGGCTCCAGATAGCCGATATGATGCTTTGTCTTGGGGATAAACTGCATAAGCATCAGCACGGTCTCCATGAAAGATGGTTGGGAAACCGGACAGACTGATTGAGACCTTGGCCCGAGCCAGAGCTCCAGGGCCCTTCTCGGTGGAATGAATCAACAAAATGTAGAGATGAATTCCGGAGAAGTCCATACGACGCATGTTCGGGATTGATAGCGACCTTGGCCACCTGGTAAGTGAGATAAAATCTCAAGGGAGATGTTAGCCTGTCTGCTTCTCCAAAAAGAAGGGTCACTTGCCTGGATCGGGGAGTTGTTCAGCCCCGAGAGTCTCATCACATCACTAGGCAAATCCTCATCGGACAACTTGGACTTTCCACCAAGAGCCGGCCAGTGCCGAGTCGCCAAAGCGAGAGAGGTACTGTGAAGAGGTTGATGATCATGGCACAGTGACAGGATCACGTCCGTGAAGCGGGTGATCTAGCCGATGCTTGGCTCAAGGAGAAGGGAATGAGGATTGAATCAGCGAAGAATAAACAGAGGGAATGATCTCGACGGTGGAGTGAAAGAGGGGAAAGAGCGATCAGGTGGTTGTGCCTAAGGCAGCTCCCGGGAACGCCCCATGCTGCGAGGGGAAACACGTGTGTTCGCACTTAGCAGATCATGAAGTCAGCTACCAAAGACCCTCAGAGTTGTAGTCAGCCATCCACGAGAAGCCTTGAAAGAAGGCCTCTAACGAAAGACATGAAAGAAGAACAAGACCGCGACCGGGCCGTTGTTCCTGGCCTCAAAAATGTGGCGTCAAGGCCCCACTCAGGCAACCAGCGGACGGCAGGACGATTGGCCAACGAAAGCTTGACCAAAGCTTAGCGAAAGCAAGAACGATGCTGCCTGCTTCTCCTGCGCCATTTCTTCCTCCATCAGATACACTGGCGAACTCAACAGACCTGGAGGGACACTCTGCATGCTGATCTCGACTCTGCCCAACGAAACCATGGCCAACCCAACCCACGTGCTACAAGAAGCATCATCCTATACGAGCCCACGGACCATGACTGGTCGTGGTATTGTTGACAATCGCTCGGGAGTATCGGCTCCAAACCAGCCAGGCATCTCCACCAGAGACAGGGCTGAACCATGACGTGGACCTGGCGACTGCAGCCGACCAACGAGCGACTCAAGCGACTCTCTCAGCTCCACCCGAATTAAACACCGTCAGTCAACAGCGTCTGATTCGGCTGCCCTTGAACGGTCCCAGGTCACAGTCCCTGGAAATTCGGAGAATCGGGTCTCCCAGAAGCAGGTAGGCGGTCGGATCCCTGCTTTCCTGAGTTAGTCTGATTGATTCCAGACCAGACATTCTGGGCAGATCCGACAGCGTAATTTAACTGAATCATTGCTGAGGTACATACCCTTGTTTTTTCAATCTATGAGCCAATCGAATGCTGAAAACGTCATCCGTGAGCCAGGTCTGGACTCTGGGGGAATAAATACCTGGCTCACTCGTCCACAGTCATTCCGTTTTCCACCTTCTCTCTCGTACCCTCTTCTGCCTGCACTCACAAATCAACATCCAACCATTCCCACTCAATCTACCAACCAAAACAAATCGCAAAATGGGTCTCTTCAACTTCTTCAAGTCCTCCTCCACCCAGCAACAGGAGCAACAACCCCAGCAAACCACCTGGGACTCAAACACCCTCGCCATGCAGCAGCCCTCGTGCCCTGCTGCGCCCAGCACCGAAGGAGTCGTGACCGAGCAGCCTGTATATTCCCCTTCTTGACAGCTATTTTCTTCTCATGAATACTAATCGAGAGTTTTCTTAGAACTCCGAACAGAACATGAAGCTGCGCGGCGGTGGAGAAGGCGGTGATATTTGCTGTGGAGTGTATGTTCTCTCCCTTACCCTTACTTCCTTTATACATTCCACGCTTCTATCGGCTTGGATCTATTCTTTTGTTGTTGATTGTATATTAAATGGTAACTGATTAATTGCAAATGTCCAGTTGCGCCGGTCTTTGCTGCTTCGAATGCTGCGAGGAGTGCTGCTAAGCTCTGTTACTCTGTCCACGATCTACAAAGATGAAGAATATACAAAGCCATGTAGTGTGATAGGAGATTGACATGTAGTGTGCACATTGAGTGCCGATGTTTATACCCTTGCAAACGATACAACAATATGATTCAGTCAATACCCTACATTCATGAAGTTACAAGATCTACTACGGTGACCTAGTTAGAAGAGCAGTTTTGAAAAGCACAGTAGATACAATGTGCATCATAGAAAGTCGAAATCACCGACTGTGTTTTACGTAGAAAGAAAGTTAGAAGAAAAGCAAGAAACATCATCAAAGTCATCAAAGTCATCAATGCCATGAGAAACCACAATTAAATCAAAGAAAGCAACAAACACCCAAGGCCCATAACTAAAAGAGAAAAAAGGGGGGAAAAGTCACCACTTGGTGGTGGCCTTGGGGGTCTTAGGGAGGTCCAATCTTCCGGCCCCGTACTTCACGGTGCCATCATCATTGTATCCCACAGCCTGGATAACACCGCCGGTCAACTCGTCTATAATTTGGCCGTATCTTTCGCCTTCGTTGATGTCGCACCGGGTACTCGGGGACTCGCAATGCGCGATGAGGGCGGCGGTGGACTTGAACTTGCGGAGGCAGCGAGGGCACCTAATTAAGACGATCATGGTAGGTTAGGTAAAGGATTTGATTACAAAGACAGGGCTATAGGGTAAACATACTGGACTGCATTCTTAGAACGGCTCTTGCACAAAACGTGCTCCTCGAAGTCCGCTTGGGCGCTGAATTTCATACCGCAAGGGCAGACGTACTCACCACTGAATGAGTTGAGGAAGTTGGTGGGATCCCAGCGCGCATCCAACAAGCGCAGGGTCTGGCCTGCATCGGGAGTCGCAATACCGAACGGGCGAATTTCCGACACGGACGCTTCGGTTGGTGCGACACGACCTTTTACTCTCCAAGAAGGCTGGTTTTCCTGATTAGAAGAGATATCCAGACCTGTGAGATCGATAATATCACTGGGCAGTTCGGAGGACCTGGAGCTTCCACCCAGAGTCGACCAGTGCCGAGTAGCCAGAGCAGCAGAGGCATAGCCACTATCACCGGCCTTCACAAGAGACGGCTGGCTCAGTATGGCCTCGCGGCGTCTACTCTCAATGGACAGGATCTTGACACCACCATCGATGTCGTCGGCTTCGGCGGGGTCCGGAATGAGTGGCATCGGCGAGCCTTCACCTTCCTTGAGGGCCTCCTTGATCATCAACTTCTTGGACTTCTCTTTCAGGAGCACGAACTGGCTGATGACGGGGCATTTGTTTTCTTCAATGTGACGCATCATGTTACTGGCGCTGGTGAATCTTTCCTTGCAACCGTGGCAAGTGATGGATTGCTTGGAGCGGTGATTCTGCGGATAGAATTAAATCAGTAAGAGAGACGGAGAAATGAATGCTTCATGGTAGAGGAAGACTGACCTGGCGAATGTGGCCGTCGCGACCGCCTTCAGAGCGATACTCCATGCCACAGATTGGACAGACAATATGCTTGTCACTGGAGATCTTGTGGATGAGCAGATGCTCTTCATCCACAAAGTCTTCATCGCAGACCCTGCAGTAGTCGTGTTCAGCTTCGACGATCTTGTGTCTTTTCATCTCAATGAGAGAATCAAAGAAGAGGTTGCAGCTGCGGTAGGTGCAGCGAATCTTGCTGGGAGTGGTTGGGGCCATTGTGAAAGATTTCTGTGGGCTACAGATGCTTGAATGATGAAGAATTAAGGGGGTGATGATCAAGCAGAGACGAGGAGCAAGAGCCAGATCAGGTGTAGAGAGAGAAAGAGAGTAGAAATATGGGAGAATAGAGGAGAGGGATGAGAGAGAGAGGAGAAGGGTGGGAGACAAGGTAAGGTGGAGAGCAAAGATGCGCCGAAAGGGAAGAAGAGAACCTCAGGCCATGCATTCACTAATCATTCAGGAATTGTCTTGACGCTGAACCCTCCAGTCTTAGACAATCCAAACAAAGAAATTATATTTATCAACACAAAAGTCCCACATCATCCAAATTATGTCCTCAGTGTTTCATCCCGATAACCGTATTCACCACCATCTCTAGAACCTGGAAAAGGGCAGCCTAAACACCATCGTCAGCACATCGTCCCATTAACCCATTATAGAAGAACACAAAGCAAAAGGAAGGACACTCACCACTTGCCCCTCAGTGTAATCACCGCCCAGTTGTTTCCATCCTGATCCGTCTCCTTCTCTACCTTGGTAGAGAACGAAATCGCACTCATGATACCGTCCCCGAACTTCTCGTTCAGTACCGCCTTGTACGCATAACCATAGTTCTGCACGATCTCATACAACCGGTAGATGAGCGGTTCCTTGGGAGGCATTTCCACGGACCGGCCGCGATCCGGGAAACCACTCAGCTGAGCCTCCAGAGTACCATGGTCGATATCCAGCAGGCCGGCGAGCTTCTCGATGTCCTCGGGAGAGGCCCTAGCTTGGCCGTAGAAGATGGCGGCCGTGGCGACTTCGTTACGACCGATGTGCGAGGCAATTTGTTCGAAGCTGAGCTTCTTGGTCGCCTTGGCGCTGAAAAGGGTAGCGGACGAGGCCGGGAGATTAGGGTGCTGAGTGGTCTGGGATGGGTTAATAGTTGTTTTGGGGAAGGGAGTTGGGGATCATACGTCGAGAGTTGCGATGGAAGACATTCTGGAGGCTTGAAGGGACACTTCGGGATGAATATTTGGGTAGAATCAAGTCGATTAATTTGTGTTTCACAGAGAAGAGCAGCTTTATCTGCATGGCGATGGAACGATGTCATTCTTAAATAACCACCTCCCCCGTGCTTCTCCAACTCCCATGCGGGGTCTTACCCCTCGTGACAATACGGCAGGGAGGGGCACACTGTGGGGTGTGTAATTTGTTGTAATTTGTGTAATCTCTGCCATGCCAAGCCTATCAGACACTGCGGGGTCGGTATGTGCAGTAAATCACGTGGAGTCACATGTTAAATGATTTCTTATATCAGATCATTAGATTAGATGCGTCATACTCGCCTAGGAAACATGAAGGGGTAGAATATTATCAGTGGTGGCTATTAAGAAGTCTCTATAACCACTTCAACCCCCTCATGGCTTGCTTCTCCGCACGATTTCGGGGTCCCGAGTGGGCTGATATGTAGAGGTTCTGCAGGGACCGGGTGCAGCGCAGTGGTCAAAGAGGGTAGAATGATGAATGGATGCCTTGATCAACATTGATGCTTGATTCATGTAGGAAGAATAGACGTTACCAGGGTAAGGCCTACCTATATAAAATGTGCCTTGGAGGGCAAATAAATGGCAAACGCTTGGCAGTTTGCCTCAGGCATTCAAACGTCTACATGATAGAAGGGCGAAATATAATATTACCTGTAGGCTCCCCAGTCATCTATGGGCAATATATGCGCAATACATTGAGAAACTGAGAAGGCTATAAATTCATGAAAGAGGACAAACGTGTATCATTATCTTGCGTACAACATTGATGTATATCTTGATTCTCAATCTTAGTAGACATAGACCTATCGAAACCGACCATGTCAAGGTGAGCAACTGCGAGGGTGTATATCCCCTGTAAGCCTAAGCCAAAGTATTGTGTAGATTTGAACAGGGATCCTACTACTTATCTTCATCGTCCATCTACCGCTTCCCAACGGACCGATGCAATTGTCACGGGCTTGGCAGTGAGTAGGTGCGCTTCTACCCGCCAAGACCGTTTAGTAGGACAGTTACCAACTGAGCTACTAAAAAGACCAGAATACCAAGTCGAAGACTTGGTATGCGCATCGCTCTATATAGTAGGCCTTGGTCAGTTCGTCACAGCAATCATGCAACCCTTGGAGACCCACACGGAAAATCAACGGAATTTCGAATTGAAATTCCGTCAAAATGACCCACCTTCAATTATTCGCCCAGCCAACCACAATCCCAATGGCCAGATAGAAACGGGTACCTTTTGGTTCCAGACATTCATCTAGTGACGATCTCCCTGGCATTGCAGATCACTTGCTCCTATGAGTTGTGTGCTGCTCGGTGTCCGAAGAATCCTCGGCTAGAAGTCCCGATAATTGGTTGACTTCGAGGTGTTTTATTCGTGGATGGTCGAGCGACAGGGACCACTCTGTCTGGATGATGGACTTGATGCAGTGCAGGTTTTGTTCATCAGGGACGCCAATATGCCGAACTTCCGTGATCGATGATCTGGAGGTTTGCTGCTGGAAATATAAAGCCGGAGGTAGAGCGCCTTGCCACAGAGACTGGAATTGTCCAGAATCTAGACTTAAAATTCGGAAGTGTTCGAGCCCTCAACAACAACCTTTGAAAACATCTATCACAATGGTTCCCCTCCCAGAAAAGGTCGCCCTTGTCACCGGTGCCAATGGTATCAGTGGCCATGCCATTGTCGAGCATTTGATCAGGCAGCCCAAAAGCGAATGGTAGGCTACCTCTCCATCGCCCCAAAATCGCAACTAACCAAACATAGGTCCAAGATTATCGTCTCTTCGAGACGGCCCTTGGCTAACCACTGGGTTGACCCTCGTGTTGAATTCGTAGCACTCGATTTCCTTGACCCTGTTGACGTCATCATCAGCAAGATGAAGAACATCTGTGCGCCCGTTACACATGCCTATTTTACATCATATGTTCACGATGATGATTTCAAGGTCCTTCGTGACAAGAATGTCCCCTTGTTTCGCAACTTCATGGATGCGTTGGATACTGCGTGCCCGAAATTGGAACGAGTGTCTCTTCAGACGGGCGGCAAGGTGGGTGCCGTATCGCCGATCCCCTATCTTCAAGTCACGGTCTGATTGTGGATAGTATTACGGTGTCCATCTGGGACCCGTGAAAGTTCCCCTGGAGGAGGACTTCCCCCGATATGATGATCAAGGATACAACTTCTATTACTTCCAGGAGGACTATTTGCGAGAAGTCCAGAAACGACGCAACACCTGGTCGTACAACATCATTCGACCGAACGCAATCAATGGATTTGCTCCTCATGGTAGGCATCAAGAATCTGCGTGTCCGAATTATTCTAGTCGTCTAACACATGTCAAATAGCAAACGGAATGTCGGAGGCTCTTACCATCGCGATTTATCTTCTGATTTGTCGCGAACTCAACCAGCCGGGCCAGTTCCCAGGAAACGAATATTTCTGGACCTCGATTGATGACAACTCGTACGCGCCCAGTCTAGCGGATCTGACTGTGTACGCGACAACGAAAGACCACTGCAAGGACGAAGCGTTCAACCATTGCAACGGAGACGTCTTTGTGTGGAAATATTTATGGCAGGATGTTGCCAAATACTTTGGTGTTGAGGTATTTGGACCACTCAGCTACGTTGGCTATTACATACTAACAAGCACAGGTCCCCGAGCCAAAGTTCGAAAAGGCAGCCGGTCAAGCCAAGACCCTGAGCAATGAGATTGACATGGTGGAGTGGGCCAAGGACAAGCGCCCTATCTGGGAGGCCGTCGTCAAGAAGTACGGGGGGAAATCTGAAGCATTTGACTGGGGTACCTGGGGATTCTTCAACTGGGCCACAGGAAAATCATGGCTGACAATCTCATCAATCAACAAGGCAAGAAAGTATGGCTGGACCCGCACGGATAACACTTTCGATACGTGGATTGAGACCTATCGGTCTTTTGAAAACGCCGGCGTCCTTCCTAGCCATGCTGCTCTCATGGGTGAACAGTGACGGGACTGGGGGTGGGCCGTTCCTAAGAAATAATTATACGATATTCTCGTACATATTCAAGTCTCGTAAAGCGTAATTAATTGAGATGATGAAGATGTAAGAAATCGTTGTTGCTCAGATTATTTTCAAAATTAGACATATCAAACAATGTGAATTAGCCGGGAAATTCGTGGCTATTCGAATGTGCTGGGTGTTACAGAGCCGGAATTGTTTACATCAGTGTCGAACAATGCGTGAAGCCAATGCTGTTCTGCGTCCGCAGACTGAATGAGCTGTCCACTGAAATATGGCCATAGTAGCCAGTCCTGACCTATGTCCTGTGGGGATGTGGTACTAGATCTTAGCAGTGAAACGCTGGTTAGTCAAAAGGATTTCATCAGACATTAAATTGGCTTGTACCTTTGATTCCCTGGGAAATGGGACCCCGCCGGGAAGTTCTGCGTGGTTTGTTCAAAATCAAAATCGGCCATCAGCAGATTTGGAATTCCATCCGGGGATGACTGCTGCGGACATTCGGTGTGATCACAAGAAGCATTGGAGTGAAAATCAGGCATCGAATTTGATATTACCAGCAACTCGGATGCTGTACGAAGTGTCGATGATGGTTTTTCAATTGGGTTGCTTCCCCGAACTGTGGTTTGAAGAACACGCTGAGCACTATTTTCTTCGCTCGTGGGCTGGTCACTTGCAAAGCCGGTAGAAGGTCGCGGGCTAGCAGGTGCAGATGGCTGTAAAGGAACGGGACTTTGCATAACACCCTTGACCATTTGATCCAATTTCCATATCGTTCGGATCATTTTTCCGGAGACCCATGTATTCTGACAATAGCGTTCTAACGAGCCTGCTGCCTGTAAAGTAAGGGGTCCAAGAACTGATTTACAGTCAGGTTGCTTGAAAATCAAGCCTAGAGAGACCATTGTAGCCCCCACGAGATAGTGAAGGAACGGGAATGCCGATTTGGCTTTGGCTTCCGGCACTTCAGAGAACTCTTGAAGTATCTCGCGCACAATAGTTATACATGTAGTATTATCGTTCGGCGAGCTCGAGACATTCGGTTCGCGTGATATCGGTTTGCGGATGAGGAGGCGAAGACATAACCATCGCTAGATGCGCGTGAGCAAAGTTTTGATTGTATGAAGATTCGATAACAGTGAAATCGAATGCCCGGGAACTCACAATGCGCATAACCATTCGTTGCTTCGTTCGCCACCATGGAGCAGTGGCAGGGGTGTGACAGTATTGCGGGCGGTCTTCATTTGAAATCCAGAATTCAGCTCGGATCTTTCCCTGCGCTTGTGAGATCGCATTTTCCAGTTGGTCTAGCAGCTGTGCACTGGGAACCATATTACTGTCGCGGGCATTGTATACGGCCTCCCAGACTTTTCCCACCACGCTCGAGTAATGTATAGTGGCAACAAGATATGGGATGGGAGTGGCAATGTCCCGATCGATCTCGGTGCTGATGTCATCGCTCAAGTCGAGGCAGCTCTTTTGATCTGTTTGGTGAGCGGCAAGCCAGCCATTGCCAAGATTTTGAGGATACGGGGCATCGACATTCACATCTTGGATTAGGATGGGATGGCCAGTCTCAATTGCCAATCTCCGATCCAAGACGTATAGACACCACCAAACTCTCCTAAACATCTCGCCGTTGAAAGCTGACATACAGTTTACCACCTTAGATCGATGAAGACCCAAATGATGAGCATGGGAGATCGCAATGGCCAGGACCTTCTCGGCTCTTTCATTTGAGTCGACTCGAAAAAGATATACAACCTGCGGGATAAGAGTTCCTTCAACGTTATTCTCGAGACATATGTTGATAACGGATGGAGCACTCATACCATCAAAGCGAAAGTCTGTAAAACAATCATTTGGTCTGAACAGTCTTGTGGGCTATACAAAAGATCACCAATGAGATCTACTGAAGCCCTGTATAGAGTCCAGCCGGAAGAATGTTTGCCATCTTGAGTACTACTGCGTGGAGATGCGGTACACTTCCCGATAGCAACGCAGATCCACGCTTGGGCAATCATGAATCGGTTGTCCGCAGTATACTCCGAATCATTGACAGAGAATGGGCGGAGATAATCATTCCAAATTGTGGTCTGATTGGTGTATAAGGTTGGTAGATGAAGAAAAGGGAACAAAACATGCACCTCATCACAGAAGATTTGAAGGAATATTGACCATTGTCGCGAATCTGGGTTGATACCACGACTCCTGAGAATCTCCAAAGGAAGTGGACGCCGAAAATTGTTACTGGGAGACGATGGGATTATTGTGGACCCTTCGCGCGATGCTGACGCCTCGACCTGGGGATGAAGCTCTCGGACATGTCTCAAGTAGCCCTCAATTTCTTCTAGCGCATGATTGATAGAAGTTTCACCCAGGAATCCTTCTTTCCAACCGCGTCCAGGAACTGATATTATCGACGTATGGCTGTGAGCAGGGTTGGGCTCATTCCTCACACAGGCTGTGGACATCTGATCAGAAGGAATTACTGGAGCGCTGGAGCTAGACGAGTGTTGAGAGACTGCAAAAAGTACATGGCTCAATTGATGCTCAATCCGACCCAATCGAGTGGCAAGATCCTTTGTTGTTGGTCTACCTCTATTTAGAAGCTTGGCCAGTGGATTGTTACACAGCGACACGGGGAAAACTCACTCAGGGTCGGTTCGATGATTTTCGCCATTCAGTGCACGTTTACGTGGCCCATTATACTGGCGCATATCAACTTTTACCAGCCGACAATCGCGGGATTTGAGCACACAAGGCTGACAGGGAACGGATCCATCACACTAATGAAAGGAGCGAAGCAGGTTAGCTAGCCATGCGCGGACTTACCGGTATTCATTTATGTCTTTCTTACTTTTGTCTTGCTTCTCTGACAGGGGCCGCTTTTCAACAAGCTTTCGTTAGTGAAAGCTGTCTGTTACGATAGATTATCCGGCTGCTTTACACACCAGGCCTTTGAAACGTAATTGCCCCTTCTCGATCTTTTGGATGAACGCTCGTCAGGTTTGGGGCTAATCGCGCCGCTAAAATTTCGGACCGAAGTTTCATGGTTTGAAGGTGAATTATCGGATTCGGGCCGATCCATTGTGTGGCAGTTAGGGGATGACAAACATCAGATTAAAATAAATTATTGATGATCGGCCTATCGTGTTACTGGAATGATACGGAGTAGGTTTAGGTAGATGTTGATGTTGGAGATGAGGAGACACATCGGTGGAGGATCCACTCTTCATAAGCGTTTAGTCACTTTGATCACAAGCCTCGCATAAATATGTGGATATTACCGCATTAGGAAGTGCATAAATCACTATTGTGCTGTCATCACTGGAACAGTAACTAATAAGAACCTTCCATGTTATGAAAGCTAATTCATATAAACCTTCGACCTATATAATTATCACATTATGAATATATCTAGCTTTGGATAGGCTAATGCCACCATACTATACTCCGGAGTAGTGAATTATGACACATCATCAGAGTATCTGTGGCTGTTCTCGTGAATGATAGACCCGCATTGGTGCATAACCAGGTATTTTGTATCAACTAGCACCGGAAACATCTTATAGACCATGCTCTGAAAGTCCTGCACGCGTTCCAGCAGCGGCCCAAAAATGCACCGGCAGAAGCATGCTAAATCAATGAAGAGATTATGGCCTACCAGTACAGTTCGGTGTTTCTGTAATTGCTATTTCATTAATTCTGAGAAAGTCTTAAGTGAAACCTGAGGCTTTATAGCTGTGGATCTGGACATTGTGCTTTTAAAACAGTACGGATATTGAGTAAACTTTTCCCGCCACCTATTAAACTCAATATGAATTCAATTTCGATATTTTAGAGCACGGCACGTATAATCTAGCGCAAATCAGCACAAGTCAGCTGGAATTGCTTTCGTTTGGTCCGTGGGGACGATTATAAAGCGCGTGAAATGGAATTATCAAGGGAGCGCCATAAACTGTAGTTCTGGTGATGGTAATCTCTTGCATAGAAGCAATCGGTTGATTTGCGGGAGGCTGGACCACAAACGGAGGCATGTTGGGGGGGGGGAGGTTGGTTTCTCAAGGCATCAGTTGCCACTTCTGAAATTCAACACTGTTTCTCAATATCTTGAGAATGATAACAATGCGGACAGCTCCATAGGACTTATGGAACCACCAACGGACATCCTCACGCAGGCGTGGCCGCGATCCAGATACTTCTGTTTCAAGAACAAGAGTTGGCCAACCCGCCGGACCTCCTGAAACTGGTTCTCTATTAGAATGCCAAAAACCACCATCCGCTTGTGTTCCGCTGATACCTGCCGGCATACAATAAAGCGTTGCTCCACCCCAACGTCAATCCTCGCAAGGTATACCTATTCGATCAGCCATTTTTTCAAGCTTTGACGTTAATATTTTTGTTGGCGACTCATGATTAGATCCAGGCATAACCCTGATCAAGACAGTTGTATTATCCTATTCTAAACGAAATGGAATAGCATTAAGTCAGCGTGCTACTTGAGACTCCAGTCCCAAAGGCTCTGACGTCGAAAGTGGATACGAAGTGAAATGTGAGAAAGTGAGGAGAATTTTGTATGAGACGGACGATGGTCTCCGCGCGTGTGAGACGGAGCAAGCCACTCCTGAATGGAGTCGTCGAAGTCCTGGCAAAAATCTCCGTAGGAGCCTCCGCCGTATTGAAACGGTTCTAACTCCATTCCAAATTCCATCCGCAAACTTCAGAATTAGTTCCTTGGGGACATGTCTCACGAGTATAAACTGAATGCCCTCACAATTATTATCGTGTAGATTTTCAAACGTTTGTATTACTTGGTCCGTGAGGGCTTCGAGAGAGGTGAAGTCGGAGCTGATATGGTATTTTGGGAGACCGTTTTTGATTGAATAGGGTCCTTTGATGAGTTCCATGATTTGTGGATGGAAGCGCCTGGTGCCACATTGGGCATGAGTTCTTCTGCGATTTTAGGAGATAGGAGATAGCCACCAGGGAAGAAGAGGTGATCAAGAGAGATGTAGAGAAAAGACAGCGACGAGGATTAATCAGGACGAAGGGGGTAGTAGCGAGATGAAGGAGGAAGTGACGAAAGAAGCGAGAGAAAGAGTGAATTACGTTGTCAATGTGCCTACATAGTTAATATCTCCTGGTGAGAGAGCATTTCCATCGTTAGGTCGGAACACCCCAAGGTTGGGAACACGTGGATCCTTGTGCATATCCTGGTAGAGGGCTGTTTTGATCTAGTCTTTCGATTTTCTCTTCCCATGTTTTGTATTGAGAGGGTTCATCCGGTCAACACGACATCCACATCTCGTAGTCAGTTATCGAGCCCATGAACCCCATGACCTCCTGATTTATCGATCCAGAGGGTTGTCCTTCGCGGTATAGCATGGAAAGATCAAATCCCATCCCGAGTGCCGCATTGGTAGTAGGCTGTACCATAGTACTAGGAGCGTCAGCTATCCTATGGTGATTGGAAATAGGTGTCAAAACATCGATCCCGGTAGCTCGCATAGCGGCTTCAATGCTCGCGCCTCTTGCAAATATAGGGGAACGGTTTGCGATGCCCTGCAAACACCGTAACCCGTGATTGATATCTGCAACATGCTTTTGGGGGTCATTGCTGTATAGCTATCGATGACAAGGCAGAAGCAGGTGCTTTCAATGAAAAACGCATTAGGTGTGAGATTTTTGACAGGGGACGATGCACTCTCAGAAACGCGTTTAAGAATCTCGATGATAGACCAGGCGGTAACAACGGCATATTGGGAGCCTAGCTGCAATATATCATGCCACTATTCACCTTCATCGCTATAGGATTTGCGTGGGATTATTTGTTCATCAAAAGGAAATCGAGTTGTGTCTGGGTGCATCATTGAGTTTTGGTATATCATGCGAAGAATGAGGTATGGCCGATAATTGATCAATATCGCATATTGTGGTACTGCTTCAATCATAATAACGTCAGTTTCAAGCCCTGTCAGTTCGAGTAGATGGAAGCATACACATGGCGGTCATATAGTATACTGTCTCCTGCTCTTTGAATTCATCGAAATGAGTGTGACAGTTTTCGGCCAAACGTTGTGAGATAGTCTCTAGCCGTGATTGGAAATTACAGGTGGTCTCCCACATCTCCTTAAACTCTAACAGCAAATATGTTTATTGTTGGAAATGTTGAATTTCGGAAGCAACTTCACAGAATGCGGATATAGCGGAGAGGAGAGGAAAGGATGTACATTCTCCCACGCCAAAACCTGGAGGAAGAGACGGGGTTTGCCAAGGACGATGCAGATATACCTATTTCAATATATAATCAATGCTACTTGCGATGATGTTTTGTCATGTGGGAAAGACTAAGACATACCGCTCAAAAGCACCGACTCCCAATCAAGTCCTGATTTTCAGCTCGTTCTGGGATACCGTTGCGTGACACCTAGAGGCAGAAAAGTTATGGTGGAGCCCGGCGGAGAGAAGGTGACGCATAGATAACCCTATGGAAATATACGCCTATTCATGACGATTGGTATGCATGAAGTATACGGCGTGGAAACTGGTGATATGTTAGGATGCATTTGTATATTTGAAGATGTCGTTCAGATAACTTATCTGTAGCAAGTTGTGTTGGACCATTCATTAGTCACAACGCCCGGAACAAGTCTGGCATAAAATAGTGACCTGCCGTGAAAATATTCGGCTATATCATGGTGAAAAGTACATGTGCACCCAATGGCCAAAATGGCAGACATGTTGGCACGGTCTAGGGCACTAAATTGCAAGGTCCCTCCCGGAAGGCCATAGGCGTCACAGACACAGCTTCGCAAAAGCTCAAGCTCTTGCAACGGAAGCAAATGCCACGAAGTGGATGAGTATGAATCACCGACATGCCTCATGACGGCTGGCGCCTCTTCCTGCCCAACATGATTGATACCTACAAGTATGGCACCGCGAAGATCGACAAGGAAGGCCTGGCTGCGTGGCATCGACCCCAGCCTGCGGCTGCATGTGGTTTAGGCAGAACGTCTGGTAATACTGTCAGTTAGTTTCAGGTTGAGTTCCACCCGACTGAGGTGGTCCATGATGAGATCTTCTTCTCTGCCCTTCTCGGCTCCCCCGCAAAGGTTACCGTTAGTGTTGGAGGTGTGTCCCTACAGGCGAGCTGGACCTGGCAGCCCGACGGCGATGTTGGAGTCTACCACGGCAGCGTTCCCTTTGGATCGCACCGGGGAGACGTCGTCGTCACGCTTGAGCGAGACGGAAAGCAGATTGCGGAAGTCAAGGGAAGCTCGATCTCTACCGATTGCGAGCAGGGCCTGACGAACTTCAACGCCTGAGTTGGAAGTAGCAGCGGCAGTGAAAGTGTCAATGCCAGGCCGGACCTGAGTATGTTCAAGCAAAAATGTATCAACGGCACTGGCACCAACAACTTCGCCGGGCTGTGCGAGTTCGGTTACTCGTACGGCTACTGTGCCCTCGGTGCCTGCTATTGCTAGCAGCAGGGCAAGGCCAAGACCAAGCCCAAGGCCACGGGGTCAATCGGGTATCCCGCCGAGGGCATGAGTGCCAGCTACAGCGGTCTCTGCGCGTTTGACTGTCCGCTGGAATATTGCCCCGATGCGTGCGGGACGGTCTCTGCCCAGTTGAGCACCCCGACTGTCTCGGAGTTTTTCCCCCCAGCTTGCATTGCGGGCACGGGAGAGGGCAACCTGGCTGGTCTGTGTTCGTTCTCTTGCAGCCTTGGTCACTGCCCTATTGCGGCGTGTACGTGTACGGCCAAGGGCGCGCTGCACACTCTTCCCGAGGCAACGGGCGACGTGGGCGTTGCTAGGCCTGGGATGGACGAAAGCATCTACACGGACCTGTGCGTGTTCACCTGCATGTACGGATACTGCCCGGATCCGGCGTGTGTCAAGGCCGAGGATTCCGGGAGTGGCTCGGACGGCGGAGACGGCTCTGATGAGGGGAGTGGTTCTGGCGATGTCTACATCGACCCGACGTTCTTCCTGGAGCCTGCGCCTGTGGTGGAGTGCATTCCTCCGTGCAACATCATCTTCCCCTAGCAGATCCTGCCCAAGGGAAGGACCATCTATCTGTACGAGGTGACGACGACGATTGTCGAGGGAGAGTCCACCATCGACCGGCTCCAGCCCAGCCCCATCACCACGTCAACCCTCCAGTACTTCAACATGCCCGTGCATGCAACCCGTTCTCCTTCAACCTGACGCCCAGCTATTCCCCGAGCCCCATGGTGGTCAATGCTAGGGGGAGACGACCACCGTCAGGCCGCCGGTTGCCACCTAGGAGTCCTTCCGGAGCCACGAGACGTTCTACAGCCTGGAGACGACGCACTACGCGAACGACGGACATACGTACACCTACTCCGAGGCGCAGTTCCCCGAGCTGACGGACCTGACCACGCCCACCATCTCCACCACGACCCTCCCGTCCGGAACCCCGAGGCCAGCTCCACCAGCACCAGCTCCGGCACCCCCGTCCCTGTCTGGATCCAGGCCAGCGGCTTCTACTGGTCGGACATGCCCGATCCCACGCTCTCGCCCGGGGCCGCCGTCAACCCTTGTGCCCTCCCCGCCTCACGTCAACTGCCCCCCCGACCGCAGCGTCCCGACCACGACGTGGAGCAGCCACCGCCCGCGCAGCACCTGCACCGACACCAACAACCCCGGCTGCGGCCACCGCTGCACCCGTGACTGCTCGTCCTCCTCCTCCTGCTCCACCGACACCGCCACCAACTACTGGGTCTCGTGCTCCATCACCACCTGCGAGACCACCAAGCCCAGGACCTTCACCGGCTGTTCCGTCACCGACTTCCTGCCCGACCGGCGTGACCCTCGATCCCGACGCTGACCAGAGCGTCAACGACCCCTCCCCGACTTCCAGAGGCGTCTAATTAGTCATATGTACTTGTGTGGTGCATGGCCCTTCGGTCAAGCCTCACATGGGGGACATAAATTACCCCGCTTTTGCTCACTAGAAAGGCCAAGGGATATTTTCAACCCGATCTCTACAATGGGTGCATTTGAATGGATTTTCGTTGTAGTAATAGCCGCTCTGTTTCCCAGACTATGGACTCTGGGTCGGTTTGGACGGACAGTCGAACGACAACTAGCAATTCAAAAGACGGTAGATATGGGAAGCACTTGGCACGGCTATGAGGTTTAAGCACCAATGACAAAGTGCAGCACCACTCAGCCTCGCCTCTAGGCTGTCCCGGTTGCCTTCCCTCGTTCCCCTTAAACCAGACACCTTCTCTGTTCGATTCATCCCCACGGTATTCCCGTCAATCTTACCAAGAATACTTGGCCCGGCGAGAAAATTATTCAACCGAATACGTTACACGACCGAGATTAAGTGAAAGCAGCAACCTCCCTGCTGCAATGCATCCATCCGAGCAACGAGACCCCTATTCAACAGCCTCCTACACGGTCGCATGGATCTGTGCCTTGGAAGAGGAGTACTTCTGTGCATGCCGTATGCTAGACGAAGAATTCGCTGAACCGGAAATTAGCGACGACAACGACGATAATACATACATCTACGGTCGCATCGCGAAACATTATGTGGTAATTGGGTGTCTCCCAGCTGGTCGGTATGGCACCAACTCAGCCGCTCGTGTTACCCGGGACATGGTCCGGACTTTTCCTCGTCTGCGGTTCGCATTAATGGTGGGCATCGGGGGCGGTGCACCAAGTCCCCAAAATGATATACGACTGGGTGATATTGTCGTCAGTCAACCAAGAAATGGATCCGGTGGTGTCATTCAATATGATTTGGGCAAGTTGAAAGATGGTCATTTTCAGAAGACAGGTCAACTGAATGCACCACCTGAGAAACTGCTGGGAGTCATTCCAGAGATACGACGATTGCACGGTGACAAAAAGAAGCCAGACAGACTCGCAGAACATCTTCGACTCCTTGATGACATGGAAGATTATCAAAAGCCGGCTGTTGATCGGCTCTACGTTGCAGACTATTCACATGTGTATGGACCAGATTGCGATGGATGTGACCTACACGCAACAGTAGACCGCTTCGAGCGCCAGAACCACCGTACCCTCCATGTCCACTACGGAACTATTGCGTCAGGTAATTCCCTTCTTAAGAACGCCAAAGTACGCGATACATACGCCCAAGACCCAGAATTGAACATTCTTTGTTTTGAGATGGAGGCTGCGGGACTCATGAATAACATCCCATGTTTGGTTATTCGCGGTATCTGTGATTATTGCGACTCTCACAAAAATGATGAGTGGCATAAGTATGCTGCCCTTGTTGCTGCTGCTTATGCACGAGAGCTCCTGCTGGTTCTACGGCCGCAACGAGTGGATGCCATGCCCCCTTGGGCCGAGCGAGTCGCCCAAGAGCTTCAACAAGGTTAGAACACCACACTCAATTTCAAGGCCCATATGGTCTTCCCGTGGCTTTTATATTGTAATGAAAAGACCCTGTGATTAATTTTTGTGTCCTGTATTCCATCGGGATAGTGACCTGACGATCTACAGTTACTCAGGAGTTGACTATTCTTAGCAACGACCAAAGGTTGTATATTTATCTATCGCATGAGATCAATGCACTCTCGCTCACTTTGAATAGAACTGCTCTGACGAAAATCGAACGTATTAGCCAGAAGATTGGGTTCGACAAGTTGCCAGCTGTTCAAGAGGCACAGTTTGACTCTTTCTCTGATCGAGATGAGATCCAATGTCTTCAAGGCACAAGGACCGACCTCCTCCGACAGATAAAGGAATGGGCTACTTCGCCATCTCAAAAAAACATTTTCTGGTTAAAGGGAATGGCTGGGACAGGGAAATCCACAATATCTCGAACTGTAGCACGATCGCTCAAGGACACTAACAGTCTCGGTGCCAGCTTCTTTTTCAAGAGGGGCGAAGAGGACCGAGGGAACGCAAAGAAATTCTTCCCCACAATAATCAGTCAAATTATGAGGTGGAATCCAGAACTGATGGGGTTTGTGCAAACTGTACTCGATGATGAGCCTGGCATTACGTCGAAATCACTCAGAGAGCAATTCGAAAGACTACTCCTTCAACCACTGCTCAGTCTTACCCAACTCGGCCGACAAACTCAGACTGCTGTCATAGTAGTTGATGCTTTGGATGAATGTGAACATGCCCAAGATATCCGAAACATCATTCAATTCCTACCTCTTCTACAAAAGGTGAAATCAGTTCGCCTACGGATTTTCTTGACCAGCAGGCCTGAACTCCCAATCAGTCTCGGGTTTTCAGAGATCGGGGATCATGCATATCAGGACCTGGCTCTTCATGAGATACCCAAAGAAGTAACTGAACACGATATACATTTATTCTTACAACACCGATTTGCGAAAATCAAACGTGACAAAAAAATCTTCCAGAGCTGGCCTGGCGATGACGTCATCCAGGAATTGGTTAGGATATCCATTCCACTGTTTATTTCGGCTGCGACTGTGTGCCGCTACATTGAGAACTCAAAATTGGAACCCAAATTGCGCCTCGCAGAGCTTCTAAAGGACCAAGCGAAATATGTTACCGGAATGGAAAAGACATATTCACCAATTCTGACGCAACTACTAAATGATCCAGAGAGCGATGAGTCAGAACAGCAGCAGCTTCTACAAGAGTTTCAGGATATCGTTGGTGTCGTCATTCTTCTTGAAGTCCCGCTTTCTATCAATGCACTATCGATATTCCTTGGGATGGGAGCGGACCAGATCTGCAATCTATTAGAATCATTTCGGTCGGTTTTAAGCTTTCCCAGTGATCTAGATCAACCTGTTAGGATCCTGCATCTATCGTTTCGGGAGTTTCTAGTCCGATCTAAAGCACAATTCCGTGTGGACGAGCAAGAAAAGAACAGGGAGATAGCTAAGTGCTGTCTTGAAACTATGCGAAGACATCTACGCAGAGATATTTGCAACCTCACCGACCCTGGAGTGCTCAGGAGAGACATCAACCCTCTCAATATCTGCCATTGTCTATCACCAGAATTGCAATACTCCTGTCGCTACTGGATACATCATGTTCAAAAGGGCCAGTCTTCATCTTCCGAAATAGAAGAGGCGCGACTATTCCTCCAGAAGCATTTTCTTCACTGGATGGAAGTGATGAGCCTGCTGGGTCTTATATCAGAGGTAGTGGGTATGCTTGATCTTCTCCGCACAGTAATACCAGTATGTATATAGTGGACAGTCGCTCGTGAAAGATACTAATATGCGTAGGAGGGTAATCATTCTGCCTTTGCCGATTTCTTACATGATGCAAAGCGTTTTGTTCTGAAAAATCGGCAGATAGCGGATGCAGCACCACTTCAGATTTACTGTGCAGGGCTGGTATTTGCACCGCGAGCATCAATAATCCGCAGAGAATCCCGGTTAGAGCTTCCTAACTGGATCAGCCAGTTCCCGCAGGTTCAGGAAACCTGGAGTGCAGAATTGCAGACGCTCGAGGGCCATACAGACCGGGCTTCGTCAGTGGCCTTCTCCCCCGATGGCCGGCTGCTGGCGTCTGGCTCCGACGATAAGACAGTCCGGCTCTGGGATACGGCCACGGGCGCTCTGCAGCAGACGCTCGAGGGCCATACAGACCGGGCCATGTCAGTGGCCTTCTCCCCCGATGGCCGGCTGCTGGCGTCTGGCTCCGACGATGCGACAGTCCGGCTCTGGGATACGGCCACGGGCGCTCTGCAGCAGACGCTCGAGGGCCATACAAACCGGGTCAGGTCAGTGGCCTTCCCCCCCGATGGCCGGCTGCTGGCGTCTGGCTCCAACGATGAGACAGTCCGGCTCTGGGATCCAGCCACGGGCGCTCTGCAGCAGACGCTCGAGGGCCATACACACTGGGTTTCGTCAGTGGCCTTCTCCCCCGATGGCCGGCTGCTGGCGTCTGGCTCCAACGATAAGACAGTCCGGCTCTGGGATCCGGCCACGGGCGCTCTGCAGCAGACGCTCGAGGGCCATACACACTGGGTTTC